ATGGGTACAGGCATTAGAGGGGAGAAACCTACAATGGACTGGCATCCCGTCCAGTTTCATATGCCTAGGAAACAGGAGCTAAACGCCGGCCTGATGCACCATATTGGCTTGTGACAGACTTTATTATCTATCATGCTACATCAAGTAACAGTGGCTTTGAATTTTTCCTGAATTTCAAACCTTAAAACAACCGATACATTCAGTCGCATGTCGTGGGATGTTTCATGCAGGATTCTCAGTGGTAACTCACGGTTGCAAAAAAAAAAAGGTAGTATAAATAAATTACAGTCGGGTAGTGGGAGGGGGGGGGGGACACCACACGTGCACATCCCGTTTGACGTAATGCTCAACACCTCATGTGCAGTCAACTCATACGTGACCTTGTCCCTACGTAATACCTCTGAAGTTGACAGGCTGGGGTGGGGGAAGGTGTGACAGTGTCTGTTGAGAGGGGAGGGGGCACTTAATCATTTCGGTTTGCAGTCGTCATCTTGCGTGGTATGGTCTAGGGAGCCAACCGGTTTGAAAGTTGTCTGAGAAATTTGTCGAGATTCGGGTCAGACGTCAGTTGATATGTACTAGCACCGTACCTGATTTGCCTTTGAAGTTTGATTATACAAACATTTCCCAAAACATGAACATTTAAAGCATGTAAAAAAGGAAAGAAGAGCATGGTCAATAAAGCAATTGAAACGTATAATAGTATACAAATAGTGAATGTTTATGAGTGCAATGGTAAGAATAATTTCGTGAGGTGACTGACAGATGGAGTGTTCCATTCCTCGAAGCAAAGCCGAGTTTAATGAGGCTACGATACATGTATCCAATAGATCAGAAATTGAGTATCTCTGATTAAAATTTGTCCCTGTGTCTAGCACGAAAAAAAATTGTGGGTATTTCAACAGATTATAATGTTCACTGTATCTATTTCTACCTTTTGGGGGGGGGGGTGGGATGGATGGATATGTAAATTTTATTTACAGACATAATGTACATTCATTTACAGTTCCTTTTAATAACACTACCAGCTTGACCCTTAAGTTCTAAATAAACAGCAGTTTTTTTCTTCTTCAAAATATCGTTAATCCCTTGTACCGGTACATGTATGTCATATCTGCGTACTGAATTATTCAACAATTAGTATGCACATGTGCAGTTTACTCATCCTGTCTCTATTTACGCTTCGTTATACAAACAAACATGTCCGATTGGACGCAGCAATGCTGGAATCCCTAAACACGTATTTCCTGAGTTTTGCATGTGCCCGTCCATAAATAGCCGTATAGATTTCTCTCGATCGGCACTGTACGCATTTTGCCGATAAACGCTCCGACCATTTAGCCAGGTGTAGTGTACAGTGCCATGCATGTACCGTACATGTACAGTCCACTCCACGAAAGAAGGAAAAAAAAAGGTTGGCCCAAATTAGCGAATACACATTGTACATGCATGCATGACGCACAGCGCTGTACATAATGAAGTCTCGTTACATGCGGCTTGACGTGACGGCACCAGTATTTAATGCACATGTACAATGCATAGGTGTGGAGTTATACATTTCTGCAGGTTTATATGCATTTTAGAATCGTTCTTGCATCGGAAAGTGTCAAATATGACTGGTGAATATTTGATGTGAAATGTACGTGTACATTGTACGTCATTCGTGTGAGGGGTGTACACGTATTTAATACCTTTTCACATAAATAATCTACATGTACAAATGTACATACATGTATATAATATAGTGTAAATATGACCTGACAATGAGTGGTACTGTATATAAATCTGCTTGTACTACAATGTAATACAATGTAATACAATGTACTGACAGGTTTTTTTTCTCCATAGTTGATTTAGTGTTTCAATTATTTTTTATAGGAAAAAAAACATTAAAATATAGCGCAGCTTTCTCACGCATGGGGAACCTGCTACTTGTCACATAAATTTTAAAATCCACACAAATAAAACAAGAATGTCATTTTGGATAAAATTAATATTTACATATGTCATTGAATGAATTAAATTACTGTTTTATAGTTAAAAACAATAGAGCAGACAATAATACAAACGGGCTTGTGTATGAAGAACCATGAAACATAAAATTAATATTGAAATTACAAATGTATGTGGCAGATTGGTATGTAGTCAAGAGTATTTCTGAAACCTCCTATGAATGCTCATGTGAACATCAGATTTCGACTTTCACTTTCAGTCAAAACTTGTTCCCCATGTTATATTGAGAGGATTTTATTGGGGCAGTCGATCTTTAAAAGGACCCTCAAGGTCTCCAGTAAAGTCTTGGTGATATTTTGGCTGTGAAAAAAAAAGTGTATCATTGTGTGACAATTATTGCTAAGTATAGTAGCAGTTGTCCTTCTTAATTGATCATGACATTCTACAAGCTATAGCGTCATTTGACATAATTTGGCCCTGGGAATTCCATTAATTGGGGAATGATCAGAAAGGAGGCCTCAAAAGGTTTTGGAAAGGTCTCAACTACAACACTTGTATCTAGTTAGAAGATCCTAAAAGAACCGCGGCAGAATTTTACAACTTCACTTACACTCGCAAAAATATCCGTGCATGGGTGTCGCAAGGATTTTTTCTGGGGGGGAGGGAAGCACATTTTCCACGAAAATTCTTGTACTTTCTCTAGAATATTCATAATTTATCATTTTTTCGAGGTTGGGCGGGGGACATTTGCCCACCCCACCCCATTTACACCCCTGCAGACGCCCATTTTGTTAAATGTGTATTAAATTAATAGCAAATATGACTTCACACCTCTTTTTTTTTTTTTTTTTCTTTTTTTTTTTTTTTTGGCTTTTCCAGGGGAGGGGGGAAAGTGCCCTACCCCCCTTTGCCCTGCCCCCTTTGCCCTGCCCCCCTTTGCCCCATCCTAGCGACGCCCATGTGTCCATGGCCTAAAACATAACATTCAGACATTCAGTTGACAAGTAAGGGCTTATCGACATGTTGAAAAGTTGAAAAGTAAAATGCTGAGAAAAGGGCCTTTAAGTTTCGCGTTTCGAAGTTGTGACAAATAAAGACGACAATTGATTTTCCATAACACATTTATTAGATGATTTTTATGAAAGTCGTGGGCAGCCGTGTTATTCAGGCAAAATTGAAAGTAAGGCAGCATTTTTAATGACTAACTAGAGGGAAAGTGTGCATTTATAAGCTTTCGTAGCTCTACAACTACATGCACTTCATCATGTACTACATGTATTGTACATGTATTTCTTTAAAATATGTGTAGTAGATATCAAAGATTTGTATATCAATCAATCTGAAAATAAAAAAAAAATCAACCTGATTTGTGGGGGGTTTTTTTGAGGGGGGCAATTTTCTCCACTATGACCCGTGCCCAGTTCTGTCGCATTTTGCAAGATTGCCTCACAATTTTGGATTTGCAGTTTGCAATGTTTTATATTAATTAATACAAAAAACCAGCATTTTTTTTTGCAAAGGGTGTAGAATACTAAATTGTAATACACTCGATTGGTTTCAGATAGAAAATATTACAATATTCCTGATATTTGATTAATAAATTATCAACCTTTGGTTACCATCGTCATCATCATGATCATCATCATCATGATGTTTTACTTTTTAGCTTCCCAAATGTGAGCATTTTCGAATTGCCGTACATTGTGCATGTTTTATAAAAAACATGTACATGTACATGCTCATTTCAATACAGCTAGGGTAATTACACAGAAGCAATGTAGCGGTCAGACCTCACTAAATCACGTTGAGTGTTACATGTACACGTACATTGTGATCATGTAATTTATTCCTCCATGGTTTTATGATCAAAGCAAAAGAAAAGAAATCTCAATTTTTTTTTTATACTACACACAGTAAACATGTGCAATGTATAGGCATGGCAGACGGTATCACTGCATGATCGTTAATATGCCCGTCGAATTATTAAAGTCATTTAAGCGTGGGTCATGATGCGTAGATATATGCGTCCATGTCCGTGGCGCGTGCCCGTACACGGGCCACATTAGACCGGTAGTATACTGCAACATCTGTGCGTTGGAACCGGGCACCACTCACCACACATGATCTGTTTATGCCGAGTGGCAGAAGGGACCCTCTCAACAAAACGCGGAGAAAGACAAATGAAACGGACAAATCGGACTTGGATTTATAATGATAATTCTGCTTGATTAGTTGTTCGGGGGAGTGGGTGGGCTTGAATTTACGAAATGGATTTCATATTCGTTGTGACTAAACATCAGGCATGCAACTTTTCCTCGGATCCGGTGATTTCCTTGGTTTTTTACTTTTCAGAAATGCCACTACAAATTGAAAAACACTGTACAAAGTCTTGTGTGGTTTGGAACTTCCTCGTTTTTTTCTAAATTCCCAGTTGCATGCCTGTAAACATGTACATGTACATGTAACGGACATGCACATTGTAAATTTAATGCAAAGTCACATGGTGCACATGCACTGATGACGTACATGTACATGAATGTTTTTTTTTTAATGAAGTGCATTATATTGAGTGCTAATATTAGTGGGAGGTATTTATGCATACTGCTCATTGATCGAAAATGTGAAGGTGTGTATATATGCATTGGGTACAGAAAATGGCAGCTGACCAATCAGCAATGAGTATTTGACTTCATTTTGGAAGATACACTTTACTTTATTAAAAATATAATATATAATAGTACAGGGGTGTGAAATCTCAGCTTTAAAGCTGATTTCAGCTTTTTTTGTTTTGGATTTCAGCTTTTTCCCCAAACCTCACTTGCTGTGTACTAAAGTATAGGAGATTTCCAAAGTTCAGCTTTTTTTTACACCTTTTTCAGCTGTTTTCAGCTTTTTTTTTTATCAGTGGTCGCTCACACCCCTGATAATAAATAAACTATACTTGGTACATTGAATTTCACTGTAATATCACTTTTGAGTTTTAAATATAAAAGCAGTACCAGATACTGATTCTAGATTTTAATAGAATTTTGTTTTAGAGAAAAGTTCCTTGACTCAGAAATCGTTCAGATTTGGTCGGCCGGGTGTGGACTGCCACGTTCGTCATGACAGCGACACAGCAGTACTGCAACTCATGTTCCTTGTCAATGAGGTAGCAATTTCTTTCTTTTAAAAAAAATATTTTAAAAAAAGTTGGGGGAGGGGAGAGAGAAGGGGAGGGGGGGGGGGGGGCTAGAGGCACTCCAAAAACTTGGGACCCTCAATACAAATAGCGAGGAGGCATTATGCGAAAATAATAGTGATGCTACAATGTATACTTCCTGCATTGTTGTAGTCAAGTCCCTCACAAGTCCATCACTGTTCACAGAACAGTCACAAGTATAAAATCACAAGCTCTTTTGGTACAGTGTGTTAGTGTACTTTGTAAACAAAAAGTGGTTCGGTTCAGTGTTTTGAGACTTTGTTCAGTTCTGCACTCTACCAACCGGTTCTTTTCAGAACCACACTTCTTCCAAGAAGAGATTTCTTTCCACATGGTGTTACCCACGCAATCTATCTACTTGATCTCATCCGCCACGCAAAGCTTCAAGTCATATATTTTTTTACAGCTAGTAATCGTGTCTGATAACTTCACCACTCTTGTCTCAAAAAAACCTGAACCATTGATAAACAACCAAATCCAGTTTTTGGTGACGACTGCCCAAATACACCCCTGGCCAATTTATGATGAAGTCGTTAGTGACCGATGTACTCATTGTTTGGTTTTTCCCCAGGGTGCTCTAGTCAGTGTGTGTGCCGATGACAGTCTGCATCTATGGAACCTCCGACAGAAAAGACCAGCAATACTACACTCACTCAAATTCAACAGAGAAAGGTCGGTAGATTATTAACACCCCCCCCCCCCCCTCCTCCCCACACACACCCAAGGGTGTGTTTGCCTGCAATCGGGGCCCCCCTATTGCCCCTCTTTTGTTTGTACTTTTTGTACTTTTTAGGAAGACCTCCCATATGTACACGATCGCCAAATTGGGGACCGTTGGGAATTGGGGACCGTATTGCCCTCTATTGTTCAACGTTATCTGTTGAAACAAACTCACACACACCCCAAAATACCGCCACCCCCACGCACCCCAAAATACCCCACCCCTGCCCCCGCCCCCACTCTCATTGAATGAATGACTTCAGGCAAGAATCCAGTTAACCTTAACGGGGACCCTATTGCCCACTATTGTTCAAAGTCATCTTTTAAAACAAACTCACACACACCCCAAAATTACCGCCACCCCCACGCACCCCAAAATACCCCACCCCTGCCCCCGCCCCCACTCTCATTGAATGAATGACTTCAGGCAAGAATCCAGTTAACCTTATCGGGGACCCTATTGCCCACTATTGTTCAAAGTCACACGCACCCCAAAATACCCCACCCCTGCCCCCGCCCCCACTCTCATTAAATGAATGACTTCAGGCAAGAATCCAGTTAACCTTAAAGACTAAAATTCAATACTATACACTCACTCAAATTCAACAGAGAAAGGTCAGTATTTTAACACCCCCCCCCTTCCCCCACCCGCCCCCAAATACCACCACCTTGTAAATGACTGACTTCAGGCAACATTTAGGATCTTCCCAAGAATCCACTTTAATATACAGACTGTGAAATTCCTCATTAGTCAGTGCGTTTGTAATGTGAATGGTTTCCAGGTTTTCCTATGAAAGGTTGCAAAAAAGTGCCTTGTCAGCTGTGGTTAAAAGTAAGGGCAAGGACTCCAATTCAACGACTCCATACATGTAGTGTAATAAAATGCAATACTTTGTGCAACAATGTAATACAATGTATTTCAATGTAAAACAGTGTACTGCACTGTAACAAATTGAATAATTTGATGATTAAGAGATCCACATACAGGTTATTACTGGGACGTTAAGCCGTAGGTCCCGTGTGTTGTATAAATGCACGTAAAAGAACCCAGTAAACACTTATCGCTAAGAGAAGGGGTTTGCCCCGGTGTTTCTGGCCTCCTGTATAAACTCCCACGTGGAGTATTTAGGAGAAGAACCAACTAAGAACCAACAAGGCCCTATTGGCGGCAGAAGGATGTCCAGTCTTCACTGAAGTCCTTGTGTCATTTTCTTTTTCTCGCAGAATAACACACTGCACCCTCCCATTCCAAAGTAAATGGCTGTATATAGGCACCGAGCGAGGCAACGTTCACGTGGTCAACATCGAGTCCTTTGTTCTCTCTGGTTACGTCATCAACTGGAACAAAGCCATCGAGTTGTGAGTACCCTTTTCTTTTTATTTTAATATTCATTAAATTTGTGTTCCCTGTGCTCTTTTCGAGTTTCATCCCCAACAATAGATTCCTTTTCTAAATTGCTGTTTTTTTTCCAGCAATATACCAAAGTTATTAACTTTTGAATGAGACATCGACCGAAAAATTGGCCTGTGTTTAGTTATCGAATTATTACATTAGAATTTTTAATTATTGGCTGCCAGACAATAGTTTCTCCAAGAAGTTGGCCCTGTTCAATGGACAAAAATCTAAGTTCCTTAAAATGAACATCAAATCGTTTTTCAAACTATAGGAGTCTTGTCCAATGAGCTAACACTTCAGGTTGCAGTAAATCGGTCCGAAATTGCTTACGCGTACGCCGGCCACGATTTGCATGCCCTCAAAATCTTCAGTATTTGAGCATGCTGTGGGCCATGAACTTGAGGGTTTGCAAAAAATATGGGTGGAAGCCGTGCACATGACTGTGAGCTTGTAGTTCCGTTCAATTTGGATGAAATTGGGGCCCTTAAAGCGCTCTATTTTGCAATGGAGTGTAGGCATCGTTTTTCAAAATGGCGATGGGCTTCAGGACTATTTTCAGGGGTGATCATCATTGGATGGAAATTTCTCCTAAAAGTCATCAGTTGACCCCCGAAAAATTGAAAAGAATATGAAAGATGATGAAATAAGCTTTAATTTGATGTGTGTCTCGAACACCTTGGAGAGTTGTGAGTATTTTTTCCCGAATTTCTGAAGTGGGAGCATTTACCATTGGGGTCTATGGAAGTTTATTTACTGGTCTAATACCTTCAGGTTCTTTCAGAACCATTTCTCACTCAGACTTCGTCACGGAGCACCCACAAACCTCTCCCATGTTGAACAACTTGAAATCAAAATCTGTTGTTTTTTTGAGGGAGATCCCTTAAAAAAAATACGGGAAGTTTTAAAAGCCTACATGTACATGTACATACTACAAAGTCGTTGAAGTTAAGGCGATAAAAAGAACATGTTTACATTTGTGATGATCTTTAATCCTTTTGGTATTATCTAGGATTTATCAAAGTTATTACAAAAGCTGAGCATCTGTGATCATCGTCATTCCAAATTAATTTTTCAAGGACAGGATAAATGAGGCATCTAAGCATACGGAAACATTGAGAATCGCGTATCGGGATAAGAAAAGAGTGACTTTTTTGTTTGTTTAACCGTCCGCAGTCGGGTGTTGGTCGATTGATGGGATGTATGTTTGCGGTCACCATTTTAAATCTTTAATTCATGTCGAACGCCTGACCGACTCCCATTCAAATATTCATGTGTTATTGTCGCCGATGTAGGATTTATGGCATCTCTTGTGGTTGGTAGGAAGAGAAACTGTCTGGGAAGGGGAAGGGGGTGGGGAGAATGAAGAGGGAGGGGGGGGGGCAATGAAGGGGGATGTAGGGGTAGGGATAACTTCTGCCTCACCCTCTGTGCATCATGGAGGGGGGGAGTCAACATTGGTGCTGATGTTGCCAGAAAATATTTATTTTGCACTTTGCCTGGTTAGTTTATACAGTACCTATTGGGCATGCACACTACCGATAGTCAGAATGATTTTGATTTTTTTTTTGGTAATAACATTTTTATGAGGCTTCTAAATTCATGGTTGGGGGGGGGGGGAGAGAACTCATGTAAACATGAAAATGACATGATTTGGTTGAGTATTACGGTGTTTACATGTACATTAACGTACATTGTAGGAAGTTCGCCTTTTTGAAGTTGCAAAGTGGCCTCTTTGAAGCGAAATTTTTGGTAGCGGCCTGTATCTTAAGGCCAAAAAAAAAAAATCTGCTTCCGATTACATGGCATTCGAAAATACGGTAGGTGGGTAAGGAATTTTTTTTTCTTTTGACCATTTTTTTTGTACGATCATATGGAGGCGTCTGCGTGTAGTCAAGGGTAAAAGGTAGAAATTTTTGGTTTTGGGTGTTTTTTCTCGTTTTTGCCATACAAAAAAATAGGGTAGGGGCTGTCAGAATAGGGTAGGTAGAGAAACTGGAAGCAGAACTATTTTTTTGGGGGGGCCTAATGTGAATTGCTCCTATTTTGTGGAAATTTTCATTCTCCAAATCCCCCTCATCAATGCCTATGTGAATGGCATTTTTTGATTGGACACAAATACTGGAGGTTAGACTTACATGCATGCACATGTACCCGTATCACACATGGTTTTACATCATTACCTGACTTCAAGTAAAACTGCCATTCTTTGGCTGAGGTGGGGGGGGGGGGGGTGAGGGGGGGGTGAAGGGGGTGGAGGGGAGGGGTTGGAGAGGGGGGATAGCACAGAATCTGGCTCCCCTTCCCGACTCCTTCCCGAGGTGAGAAGGTTTAAAATGTTCAACAATTATCTGAATCTTTTTTTTTTTTTGCCTTTCAGGTCAAGAAAGACTCATCCCGGACCTGTAGTTCACCTCAGTGATAATCCAACCGATGCAAATAAGGTCAGTTGAGGTCACCGCTCTGTCACCCTATCCGTCACACTATTTATCACTGTCACCGGCTTGTATACTACCAGGCTTTTATTTTAATTCCCCTGAGGCATGTTTTCTGATTGCTGAGCGAATATGTATTTCTGCCCTGTGTATATCAACAAATGAATAAATAAAATTGAAATATGAGGAGAGGTTATTTATATCCTGCATGTAAAAATTTAATCAGAAAATCTTGTTTGTGAGCAAGGAGAATTTACATGCGTTGTATTCTGTGCATGACATTTACATATGAAAAGAAGAAGCTAAAATTGGAAAAAATTGTCAGAGAAAAAAGGTGATTGGAAATCAAATAGTCAATATTGACTTGGTAGGCACAATAGAAGTAAAACTTAAATTAATAAAAAAAAAAATTGGCATGATGGAAAAAGTGATGGAAAATTGGCATTTTTCTTGTGCCAAGCTATTTGAATGCATAGGCCTGTGCTTGTATATTTTTTATACGAATTTACTGGATATTCGGAGATTTGGTCATCAACCAATCATCGGAATAGCATTTTTAGCTGCGGGATAGCCGCTCAACAAATCATCATGTCTCTCCATTAGTCCGTTAGTTAGTATTATATAACACCCAGGTAAATCCTTGTCATTTGATTGGAGGATTGCAGGTCACGCGGCATTCATTAATCAAACCATTGCAAGGCCTACGTCATAACCCTGCATTTTTGGTTCCATTCGTGCATTTTCGTCCCATCCCTTTTGATCTAATGCACGCCGCGCGCACGATACGACACTACTCCTTCCAGAAATTACATGGCACAATCGCGTGACTCGTGCATGAACACGAATTCGTTGGCCCGCAGCTTCCGAGATATTTCCGATCGAGCAGATCATCGTAAATTTGCCTGGTTATATAATTTTGTGAAATGCCACACTTTTGCTAAAAGCCACTTTCGCGCTTGATTTGACAGCCCCTAAGAGGAATATGCTCTATTTGCTGCTTTTATTTTGCTGTTAATTTCATATTTACTGCTTTATGGTTTAGCCCTTTTCTCTAAAGTTTGTATTTTTTTCTCTTCATGAAGCATGGAAATAAATGTGAAGTTGAATTGAATATTAGCTCACACATCCACTTTAAACCCGCTAACAGTTCTTTATAGTGTTTGAAATTCATATTTTAATTAGGCTAGCCCTTTGTCAATTTCCGACAAGCGCAGTTTAGGCTGACGCATGTTTAACCTGCATCAGAGCATTCCAAAATCCAATAAAAGTTTGAATAATCAAAAATTATAATATTTGCAAACGCGGAGCCTCATCCACTACATGTTGTAATTGAAAGATTGAAGTGCCATCCCCAATACCTTTCAGGACTGTGTATAAAATTTCGGTCCGTCAATGATTTTTTTTCTCATTTCTAATATATGCAGTCGCAAGTGCCTGTTAATTCCTCCTGTTCCTTGAAAATGAAAAAAAAAACAACCACCAAAACCAAAGCTGCGTGCCGCAAAGATAATTGTCTAGCCCTTGGCGAGTTATGTACATGTACATGTACAGTGTATATTTCTGCGGTGCGTTATTCTCCCTACCGTCAACAGCGAATTATAATCGCCTTTTTAAGACAGTGGAGACCTGTACATGCTGCAATGAGTAGAGTGCGGCAACATGAGCAATATGTGTTCTGATGTTGATCAACGCAATGCGTAATTGAATGTAGCTTCCTTCGAGCTAATAGGATTTTGATGGTGGGTGGGTGGGGGGGGGGGGGGGGGGGGGGGGGAAGGGGTATCAAATACAGGCAATGTTTAAACACGCCAGAAAGAATGAACAGTATTAAAAAGTATATCAACAGTGAAATGCTTGTACAAAATGAGAGTTAAGTCACCAAAAATCAAGTTGTGAGATTTGTTTGCATTGAATAGTACATATACATTAAATGGTACAAAATGCAACGATGTGCATACATGTACATTGTAGTTGTCTGCAGGTGTTTAACATCCATCTTCGAAGCACCATACATGTAGTCCAACCATTTTTTGGTCAGGATATTTCAAGATTTCAGGATATTTTGACAGGATTTTTCCCAATTTTAGGATTTTGAAAGAATCTTTTTTGAAATCTGGAACTCCTGAGGTTGTACCTTAAAGGTGTCTTTTCCTAAAAATGTTATAGAATACTTTATTTTAAGGTGTGCCTTTAGGCAAATACAGACATATACACGTAGGCCATCAACACTATGTTTCTCTGGAGCTCTCGACAACCAGCAAACCCTCTCCCGATTATTTCATGGATTTTTCATTTTCTCCCAATCCCCCCCTCTAATATAAATTATAAAAGTCATATAATTATTCATAATTTGTAAAAAAATTAAAAAAAAAATTCTTGAATTTTCTCAGCTTCTGATTGGTTTTGAGACGGGCGTGGTCGCGATGTGGGACCTGCGGACCAGGGCAGCCGAGCAACGCTTCAATTGCACCCAGCCGGTCCGCTGCATCTCCTGGCATCACGACGGCAAGCAGTTCATCGTCAGTCACACCGACGGCACACTGACCACCTGGAACATCAAGAGCCCAACCAAACCGGCTAATATCATATCACCGCATGGTAGGATGCTTGGAGGAGGGAAGGGGGGGGGGGGGGTTGAGACCCCTAAGTTTGTTCTAAACCCCTTGCCAGTGTTGTATTTGAGTCCATCACAAGTCCACGCCAGCAGTGGCATTACTAGGGGGGAGGGGCATGTGCCCCCCCCCCCAACCTCTCCAGTGGAGGTCCTTACTTGGTGTATCTGCAAACTTAAGCCCGCCGCACACGAGAGCTATGTGCTGAGCAAAAAAGTCTCTCGAGGCTGTTTGCTCAGCATGTCTTGTTACGTCACCAGGCCGTGAGGCCAATTTCTATCCTGTTTGATTTCTTTCGCCTCTCGAGGTGAAAATCTCACCGTGTGTGGTGGACCATCTCTTGTGTGTGGTGGGCTTGAGCTACGTGCTGAGCTGAAATGATTAACTAACCAATGACAGCACATTGTTCTTGTTTGTCAGTCAGGTGATTAAAAAAAAAATGGGGACAAACCCCAGCAGGCTTTAGAAGATTTGCAAAACACACAACTGTATCTAACTTCTCTCAAGTTTTACATGCAAAATCTCAAACCTGATTCATGACAACATGTGGTGACACTTTGTGTATTTATTTAGTCAGTGGCTCAGTGCTGATTTTTTAATTGGTGGGTGAAAATATTCATAAGATGAAATTTGCGTCGGGTATTGTAAATTCAATATTAGGTTTTGCCTTTCACCGACGTTTAAACACTGTATACTCAGTGTGTTACCTCCTGAGTGAAAGTTAAAAAACAATCACTCGGGTGGGACTCGAACCCACGACCTCCTGCTTTCTAGTGCAGACGTCTTACCACTCGACCGCCGAGCTTGTCAGGATCGGTTGGCTGGTTTGAATCTGATGTACATAGCAGCGGATACCGCAATCAAAGTATTGTACTCGGGGGAGGGGGGGGGGGATGGGACACACTGAGTATACAGTAATTATATATTGGTGAAGGGTGAAAATATGACATCGTGCAGTCATCGGAAAAGCTTCAAGAAATCTGGAGTTGATTAACATTGGATGTGTTATTAGCCAGAGTTTTTCCACACCCCTCATGCTTATGTTACACACACAGCTAAAGTGCCTGCTAAAGGACTGAAGCCCGAACCATGCACACCAGTACTCAAAGTGGAATGGAGGTCAGTGAAAAACGGGTAAGCCCCGAAAACATGCTTCAGTTTCATGGAGTAGACATCGGATATCTGGAAAATCATCCTCATTTGTGTTGTGCTCTCTCTCAAAAAAATCACTTAACTTGGTAGCAGGTTGAAACTTGAAAGTATTGTTTTTCAGGGGTGTGAAATCTCAGCTTTAAAGCTGATTTCAGCTTTTTTTGTTTTGGATTTCAGCTTTTTCCCTCATTTGCTGTGTACAAAAGTATAGGAGATTTCCAAAGTTACAGCTTGTTTAACACCTTTTTCAGCTGTTTTCAGCTATTTTTATCAGTGGTCACTCACACCCTGATTTTTCTTGATATTGTTTAAATAAAGGCCTTTCTCATTCAGGCATGCAACTTTTCCTCGGATCCGCTAATTTCCTCGTTTTTTTACTCTTCATGAATGCCATGACAAATTGAAAAAACACTGTACAAAGTCTTGTGTGGTTGGAATTCCCTCGTTTTTTTGCTAAATTCCCAGTTGCATGCCTGCTCATTGCAACGACAGTTAAATTATGCCCATATGAATCTGTGATGTTGCAAAGGGGCAATTTTGTAAACTCCAACCTACGTCCGACCACATGATGTACCAAAAAAATAATTAAAAACTGTAAAATGCATAAGGTCGCTTAAAGGTGGTGATACCTTGGTTTGGTCTGTAATTGTTTTCTACACATTAGATGTCACATTATTAGTGATGTATCACATTCACTTTTCCAACAGCAGCTCATTAATGCGTCTGACATGTACGTCGGAATTTACAGAATTACCCAAAGGCAAAACAGAGAAATTGCCTGTTAAACTTTTTGGCTTGCATTTCTAGAAGTAAAATGCCTCCAAAATCTGCCAAAAATCACCTTGAGAGGGAAAATAAGGGCCAGAAAGTTCTGCAGTGTGTTTGAAAAAAACTATTTCAGAAATGTTGCCAGCACCTGTTTATGATCCTTCGTGAGGTTGGAACCCTCTTTAAAATTCTTTTCCGCTGTTGCTTTTAGGGACCCCTTCATTCTGTTTTCGGGGGTTTACCCTACGAGAAGGCCAGCAGCACACCCAGTATCACCATCATGCAAGGCAAGACCACCACCGTGCTAGAAATGGAACACACCGTCGTCGACTTCCTCTGTCTCTGTGACAACCCTTGGCCAAGCAGTAAGTCATTTTGGGGTTTTAAATATTTATTTATTCATTAATATTTTTCGTTTTGATTACCTTTTTATCAGGTGATAGGTGACGTTATTCTACTGTATGTTTCGCATTTGCATTTGTTGGAGTATGGAAAAAGACAAATTTTTTTCATTGTTTTTCCGGAGATTTTAACATTTCACTGTTACCCCTGCTCAGCAGGCTTATACATTTCTAGCGTTGTTGGCGCCATGATGAACATCTTGGAGATTGAAACCCATGTTCTTAAACCAGTTCGCGTCGGAGGACGTGATAATACGCACTGGCTGTTTTTATACACAGGCATGGCTAACGTGTAAAAACGTCAAGATTGCCTCGACTTGCCTCCGGGTGACCTCTTAACACGCTTAACTTGTGTCTTTTGTACACACACACAAAGTCTGTGAAGTCTGTGAAGGCGGACCATGTGTTGATCTTGAATTGGCCGCTGTGCACGGCTATAATGCAATTTATGCTCCAGTGCACACCCTGGAGTGTTGAAACATAAGAGGTTTCGGCAAGAAATATCGTACAAATACTGTTGAAATGACTCTTGCGAATCAGTAGTTGTGGCATTTGGCTGCATATCAGTAGTTGGCTGGAAATTTTTGCCTTTTGCGAAAATCAAATTTTCGGCAAAAATAATCCCAGCACGAAATGGTTAAAAAAAAACCCACCAAAATGCTCCCCTCCAGAAAAATATATAATAAAACCAACAAGTTGTTACTGAAAAAATTGCATCTGCCATGATGCATGTCTTTTTTCTTTTGATCGCAATCAAAAGATCAACCTTCACCTCCTTATCCGAATGTCGTATAAATCCAATTAAATACCAATTGAATTCGCTTAAGGATCATTTATCTTCCCCCCTTTCCCCGTCCTCAAACAAAATTCCTCGTTTTTTTTTTTTCTGTCTCCGCCGGGCTGTCTTTTTGGCACATGTCCAAGAGCCGTCAAGAATATCACAGTGGCGGGGTTTTCTTTTTTGCAATTTGATTTTCTGGTGCCGAGATCATGGCGGGGTGATCCAATCTACCAGATCTGATTAGCTCCCGTCATTTGTGACTCCGGGGTAGAATTTTTTTTTATTCTTTGCCCGGGGGGGGGGGGGGGGGGGGGGGGGTTAAATTCTTTTCTGTTGTTTTTTTTCTTCCCCCTGTTCAGCTAAAATCACTCTTCATTGAACGGTTTTGCCTCGGCGAGGTCTCTGTTTAACATAATCGGTTGATTCAGTGATTACTGCTTAATCGGGCAGTCGCGTGGTTATAATGAGATTTGTCCTGCATAAACCAAGCCGGCAGTGTTTTAAGGGTAGACTCGTAAGAAATCGACTTAGCGGTTTGTTTGTACGCTTTGCTTGTTTCTCTCTTGCAATTTCTTTTTAGATGCGGAAATCGATATTGTTGCTGAACGGTCTCACGCCATTATTATTTAACTGTTGCAAAATATAAATATAATTTATATTGTCATTTCCTGATAAAAAACTGGACATGTGAAAAGAATTCTCTGAAATGAAACTATTTTCACTGGGGATAAATTTTACTTTTTCTATACCGATGGCAGAATGAATCATGGACATCAACAGAAAGTAATCTTATCTATAGGAGAAACAACAGCCTAAATATTTGTGGCCTTATCCATTGATTAATGTACATGTGTGTTGTGTATCATGCATATTTAGGCCAGAGAGTAATAAAGTTATGTTTGTGCTTACAGATCCCCAGGAACCGTATGCGGTGGTGGTTCTTTTGGAGAGTGACCTCGTGGTCGTTGACCTCACATCGCCAGGGTAAAACCATTTTTCATTTCTTCTTGCTGCTGAGGAACTGGTCAATGGAGGGGCTTAATGTTTATCCACTGAACAAAAAGCAAGTGGTTTGGGCAGTACAGGGAGAAACAGGCAGGGGAGTTAGGGACAGTACAGGGAGTAACAGGCAGTGTGGTTTGGGGCGGTACAGGGAGTAACAGGCAGGGTGGCTTTTGAGGCAGTACAGGGAGTGACACGCAAGGTGTTTTGGGACAGTACAGGGAGTAACAGGCAGATTGGTTTGGGACGGTACAGGGAGTAACAGGGAGGGTGGTTTGGGACAGTACAGGGAGTAACAGGCAAATTGGTTTGGGACGGTACAGGGAGTAACAGGGAGGGTGGTTTGGGGGGTACAGGGAGTAACAGGCAGGGTTGTTTGGGATGGTACAGGGAGTAATAGGCAGGGTGGTTTAGGGCGGTACATTGAGTAACAGGCAGGGTAGTTTAGGGCGGTACAGGGAGTGACACGCAGGGCGATTGCGGGCAGTACAGGGAGTAACAGGCAGAGTGTTTTTGGGGCGGTACAGGGAGTAACAGGCAGGGTGGTTGGGGGCAGTACAGGGAGTAACAGGCAGGGTGGTTAAGGGGTAGTACAGGGAATAACAGGCAGGGAGGTTCGGGGCAGTACAGGGAGTAACAGGCAGGGTGGTTTGAGGTGGTACAGGGAGTAACAGGCAGGGCAGTTTGGGGCAGTATAGGGAGTAACAGGCAGGGTGGTTTGGGGCAGTACAGGGAGTAACAGGCAGGGTGGTTAAGGGGTAGTACAGGGAATAACAGGCAGGGTGGTTTGGGGCAGTTCAGGGAGTAACAGGCAGGGAGGTTCGGGGCAGTACAGGGAGTAACAGGCGGGGTGGTTTGAGGTGGTACAGGGAGTAACAGGCAGGGCAGTTTGGGGCAGTATAGGGAGTAACAGGCAGGGTGGTTTAGGGTGGTACAGGGAGTAACAGGCAGGGCGGTTTGGGCTGGTACGGGGAGTAACAAGCATGGTGATTTGGGATGGTATAGGAATAAATGTATTAAATGCTGCTGTACAACCTTTTAATTCATGGATTTGGGGAAATTTGGTCTTGTTTTGACCCTTGTAGGTATCCGTGTTTTGAAAATCCCTACCCCATGGACCTCCATGAGTCCCCAGTCACCTGTGTGCAATACTACGCCGACTGCCCCTCGGATCTTATACCACACCTGTATTCAGCTGGGTCCAATAGTCTGAACAGGAAGAAGCAACTGTACAGTAAAAAGGTGAGCTCTCTCTGTGTGGAAAGTATGGATTAAGAGGTGGGGTACCAGACCAAAATGGTAGGTGGGTCGGGTGATGCATTGTGGGAAGGTACATGATTTCTGGGAACAGGAATTTTGAGTAAAATTGCATCTTGATTTGTACTCACTTGTTTTTGTTATGTAGGCACCTCCTTGCAAAAGTAAATTTGACATTGTCTGCAAACGGATGTTAAATTTCCACTTTTTCACGCAAAATGGCATCTCCATGGTAACTTTTCCAGGGACATACATACTGTGTTCTGGTGTGATTCATTTATTGTGATAAATTTGACAGAAAGCTGTTTCCTCTCTGAGTGCTCCCCGTTTGCTATTTCCCAGGTTTGCAGCATTGCTAACGTTGCTAGCCTCGTGACTTTGGGCGTGATCCCCGGCTACCTGGCATAAATGGGTTTGTGGCTTCTGACTAGTGCCCCTTGAACAAAGACATTGACAAAATGGGGAACTGCCAACATAGGGCTGGATAGCTCAGTTGGTAGAGCACCGGAACGGCAATCTGGAAGTCGCAGGTTCAAACCCCGCCCCAGTTAATCACTTTGTTCAACTTGTGATAATATTGTGATAAAGTAACAACCATAAAACTTCCATTGCTCATCTTAGGCTGTGATGGTGAACTATTCTGCAAACCCAGACTTTGTCTCTTGTCTGCTGAGGTTTTAGGCTAAATTTTCCTGATTTTTTTGGCCCCATCTTTTGAGATTCCGACCAGGTATCGTCTCCATTTTTGTTCAGCTACAAAAATAACAATTGCTACTGAATTACAAACAATAGTTTGATATCTTTCCACCCGGTTCAAATATAAAATGCCTGCAAATTCTCCTTCAGCCCCAAGATGGAGCCGAATCTGGAACAAGCACCAAAATTTGAAAAATGGCCCTTGTTCAACAACATTGCTCATAGTGACATATGGCATCCAATGTACAAACAATTGGGAACTACATGAACAAAGAATGTATTCATTTTACCTAAATCTTTCTTGAAATGTCCAACTGCGCTCCATTAAATATGTACCAAGCGGAATGCACCTCACACCTACAGCTAGTGACACCTTAAAAAGTGATTTATGTTTAGCTTGGTAATCAGAGCCTGTCTGTGCATGAGGTCTGGGTGCTGTACCATGTGCACATCTAGAGCAAGCTAATTGGGGTGGAAAAGGTAGCCATTACACGGTTGACACAGTTCATGACTCGCCAGTCAGTCAGCGTTACATGTAACACTGCATAAGTACGGTCTGCTAAACCCGGAGCCATTTAAGGGGATATATGCGTGGGTACATGTACACGCAGTTGCTGACTTTTTGCTCGTTGTGGCCGTCTCGGAGAATGTCATCCACTTTGCACTTGTTTTTCTGCTAGCAGTGAAAATTCTACTCAATGCGTATCATATTGACCTTTAAAGCTATAGTCCATCATTTGCAGCCATCCGAAAAGTAACTGGCGTAATTATTGTTGAAAAACAACCTTGGTTGAAAGATAGTAAGGGAACTAAACTCCCTGTGAAATTATTCTTTCTGGGAAGCTGTCATTTTGAAGTAATCAACGAAAGAAGGCATTTCCAACGGTGATTCTTAAGAAGCACCGTAGGAAAATTTAAATTAGTAGTTCGTTTTGTTATTCAGCGCAGCGCGCACAAGTATTGGAACGACGCACACGCGCGCGCGGTTGTTGTAATTCGTCGGATTAGTGCGCGACATCGCGTATAGCTGCAATTCAAAACAATTCAAAACATGATTCAGTAACTTTTGATTTGAAATGGAGATCTTAGAATGCTGTTTTTCTCGGAATGTACAGCTGAAGCTTAGCTGAAACTTCATCAGGTTAGTTGCTCAGTATCCTTCATTAGATTTTGAACTCTTTTGTTGCTTCAAATGAACAAAATGCACAAATTACAAATGATGGACTGTAGCTTTAAGCAAACCATTGGTTGATTTTTTCTGCCGATTGTAGATTTTTACATTTGTGTAATTTTTTGTTTTTTTCAGAACTGGCCTGTCAAAGGAGGAGGCTGGGGAAGTGGTGGAAGCAGCGAACAAGAAATCGTTATTACAGGGTACATTGCACGACCGGTTCTGTTTACTCTGTTTAAAGACACGAACATTATCAGAAATTACCATGAAATGCTAGAAATTATCATAGAATTGTATTGTAAAGTAGAGAACAAATCTCTTTGTTTTTCATCCTAAACAGGCATGCAGATGGAACAGTTAAATTCTGGGATTCCTCCCAAGGTGAGAAAATTGTCTGTTAATGTTTTATACATGTGTGTGATTTGGTTTTGAGTCGAGTTGATTTTGAATTTAAGTCTGTTGTCCTTTTTTTAATCACACTTACACATTGAAAGTTGAAATGTTGGACTAGATGCTGCATTATAGATCTTCATTATAGCACTAGAGCGCCATGGTGCAGTGGTTATGGTGTTCGAACCATATGCCATGGTCCGTGGGCTTAAACTCTGACGGAGAACATTGTGTTTGTGCCCTTGGGCAAGACACTTTACTGCAATTGCCTCTCTCCACCCAGGAGCAAAAATGGGTACCTGTGAAAGTAGAGACCAGAGTGCGCTGATCTTGGCTGTAGAAAAGTGGTCTCTCGGCCTGTTGAATAGGAGTAATAATTTCAAAACAGTTTGAGACCTACCTTCGGTGGAAAATACTGTAATTATAAGCACCATGCATTTATTGTTATATTCATTATTTGCAGCATGATTGAGGGAGATTTATGCAAGCATCATCCAGCTCTCAAATGCCGTGGTGGTGTCATTCCATCCCCATATAATTTTGCCTTGGAAAAAGATTCTCCTGTCTAGCTGTCTAACTTCTACTGTTTCCTTTTGTTTATTTGTCAGTCATGCTACAAGTTCTGTACAAGCTCAAGACGGCCAAGGTCTTTGAGAAGCAGAAGCAGGCTCGTAGCCTGGACGGAGATGAGGAACCCTTTGCCATCCAGATGGTGAAACTGTGTCAAGAGAGCCGGCTACTAGCCGTAGCCGGAGCCAGCGGCCACGTCATACTCTACCGATTCAGCAGGCTGGAAGTCACTACTGAACTGCCAGTGAGCCACAGCCACCAAAGATTTTTTTCACCTTAAAGATGTGTGCCTCTTGCTCTTAACAAAAAAAAAATTGATTTTCATCTTTTAACGAATTCTCGATTTGTGTGTTTTCGAGCTTCTGTAACCCTCTGAAAAAGGCTTACAAATGAAGCCGCCCTGTGAAAGGTGAAGTATTGTTTGGCCACCAATAAATCAAATTTTTAAGAAATCATTCAGCGTCAGTTGATGTTTTGGTTCAATATCTCATTCAAAAGTGAATAACTTATATATTGCTAGAAAAATAGCAATTGAAACACCAAACCTATTTTTCGGGGTCAAACCTGAAATAGTACGGGAAATGCATCTTTAATAATTCTACATTTTAGCTTTGCTTCCTGATACAATTTATAAGCTCTGTGTATTTAGTGCTGTCCGAATACTCTTTAGGAAAAGAATCTCAAGTTTACTTCGGCGCGATTAAAGTCCAAGACCTTATGCTTACTATTGCACATGTTTTAACCATGCAACCAATGTGCATTTCACATGTTTTAATGCACCTGTTTTAACCACGCAACCAATCTTTTTGTGTGTTTTGCCGCATCTCTACAGGTCCTAGAAATCGCCATCCTGTATGAGCCCGAAGAGCCCGACACGCCCGAGGCTGAGACACCCCCTCCCCCACCCACCCCGCTGAAACGCAACACCAGCACGGTCAGCGCCAGTTCTGTCGCCAGCGCCATCAGCTCACCGCCGCCGACCCAGACCAGCCAGGCATCATCGGGCGGCGCGACGGGCGCCAGCGGGTCCAGCACCGGTAACCAAGCCACGAGTACCAGCTCCGGGGAGGGCATCAGGGACAACGTGCCAAACTTGAAGGTTAGATGCCATCATCTGTTTTAGAGCGCCATGTGTTTTAAACCCCTATTGGTATTAATGCTGCTGTTTTTTTTTGTTCATAGGCAAGGCACTTTACTCCAATTTCCTGTCTCTACCAAGGAGTGTTTTTTAGGGGGCTTTGTGTTCATGGGCAAGGTACTTTACTCCAATTGTCGTCTCCACCAAGGAGGGGTTTTTTTTGGGGGGGGGGTTCCTATGATAGTGAACTGATTAGGGTGATCTCGAGCTGCCAAAGTTGCAAAACAGTATTCTGCAGCGTTACTTGAATAACAAAAATTGAAATGATATTGTTACAAATGTTTGACTAGGTAAAAGGAGGACCTCATAAACGGGCGTCAGGTTTCCAGCCAGATCTGTGCTGTCAGCTAGTCTGGGTGGACGGAGAAGCACCGTCAACTATCACTACAGTGGAGATCAACTCTTGCTACGGCCTGTAAGTAAATTTGCTGACTGCATGGCTGGCTGGCTTAGGCATGCTGGCACAATTACTCATGTAATGCATGAAATTTCAGACCAGGGTGAGTTGTTGGCTTAATGTTTTATGCAAGTGTTTTGGATGCACAGTGGAGTTCATCGTTTCTTTGTGAATCATCGATACAGAGGACTTTTCTTCAAGGAAGTAAAATCTGGGAACAATTTCATTCAACAAACCCTAGATGTACATTGCAGCATTTACTTGGTTGCAAAAAAAAAAAAAGTTGGTTGAGTGACGATACTTCCCAACAGAATGCTACCGCTGCCAACCTCTATTTTTTTAAAATTTTTTATAATTAATTGATTGAAAGATTAAGTTATAAAATTTATTTTCAGCCTTGCGTTCGGCACCATAACCGGCCTAGTCATAGTGGACTATCTCCAGAAGACCTGTCTCTTGAACATGGGCACCCCGGACCTGTACGGCTCAGCAGACCCCTACACCAGGACCCCTAGGTCCCCCAAGAAGAACAAACCCCAGGGGCTGGGGGACATCGTGGAGCAGTACATGGCTGACCCGGAGAGGTGCAAGTCACCCACGAGCAGCAGCGCGGAACAGGTATTTTTTTGTTGTTGCTGTCTTTGACTGACCGACTAAGTCACTGATGGACAGACTGTCTGACTGACAGCTAGTCTAGGGGCTAGACGTTGCATAGATTGATATGCGATAACCATGATCACCCACCGCCGAGATACCTGCCGCCACGAGAGGGCGCTGTCGCAACCAACCAATATCGCCCACGGATTTGTCGGTAGTAAGTCGATGAAATCTCCCCCCCAAAAAAGAGGGAAACAAGTATGCATGCGCGACTTCTGCTGACAATTATGCTCCATTTTCAGTCCTACACAAACTACACACAACAAATGAGCTGACCAGTGAAGTTGCACAAAGGTCTTGCTGCATCTTATATTGTAGGGGAAGAATTTAAGAGTTTGCTTCGGAACTACTATAATTTTTTTGAATTGCGCGCTGCATATATTAGGCCAAACAGGTGCGCGCGCATTACAAAACCAATAGGAGATTCTCTACACGTTGGTACTGACAAGTCCATGGGTGATATTGGTTGGTGATGATAGTGCCCTCTATCGGAGCGTGGGTTATCGCGAATCTAAATAACAACGTCTGGCCCCTAGACTAACTGACAGATGGACCAATGGACGGATGGAATGAGTGACTGGCTGGCTTGCTGATTCAAGATTGATATCATGTCTGAATATTAAAGTTGATCATCATTCTGTCTCCCCCCCCCCCTAATTTTGTTCCCTCCCTCTTCCTGTCGCAAACCTACACCCCGACTGAACCCCCGCCATGTCTTCCCCCTCCACAGCAGAACGGGGTCTGTGTCAGCCCCACCAGCACCAACAGCTCCCGCAAGCAAGGCCGCAACAACCACGACCCGGCCCAGCTCAAGCGCAGTAAGTCCCAGGGCTCTCGCAAGCTCATCTCCTGCAAGGCACAGTCGGTCTGCTCCGACTCAGGCAACTGTGGGCCGGGGGAAGGTATCTGACAAACATTCTGGCTTGTGGACTCCTGCATCAGTTTGTTTTGAATATTCTTTGCTGTCCTTGGCCCGCACTCTTTCCCTTTATTTGTTTTTTTGGTCGGAAATGAGATTGTCGATGAAAAAAAAAAAACTTGTAGGCACTTTAGAGTGGCTAGAATGCTGTAGCTGAACATCTGATTTTGTTTAATGTGCAGTGTTTTAGAGATGTTTGTTATGAAGCCTGTGTAATCATGTTAAAACGGATGTTAGCGAGATCTTTACTTTGAGCTTAACTGGTTGCGAGACAAGAAGACTATGAAATGCGACGATGATTTTCAGTTATGCACAGTGTCCTTTTCGAAGCAAAAAGCCTAACAGCTCTAACCGTGTTCAAACCAGCGCCTTGGGTTTAAACTGCTGCGATAAAGAGAAAGTTTTTCACATACCTTGAAACTGAAGTCGAATTGTGACCAGCATTTTGCTGCATTATTGAGACTCAAGCGATGGCATGACGTTTTTAAATATTTTATAGTTTCTGTCTGTCCTAATAACTTTGGCCTGCTTACTAACCAAAATATAGATTCAGGCGTCTGCTTGCGCATCGTGTTTCATGAAAGCTTGTCTAAAATTGTTGGATTTATCAAATCTTGTGTTTTCTGTAATTGCGTGTGCATATTTCTCATATTTTCTTCTTTTTTTTGCCTTTTGGCTGGAAGAAAAAACCCAACAATCTGATAAAAAAGAGTCTTGTTATTGTGCAAGATTGTTTGCTGTAATACTAATATAACCTGTCAGCGGGTTTTAGAAAACAATTCTAACATTGTGAAACATCAGATTTTTACGCTAGATGAAGACTGTCCCTTGAAATTTGGCGTCGCAGTTGCGCGTCAATTCTTCCCAGTACTTCTGTCGTCCGCAAGTACTTCTGTCGTTTGTCTGTTCGTCTCTCAGTTTCCTTTCCTTGTTTCTGATGTTAATTGTATGTCTCAATTGTTTATGTTTTTTCTCAAAGATTATAATTTTGTGGGAGTGTTGAGTCATTGAATAATTTCTCTTTTCCCCCCCTTTTTTGTGGGGGGGGGGGGGTGGATTTGTACTCAATTTAAAAAAAGATTAAATGCGAGTAAGATCTACATTTTGTTCAAAGTCTGTCTTATGTTTTTCCGTTTGTGTGTCCTTGGCAATTTGAGTCTTGGTAAATCCAACAAGTTAGCACAGCTTCGTTAAAAATGCAATTGAAAAAAAAATCCGCAATTATGATTTCAGTACTAACAATCCAGCTACCTCTATTCTAGCCTGATAGTCGGGGTCAAAAAGCCGTCACAATAACAATAATTTCATTTTAAGTCTACCGGTACATAGATGTGCACAACTTTTCAGTTGCTTTTTGCGCCTCCTGTTACAAATAGGATTCCTTTCGATTGTTTAATTATCTTTCATTTGAGCCCCCCCTCAAAAAAAAAATTCTATTGCACCGTATTCTGAGTCCGTTGTTCTACTTAGTTTGCACTTCTTGTGTTTTGTAACCTGTAGAAAAGGACGTAATTGAAGATTGAGCAAGGCAGCTGTTTTCTTGAGTTTAGTTTTCTTAGCTTTTGTTTTGGCATCTCATGAACTGTTGTTTTGCCGAAAGGTGTTAGAATAGCGATGCACACTGTATGTAAGTGTTTGGCATTGAGGTACGTGTACATATTGAATGTAATACGCTCAGTTAGAAAGAAAACTCGATGTTTAGTATTTGCACTGTTTTTTCTTCTTTTTTTTTCGATTGTGATCTTTAGTCAGTAGGAAGTTTTGATGTTAATGTAGAGAGAAGAATGATTTGAATCGCTCTTGATAAGCGCATCACAGTTTGGTATTGCACAGGATGTTTAACTGAAACTTGCTGAAATTCACCTAGCACAAGTAGAATTAAGCTGCCTGTTTAGCTTGGGTGTGCATCGGAGCCAGGTACCGGAATACCTGACCGCTGATGTCAGGAACAGGTTGCAGATTATGGGACTGGGTGCCTATAATCAACTTTACAAATTACTTAGAAAATTCTCAGACAATCAAAAAGCAATGTTTTGGAGGCCATCTGTGGGGAATTTTCAAAATGAAAACCAGGCTACATGGAAAACAAAAGTAGATTATCACATTTTTTTTTTTTGCATTTTAACGCGCGACAGATGACACTCGCGAAAGTTGCAGTTTACACCATAAAGTTATGAAGCCCTTCAGACAACTTTTGGGATTCGAATTTTAGGGTTGGGTTTCTCTTATGGGTACCCGGGTACCCGAGCTTTACTTCAATAGGCTATCGGGTTCCCATACTGCCCGTAAATGCACACCACTAGTCCATATGCGTGTTCTCAGTCCGTTGTGTATTTAGTCCTACGTACATGCATTCTAATTAGTATGGGTAACTGTGCAGCAGACTCAAAATGTACCGAAAACAAGTTTGCCTCATGAGCAGACGTTGCTGGTTTGTGCATGCATCACCAGTTCAAATTAGGTTATTCATGTATGTAGCTTGGCATAGTTTAATTTGTGGGCACAAATCTATAATTAGCGTTTATCTGATCGGCTGATGTTGAAATAAATAATTACGTCCTTCAGTCGCTACCGTGAGTAGGCACGACAGCACAATCTACAGTTCCTGCATGATATTCATAAGAGAGTACTCGTGTGGAGTACGACGAGTATTGAACATTACTCAAATTGGTATCCGAGTAACAAGAAGTAGTTTTGGGTTTGTAGTAGGTTTACGTGCGTACTGGTACAGAAAATATGCTCACATATGAGTGTGCAGGTGCTGCAATGTATGCTTCTTTGGATGCAGTGAAACTGAACTAGTTCTCTTTGAAACTCAGTTTGAGTCTCAATGTGTTTGCACGTTGCAATTTGTAGTCCGGCCTAATCAAGTACAATTTGCAATTCGCTCTTTTCACACTTCCGCCATTGGGCATGCAGAGCCTCTATCTGGCAACTTTACACAATGAAAATAGCCGGTTGAGTGATCTGAACCCCGACATGGGAATCACTGAACCGGCTGTAGTTATTGTGTAAAGTTGCCAGATCGAGGCAGTGCATGTCCATGGCGGAAGTGTGAAAAGAGCGAATCACCCAAATAAGATTGAACTCACAATAACCCAGCACGCGGGTAATAACAGTAACATAACGTGCAACATTACATAGATGTACATCTTTTAATAGAGGTCACCAGTTTAGGTTTAATTTTTAACGAAATAATTTGCACACGTATGCACAAATTATATTATGATTAATCACTAAAAGTGACGTGGTATGTCCAAACCAGGCCGAATTGGGCAGAACTACAAATGGAGAAACAGCTGCAAAATGACATTGGGGTGATTTTCAGCGATTGTGAGATATTTTGAAAGTTGTGATGCTACTTATGCTTAAAGTGTTCTGTAAAAGTTTCAAACCAAAATTTCATCGACATGGATTTTTTTTTTTTTAACTAAATTCAAACTTCAAAGGCCTTCTCCGTTTTGACATTTCGGAAAGTCCGATTTCAAAATTGGATAACTTCGCTTTGGAATATCCAATTTCAAAAAACAAAAGTGGCGTTTGAAAGAGCAAGGTCGTTATTTCACTAATATTGCAATAACTCAATATTCACTTCTTGCCCAATTGTGCCTGATTTCGACATACCACCTCACATTAATTTAATGAAAGCAAACAAAACATGTCTTGTAATGAAAATATCAACAAAAATAATACCAGAAATCTGTGGAAAAACTACAGGCATAAATACAAAATGTAGGAAGTCATGAAAAAAGTAGAACAGTGGACTCTGAATGCGTTGCCAATGCTGCCCCCTGACGAAAATCTCAGACCAAAATGACCAGAATGGTCGGCATGACGATCGGTTACCCTTCTTACACGGCCAATCCAGTGAAAGCATGCAGAATGAAAACATTATCACAAAAACGAAAATGACGTTCCAAATACTCGAATGTTTTGTTTTCATTTTTTTTTTTGACATTACCTTCCATTGAATGGAGCATGAAATAAAGCTAACCAAATAAAAAGTAAAGGAAAACAAACAAACAAACATATAAACTCGAAAACCCAAGACTCCCTACTCATTTGACCCTCGCCCTTCCCCCTTTTTAACCCAGTGATGTATTCTTTGGATTGGTCCAAAGTTGAGTTCCCTGTTTTAGAAAAATGAGCTCTGTGTATTAATGAGTTCTCTGATTGGCTGTTTGTAGGAGTCCACCTTTGCCAGGAATGGTACCTTCCGCCTAGCCTGTCTCCTGATTGGCTGTGCTTCTTGCCCTTTTTGCTCCACCCACTAATTCCTCATAAGGAAAAGTGGGCGGGTTTTATGTTGGCATGCTGTATGGATTAGGCATCCAATGGTATGGTATGGTATGATCCCCCAAGGAGTGCATTTTGAATAATGCATTACCAGATATGTAAATAACTCACTAAAAGTTTTGAAAGGTTGTGTCTTATTGAACGGATGCCTTTTTCATAATCTCTTTGCTGCTGTAGCAGTAGTATTACTACCTAGCTATTTTAGATGCACGTGCTGCAGACAATGTTTAACCAAAGAAAAAGCTGTAGAAATGCTCTGAATGTGGTTGACCTCGTTTACTAAAGGCAGAAACAACTAATGAAATTCACCAAACATGAGCCATACGAATTAGTGGAAATGAAAATAACCTGTGTCAACTATCAAAGTCTTTGCTTAACTGCGAAATGTGTACACTCACAGACCAGGGCCCAATTTTGTGACTCTGCTAACTACATAATTCAGCGCTTACGATCCTCATTCTGTGCTTACGGCGCTAGCAGAAAAATTCTGCGCTAACCCTGTAAGCACAAAATCCTTAGTTGCAGGATATACGCATGCGCAGAAGGCAAAATTCCTTGCTAACCTGTGAAATACGCTTACCGTAAGCATGGAATTTTCTGCTACAGTAAGTAGGGATTTTTCGCTAACGGTAATCAGAGCCATAAAACCGGGTCCAGATTGGTTACATGCGTACCAGTTGGAACAATATAATTAGGGCCTCCACTACATTCAAGCTTAGCAGGTTAATCAAACTGCTTAGTAGATTTGGTTGTCACAGGGCAGATTATGGCACAGGTTAACGTCACCTGAGACCCATATATGCTTAGCGAGTTGACCAATGCAGGGGCACCGAACCATGCAGTTAGATGAGAGTCTTCATTCTAATGTCGCTTAGTGATATAAGCATCCCCGCTTAATAGTTTTCAAACCTTTGTTTCTAACTCTGCACCTCACATTACTAACTGCACACTGTACATGTGGCAAACATTCAGCACGTTTGCAGTCATTGTAACTCCGTTTCATTGTTTTGACTTCTTTCTTTTAAGTAGTTTCCCTTATAATTTTTGTCTGAATTGATTGAAGTGAATGTGTCATTTTTTTGTTGGACTGAAAAAGAAAACAACGACAAAACCTTGTTCCTGGGGGCTTACAACTGCTGTCATGGTTACATCAAAATGTCACATGGGTAAAACTTCAAAACGTCAAAAGTGCCACTTTGGTCTCCGGTAAAAATGTGGGTCTGGCACCAAGCCTTCTGCATACCTGAATACTGCAACATTTGCTTAAGCTCCACAAATGGACCATTTCCCTGGCACTACCGAGATATGGCCATGTCCGAATTACTTGGCTACGGCTTGTAATTACACACAAGTCTATGGGAAGTGGCTGCAGCGGCTACCATAGACTCGTGTGTAATTTCTAGCCGTAGCCGTATAATTTGGACACGGTCTATCTCACTTGTATAACTCAAAAACCGACAGTTGCATCTTGACCTAATGACCTTTGACACAGCTCAAATTAATTTGAAATTCAAATGCACACAACTAAACATATACAGGGTGAGTAAAAAAAAACGCATCCCAAATGGCGGGACTCATTTTTGAATGAAGTTTTGCCTGTAGCACTTTCAAAATCTAGGATAAGAAGGCCCAATCAATGAGCTTTCTTTTAGTACAAGAATCATTCAGATCACTCATGTACTTTTCAAGTTGCAGCATTTTGAACACAAGCACAGTTTTAAAGTTCATTCCACGGATCACCAAAAAGTAAGTGTTCTTTCAGCAAAATGAGAACAATTCACATGCATTCCTATAGTGTATTGATGCAAGAAGCTTTGAGAGCGTTGAAATAACCAAATTAGGTTTTCAATCTACAGAAGAAGTTTCTTGGGCCCCTGGGAACAAGGTTGAACTCGGTTCGTACTTCGTATGCATGCGACATTGTAGTGCTGTATCTGGTGTGACCAGTCGGTTGGCAAATGTCCGAGAATTCTATATTCAAATAGACTAAGAATCTTCAAAATATTTTTTTTGTTCAAGCCTTCCCATTGCATTGATTCTATAAGCAAGTTTATCAAACTGCAAAACTATCGATTTCCTAGTTTTATACTAAAAAAAGGTTTTAACCAAACTAACAATAAAAAATTGAAAATTTTAACAATGTAATTATTGTGGTTAACAAAAAAAAGCTGATTTGATTTGATTTTTGTGCAGTTTGTTTTGTACTAAACTTTTGAGATATTCATAAGAAAGTATACAGCCTCATGAAATATGTCTCTGTTTACAGAGATTATTGTGGTAAAATTATTTGCCAACCAACAGTCTTTTTCGTTTCACCGTGACCTATTTTTGGCTTTTTTTCCTCTTGTATTTTCTTTCTTTTTCCCTTTTTTCTGGATGTCTCTTCTTCATTCAAAATTCCATCACCATGTCGTCCTCTTCCTGTGCGTGAAAAAAAAACTGTGTGGTGGTTGTATATGGTGATGTTTTTCGTGGCATGCGATTGGCCAGCCCCGCCTAACGGCTCTCCGCCCACCCCTCCGCCCAGTCCGAAGGAGGGGCCCAAGGAAGTAAACCCCGCCCATTCCCACTTCAGCCAACTCATCAAATTTGTTGTGACTGGTCTGAGCATGAGTGAGTTTTGCTTTTTTTTGGCCGTAGTAGTTTGCTTTTTTTCTAAAGTAGTTAAATATCTTCCTTTCCTTTCTGTATTTCTCGCAAATTTTTTTAATTTATTTCATTGAATATAGATATTTTCCAAAATTCCATAATTTATTTCATTTCATTGTTGCCAATTTTTTTTCTGTATGGATTTTCCTTGTTAAAAATGCCATATTCGACAGACATGTTTTAATATTACTTAATAAGCCGGTAATCTCAAAAAAATGGTTGTGATGAAATGCTTAATTCCAATCTTTATCCATGGTATAAACGTTTAGGTAAAAGGTTTCATACATATATATCACATTTTTGTATTGAATTTCAGAATTGTTGGCAAGTTAAAAATTCCCTTCTGTCGCCTCTTTGAAAAAAAATAATAAAAATATTCATCACAAATTCATTCTCATTTGCACACAATAAACAAACATGTTGCATAAGCTCCAGTACTGTTTAAGCAGCTTTGAATAAACATCTGTGCGCACAGTTTTCAGATACAGATATGCTAACTGTGAAAAAGTTAAAAGAAAAAAAAATGAATAAAAACAAAATGCCATGAGTTTAAAATAATTCTGATCATGCATGATATTTTGCTTCATAATTTTAACATTTCATTGGTTTGTGTGTCCATCCGGTTTATTTTTTTATTTCCATATTACGCCTGTATATAGACCCATCAGTTCTCCACGTGCCGTGTAAGTTTTCTCGCATTTCATCCAAATCATTCATTGGCACCAAAATTTGCTCTTTTTTCCCGTTTCTCTTCTCTCGTTTCCAATTTGCACCATCACCAAAATTAAAAAATTAAACAATAAAAAAAAATCAAAAAAAACGTTTCTGGCATGCACTGTTCCCATTCAAAATCACCAACTTCTTACAGTTGTCTTTCCCAATGTGTGACAAGTATTAAACTCTGTGTTTGTCCATTTTTACATAATTTTGAATGTTTCTCCCCGTAATGATTTCTTGTTTTCGTTTGTTTTTTTATATCACAGATTGTTTTTGTATGACTTATAACACATAATTTTAATCAGTACCCATCTTTTCTTGCCAAAGAAACTTGAATATAATTTCGAGAGTTAGATTACTTTTGTTCGGCGTAGAAACTTGTAAAAGGGATCCCAAGTTTTCGAAACGATTTTGTTTAATGCAACTTTTAGTTTTCAATGCAACTTTTTGTATCACTTTTCTCAGTGTGTTTGCTTGAGTTTTGGCCATGACTCGGATAGTATTTTTTAGCAATGTGTGACATGTTTTCATTTTACCTCCAACAATTTTTGTATTTTAATTGTTTAGTAAGAGCCTATGAGTATTTTAAGAAATGAGTAAAATCATAAAAAGGTTCAAAAATTGATATATCACAAAAGGTGATCGATTGTCCGTGCCAAATGTTCATTTTTTTGGGTAATTTTCAAACTGTGCCCACGACCTGTGCAAATGAAGTTAACTCCCATGGCCTTATTCAGATCAGGGCCGTCGCTAGAGGGGGGAGGGGGGTGCGGGGGTGTCACCCCATTCCAAATTGATGTCGGCAAATCCATAATTGTTGTTGGCAAAATTGTAAAATTGAGGGCCTTTTTTATAATATTTTACGGTTGTCTGCAAAGTTTGGAATCTGAAGACCTTTTTATTTTTTTATTTTTTTATTTTTTGGCTCGTCAAATATTTTGTTGCAAGTTTGGGGCAAATTTTACTTTTCAGACCCATACATTTTTCTGTCTGCAAATTTGAGGACCCTTTTTTGTGTTGCTTGTCGGATGTTTTGTACGCAAATTTGTCGGCATATTTGGTCCGACACCCCCTCATTGAAAATGTTCCAGCAACGCCCCTGATTTGGATTGTTTAAAGCTTGATATTTTGATAAAGAAATTTTCAAATTTATAATTTTCACATTTCCTTCCATGCACTCAATGGCTCTTACTCCACAATTTTTTTATGATTTTCCCTACCAAATATCCCTAAATTCCCACCCCACCACCCCTCCCTGTCCGTTCCTCCACAGTCCCTTCCCCTCCTCAAACTACCCAGTTAACAGACTGACATAGTTTCAAGTTGACCCTTTCAATAAGCTAACCCTCTTTAACATATATGTTATCAAAAATTTTATATATCGTCACAAGTTGTATCCATATTGTTCAATCAGTCTTTGCCACACATGAATTAATACTTGATATCAATCGTCATTGTCACATCACACAACATCATGGAACTCCATTGGAGGGAAATGTCTGTCACAATTTTGCATCGCAAATTCGCAATCAGTTTTTTTGAGAAAAGGTAAATTCCTTGATTTCTGACTTAAAAAAGAAAGGACTTCGTAAAAAAATGTTTCAGCCCAGTATTGAATCAAAAAGAAGAATCAGTTTTAAGCCCACTGTTACATATACATGGATGTGGCTATTTTCCAACTTAAAAGCGATTTATTGTTGTCACGTTGTCATTGTGGCCACTGGGGTCAAAGGTCACGTAGCTGCTTAGCGCAAACTCGTACTAAGCACTGAAAAACTATATTTGCTTAGCAAAATTGGGTTACCAGTCAAAATGTCATGCAAGGTGTATTGCTTTGTAACTGGTTCCCGGATAATTTTTGCGCATGCTCCCGAATTGACTCGGGTTCCTTCTAATTGTGACTGCCATTTTTCCCAGATCTTCAACTGGCCCAGACATGTAACACATTCAATCGAAACCCAAGTTCATTTGATTCACCTTTTAACCCATGATGGTTGTGTGCTTGAATTTTTGTCATTTTTGATCCAATTTGAACTTGACACTTCACTTCAAAAGCCAGTTTTTACCCCTTGTTCATTTTTAAATACACTGTATGCACGCAGTAATTGTGGTATTTTATTATTATCAGTAAGAAATTGTATTATTGCAGGAGATAATTTTAATATCGGTCAGTTACTTTTGGACAACTTGAGTTACGAGCTTTTTACAAAGTCTTCATTTTATTTGATCTTTGACCTCTGGGGTCGTGCACATGTAACAAGTGATTTGATTGGTTAAACTGGTGCATGGTAGTTAATCTGGACCAATCACTGAATGGCTAGTTCTTCCCCCTCCTTTTGTCATGTCAAGATCGCAGCGAGGGTTCGTTCACCAGATCGCGGAGTTCCAGCATGTCCAGCCTGGAGAAGGAGGCCAGGGAGGGCGTCCAGTGCTTGACCTTTGCCGAGTCCTACACCAGGAAAACAGGTCAGATTTTGCCATTATCTGACATTTCTCCCCCCCCCCCCTATATAGACCAATCCGGGCATGTTATCACTTCTATCACAAAGGCCCCCTTCAATGGTGAAAGCATTGTGCTAGCTATTGTTGAGATAATCCGTCACAGGGCATGGGTGTACAGTGATCGCGTGCCCGGATTAGCCTATGGTGTATTCCTGCAACAAAATTTAAAAGCCAGTACTGTGGAAACGAATATAGTGAAAATCACACAAAGTGCCAATGTGAACCATTCCAGATTAGGCCATAGGCCCCGCCCACCATTCTGTGTACATTTCTCACAATGCTTGTGACCAATTGGACGGAGCCACTGTGGTCACATGACCAAAAGTCTGGATCTAATTGGTCAGTGCACACTGTTTGATTGACAGGCAGGAAGGACAATTTGGCACAATTGTCACTGTGTGTCTACACTCGATGCATTCCTCTGAAACTCAAAGGCACTACTGGTTTGCGCACTTTGCAGTTGAAATTTGATCGCACATACTCCGCACCATACACACTTGTCCCTACATAGAGTACTAGGAAATTATGTCAAGATTGAAAAGAACTTATTGTTTGGTTCCACTGTGCAGAGTCTGTGACCTCACCCTGTATCTGGGTGGGCACCACTCTAGGGTCCGTGCTCGTCATCGTCATCAACTTACCACCCTGGGGGGAGCAGAGGTACACACAGCCTGTCATTGTCACGCCAAGCGGTAAGTCACACTGACAATTGAATTGCGAGGCATAGACTTGTACCCCAGTCCTCAGGTCTCAAGCCCTGATCCAACTGGTTTTGATCATTTATGAGTCGGATTCACTGAAATGTTAAATTCCCATACCGTGATACCGAAGTTATCTTGTTGAGTAATGGTTGCACTGCCTTCCTGTAATAGACCTTTATCATGCCTCCACCATTTCAGTCATGTTCCCTGTATCCAATAACAGTACTGAATGATAATGGTTTTTTGTGAAAAAAGGAACCAGACTATATTTCCCTCCAGCCTCGCTTTGGTTACATTGATTTGAATGGGAAAAATCAAATGGCTGCAACATGATAATGGTTTATAGTAGTATACAAAAATCTGATTTGTTTTTGCTGACACTTTTAACAACTGAAGCAATGCCTTTGAAAAGATGGATGATCAGTTTTGTGATTTGGTGAATACTTGGCATTTTCCTGTGGAGACCTAATCGTAGATCACTTCAAGAACTAGTCCACGAAGTTGATTCCAAGTCCATGGCCAAGTCATGTACCAATTGACATATCGCCGTTTGCGAGTTAGCCACGCCCCTTGGACAACCCTACGCAATTTTGTACGTTAAATTTGTTTGTCTCAGATTTTGCGCGTTCCGCGTCCATTTTGTATATCATGTAATTGGACAATATTTCACAAGCAGCGTTGACACGATTCTACCCTGATAGGTTAATTCTGCTTGAATGTTTTGTAATATATGCTGCTTGTTGTTGGTTCTCTGCCAGTTGTCTTGCCAAGCATCTACTTATGCTGTTGTGGTTCATTGTGATTGAGGCCTGATTTTCTTGGGTCGGTGTTTGCTTTTGTTGTTGCAGGTACCATCTTGCGTCTGAAAGGCAGCACCTTGCTGATGGCTTTCCTAGATTGTAACGGCAGCTTGATCACGCCGCCTTACGAACCCTGGAAAGACGTGAACAAAGACACCAAGGAGAGTCGAGACAAGAGTAAGTGTAAAACTCTCCGATCAGTGTCCTAGCCAAGGTTCTTGTGATGGATCACAAGACCATCACAAGCCATCACAAGACCATCACAAGTCAATCAGAAGACCATCACAAGCAATCACAAGTCATCACAAGACTATTATAAGTCATCACAAGACCATTACAAGACAATCACAAGAACATCACCAGTCAATCGGAAGACCATCACAAGCAATCACAAGTCATCACAAGTCAATCACAAGTCAATCACAAGGCATTCAGTCCCAATTCAACTCAAAAGTTATTACTTGTGACTGGACTTGTGAATTGGCTTATGATTTACTTTTGCCCAGACTTGTGACTGGACTTGTGATGGACTTGTGAATTGACTTGTTACTGGACTTGTGAATTGGTTTACGACTGGACTTGTGATGTACTTGTGACTAGACTTGAGAATTGACTTGTGATTTCCTTGCGACTAGACTTATGATTTCCTTGTGAATTGACTTATGATTTCCTTGTGACTAGACTTGAGAATTGACTTGTGATTTCCTTGTGACTGGACTTGTGATGTTATTGTGACTGGACTTTTGAATTGACTTATGATTTACTTTAAACCACCACTATCCATAAAAAAACGTAGTTTTAATTATCCCCTGTGTGACCAATGGATTCAAAATTTCAATGCTGATGACATTTTTGGTGTGTGTTTATTTTTTTGGGCATCAGGACCGCCGTCATTACAGCGCAGTCGAATGTCGCCCTCCTCCTCCACTGAAATTGCAGACCGACAATTTGTCATCATCTGCTCCGAGAAAGAAGCCAAGGTTGGTGTTTGGTTTTTATTAAAATTAAATTTTATTTCGAAATAAGACTATTATTAAGCATAGGCTATCATTAGGCATACAAACGCAGTTATTATCCTTAATAAAATAAGAATGCCATGGTCCAGTGGTTACAGTGTGTGACTCATGTACGATGGTGCGTGGATTCGACTCTGCCAGGAACATGGTGTTTGTGCCCTTGGGCAAGACTCTCAACTACAATTGCCTCTCTCCACCCAGGAGTATGAATGGGTACCTGAGAGGGTAGAGGGCGAATATGCGCTGATATCGGCTGCCGAGTGGTTTCGTGGGCTGATGAACAGGGGAATAATTGTAAAGCGCTTTGAGATTGTTGATACGATGGAAAGTGCGATAGGCATTACAGTTTATTTAATTTTTTAAAATGTAATACTGATAGACCTTTTGCACAGCAGCCATGTTTGAGGTCTGTGCTTTTAGACCTCTTGTGCATTCATTGTTAATGAATTAACATAACAATACACACCTCAAAGATGGCTGCCAAATGCAATCTATCTATTGTGGATGGGTTTATTTGTCTTCCTTTTCCAGGTCATATCACTTCCATCACAGACCTGTGCGTACCGGGTCAAAGTGGCCGAGTCGTCCTACGTCGTCAGAACAGATGTTATCAGCTTGCAGAGTAAGTCATGACAAAAAATCTACGTGTAACCATCATCATCGTCGGTTTTGAGGCCGTTGTCCAGTCTGTTCTGGGTTGGCCTGCTTTCTCCCTATGGCTCCTCTCCACTTGGCCCTGTCCGTTGCGTCCCTCGCATTGACTCCAAGCAGTCGCATGTAATCTGTCACAGAACTCTGCCGCGTCTTGCGCGGTCGGCCAATGGGTGGGCCCACCCGCGACTATTTTGGTACACCTCTTGACCCAGCTGGCATCATCCTTTCTCTCCACGTGACCATACCACCTCCTCAAAACAATACCGATCCCTTCCACTCCAACTCTCCTCCTCAGCTCCTCGCTTGACAGCCTGTCAGCCAGAGACACCCCACACATCCACCTGATCATTCTCATCTCTGCTCGTTCCAACTGCTGGACGTGCCTCGCCCTAGTGGGCCACGTCTCGCAGCCGTACAGCATGCAGCTCCGGACACAGGCAGTGTATACTTACCTGTGTGCGGAGCTGCATGCTGTATGGCTATAACCCGTGTACGTGTAACCCATTTTAAATCGTACGCTTAAAGATAAAGACCATCATTTGTAATTTGTGCATTTCGTTCGTTTGAAGCAACAAAAGTGTTCAAAATCTAAAGAAGGGTACTGAACAACTAACCTGATGAAGTTTCAGCTAAGCTTCAGCTGTATATTCCGAGAAAAACAGCATTCTAGGATCTCAATTTCAAATCAAAAGTTGCTGAATCATGTTTTGAATTTGTCCTGAATTCAGCGTCCGAGACACGTTCTCACTGAGCCGATTGCAGCTACGCGATGTCGCGCACTGATCCGACGAATTATAGCAACCTTGCGCGCGTGTGCGTCATGTCAACGCTTGTGCGCTTCGCCGAACAAAAAAAACGAACTACTAACGGAAATTTCCAATGGTGCGTCTTAAGACGCACCGTTGGAAAGGCCTTCTTTCGTTGATTACTTCAAATTGACAGCTTGCCAGAAAGAATAATTTCACAGGGAGTTTAGTCCCCTTACTATCTTTCAACCAAGTATGTTTTTCAACAATAAGTATGCCAGCTACTTTTCGGATAGCTGCAAATGATGGACTATAGCTTCAACGAGATTTCTTCCAGTGTATGATTGTCCTTGCGACCTATTACTCAAGTGAAGTTTTCTTGTTTTACAGATAGCGTTTGTCTGGCGTGCTACGTCGCCAACGGCCACATCATGGCGTTCAGCTTGCCCAGTTTCCGAGTTCTGCTTGATCACGACTACCTTCCACTGACCGATCTCAGGTCTGTTTGTTTGTCAGTGTGTTGGACTGTGTTTATATCTATGTCTGTTTGTCAGTGGGTATGTTCTCTCTCTCCCCTCCCCTCCCACCACTACAACAAGAGAATTGACCGCTCGGTATACATCTCTCACAAATGACGTCATTTCCTACAGACCAGCCACGTGCATCGGCATTTTGAGCGTCAACTTGCATAATGCGCATCGGCTGCGTCGTATTTCCAACACAATTCGAGCAACAAGTGCACGTGTTTGGAACATTTTCAACACTGCGCAATGCGTGCTTGATTGCGTAAAATACGCAGTTGCAGTTCTCCTACAGAGATGGCCGTCTTTGAGAGAGACTTATTCTAGCCTTGAAGGCATGTACATGTACATGTATATCACTTGTATTTTAACTTATTCAAGTGGGCCATAAACGTATTTGTTTGGTAATGAATACCAGCAACTGTAAAGTTAAAGGAGCAAAGAAGGACAGTCTAAATTATAAGCACTTGAAGTTTGGCTGCATCCTCGGTTTTGACTTTAACTTTCTCCAGTGAATGTGTGAGCTTTTGCCAAAACGCTCCATTGGGACACACCAAAAGGGTTTTTCCACTAGAAAATATTTTTTGGTTACCAGCTTTTAACCCCTTAAGGATGGGAAGCTGTCATGGCCGCGGCCGCTAATCCTCATTGGAATGCAGTTGCCAGCTGTGGTATGCCGTGGCACACGGCTAGTGGGTAGTTCCACAGCTGCTGCTTTTGTGCAGTCCCGCTACCACACAAAGGCTGTGCAGTCATGCGGGCCACTTGCTCTATGTGTGGAGGAATGTCCCCATTACACCCCGTCCTTAAGGGGTTAATTGAGGCCTCTGGTTGTCTGCAGTGACTTAACATTAGAATGGTTGCCTAATGGTTGTTTTTTGTTGTTGTAACGCCTGCCCCAGGATTGGCCGAACATTCCAGTTCAGCTCCCACGGCAAGGGTATATATCAAGCCAGTCCGACGGAACTCCAAAGGATAACTATATGCAGCGAAGCAAGGTAGGATTTCAGGACACTTTGGTTCAAAAATTGAGAGAGAGATTTCTTTTTCGTAAACACTGTAGTCTTCCAGCAAAAAAATAGTAAAACTTGTTTCTAACCTGAGTGATCCATGGAGCGTTCCATTTTTCAAACGTAAAGCTGAAGGAGAATGGAATGCTCCATGAATCACCTCAGAAGGTTAGTTTTACTACATCGCTCTGACGTGGGGTTGATGCAGGGTTGAAACATGCGGAGTTTCACACTTAAAAATGTTTAATCCTGTGTCAAACCTGAGATTGATTTCACCCGGATTGAACTCAACCCTGCTTCACACCATGCAGGTTTGTTTATTTATTTATTAATTTATTTATTTTGTGTTATTTTACCAGGGTAGCCCCATCAGTTGTCAATGAACTGTTCTCCCTGGGGGCCCTGAGATTGAGATTTTCAACCAGGGTTGAAAGTCTCGCCAGGGTTCAAAACAGTAGCAACTGAGCGAAATTAGCTCGGTTTGCGGGAAACAAGTGTGAAATGATGCGAGCTTTAACGCGGGGTTGAAAAATTAAAAACTCAATCCGGGGTGGCGCTGGGTTCCCCCAGGGTTAAGTTCAACCCGGGTTGAGAGGCTGTAGTGTGAAAAGGCGTAAACAGTTAATATTACAACATTCCCATCTTATGTCCACCCCTATTTTTGTGCCTGTATCCTTTCTTAGGGTTGAACGTGGGGGTTGAAAAATAAAAAAACTCAACCTGGGGTGGCGCTGGGTTCCCCCCGGGTTAAGTTCAACCCGGGTTGAGAGGCTATAGTGTGAAAAGGCGTAAACAGTTATTATTACAACATTCCTATCTTATGTCCACCCCAATTTTGGTGCCTGTATCCTTTCTAAGGGTTGAACGTGGGGGTTGAAAAATAAAAAAACTCAACCCGGGGTGGTGCTGGGTTCACCCAGGGTTGAGTTTAACCTGGGCTGAGAGGCTGTAGTGTGAAAAGGCCTAACATGGTTAATCTTTTGTTCCACAGTGAGAACCTCCATGACATGCTAGGCGACCTGTTCCTTCCAGTCAACACACCGGAAGCCCCCAGTAAAGGCTTCTTCAAAGGACTGTTTGGTGGAGGCAGCAGCACATTGGACAGGGAGGACTTGTGTAAGTCTAGGCTCTCTACAAGATATTGATAAGCCACATCCGAATGACTTGGCTATGACTAGCTGTTACACATGCGCCTATGGAAGCGGCTTACTTCCAACCCTAGCCAAGAAATCCAAGAAACGTTCTTAGAAATTCTCTTAGAAATTTTCTCAGAAATTCTCAGAAACTTTCTCAGAAATTCCCTCAGAAGCGTTCTTAGAAATTCTCTTAGAAAGTTTCTCATAAATTCTCTCAGAAACTTTCTCAGAAATTCTCTTAGAAACTTTCTTAGAATTTCTCTTAGAAATGTTCTCAGAAATTCTCTTGGAAACTTCTCAGAGATCTTCTCAGAAACTTTCTCAGAAATTTTCTCAGAAACTTTCTCAGAACTTCTCTAAGAAACTTTCTTATGAATTCTCATAGAAATTCTCTCACAAGATTTAGAGAAAAATATTCAAATTTGTGATAATCGACGTCCATTTATTTTTATTTTGGCTGGTAGTCGGCGAGTCAAGTGGTAAACCGTCTCGCAGCATAGCCAGGCACATACCGGGTACCGGTGGCATCGAGGGGGTCAAGGCTAACTCCAGCTCGGCAGCCGGGGAGCTCTACAAAGCACGCATCGTAAGTAACGTCCAGTTGCGCAATTTGGTCGTGGTGCTTGTGATCGATCGCAAGAACGTCACAAGTTTGGTCACCTGTGTCAATTCACAAGTCCAGTCACAAGTAACATCGGACGAGAAATAACAAAGCAGTGGCTTTGCCACAGTTCACTTGTATAGCGTGTGATTTGACTTGAGACAGAAAACTTGTGATTGACTTGTGATTGACTTGTGTTTGCTTGTGATTGCTTGTGATTGCTTGTGATGACTTATGATGACTTGTGATTGATTTGTGATTGACTTGTGTTTGCTTGTGCTGACCTATGATGACTTGTGATTGACTTGTGATGACTTGTGATTGACTTGTGATGACTTGTGTTTGACTTGTGATGACTTGTGTTTGACTTGTGATTGATTGGTGATTGACTTGTGATTGACTTGTGATTGACTTGTGATTGACTTGTGTTTGCTTGTGATTGCTTGTGATGACTTATGATGACTTGTGATTGATTTGTGATTGACTTGTGTTTGCTTGTGCTGACCTATGATGACTTGTGATTGACTTGTGATGACTTGTGATTGACTTGTGATGACTTGTGATTGACTTGTGATGACTTGTGATTGACTTGTGATTGACTTGTGATTGATTGGTGATTGACTTGTGATGACTTGTGATTAACTTGTGATTGACTTGTGATTGACTTGTGATTGACTTGTGATGACTTGTGATGACTTGTGATGACTTGTGTTTAACTTGTGATTGACTTTGTTATGACTTGACCGCAACTCAATATTTCATACACGGACTTTGTTACCTGCAAGTATGCAACTCTGCAAAACAGGTACACCACACAGGAAAAGATAAAAGGACAAATAAAACAGAAATGTTGATGATGTACATTTTTCCAAAACAGGCACTTCATGAACGAGGGGAGAAACTGAGCGAACTGGAGGAACGCACAGCACAGATGATGGCAAACGCCGAAAACTTCTCCCAGGCTTCGCACCAACTTATGCAGAAATACAAGGACAAGAAATGGTACCAGTTCTGATGGAACTACATAAGGCATTGGTGCTGGCTCCAAGCTACAGGGAACCAGCTAAAGCAGGCCAACTTTGTGACGAAGCAGGGACGAATGATTAGAGATTAAAACCAAAAAGGAGAAATCACATGATTTTGAGCCAAGACGCTTGGTCGACGGAAGTAAGGGGGTTTCAGCAGAGATTCATCTGCTTCGAAATCCGGTCCGATTGGACGGGGTTTGAAGGCGAAGGGAGTAGATCGTGCAAGGAAAAAAAAAATAATAAAAGCAATTTTTATAAATTCAAAATAGAGTGGAAGAGTGAAGAAAATAATACCTGACTTTTGAACCGGTGGCTGTGTTTGAAATCAAGTGTCTGTTCAAGTGCATGGAGGGGAGGTTTGGGTCGTATCGAAGTTGTTTATTCAAGTAGCTGTTACTCTGCCTTTAAAAGCTTCTAAACGCACATATACTTTCTGGTGTCTGAGCTGATAAACCCTAAAAATCACATCCGAATCAAGGTTAGTGATTACTCTTGGAATGTAGTGAAGTGGGGATTCAAAAACCTAAGTTTCCTGAGGGGACTGATATTGAATCAAGGAGTCACATTTTTTAATCCTATCTTTTGTCGGAACTGGGTGCATGCTGGCACAATTGTATCGTTTCACATTCCCGTTATTTAAAGTTGAACACACACACACACAACTAACATGGAAGATAGTTATGGACAAAGGCCGAATGCATTCCAGGGCAATCTATTGTATTGGTATTGAGGTATTTCAAAGTCTCTAATCTTCAGGGAGAAACTAAAAGCGCATGTAAGAAGGCTTTCGATAAACGCAGCACAGCTGGTCTCGTATTATGTCTTGGTTTTAGTTGGTGCTGTTTTGCTTAAAACTTTCCAGAGCATCATGTTAACATAAACAACCAAAAGAGGGCGCCATATCCATCTTACAGTGGTAAGACGGACCAATAAAAAAGGCTTTTAGGCAGTAAACAAAAGAAGTAGCTCACAAGCTACTGAATAAACATGAGCATGTACCAATAGATGATGACGGGAAAACATGCATGCTGAGTGGCGTTGGCAAGGGCTTTATCGATTAATAATTGACATTGACACTCTGTTCACATTCCAATTTTTTCGTCGTGTCGAGACGTCGTTAGCGTGATGTGTCGTTCCTTTTGCATGCCTTTCGTAGCTGAGTTCTCATTGGTTTTTGTACAAAAAACTTACAGGATATTGATTATTAAAAAAACCAAAATTTCTGAATCTGAGAGATCTAAACATTCCATTTCTTGACTTTCTTCTGCTTGTTAAAACTGTGAAAATGAAAACCGGAAAAACGTGCCGACGTGTTGGGCATAAGTCCTTACATCTGTAAGACTCACTTGCTGTGCCCTGTGCTAAGACAAAAATAACTTACAACTGATTCGATATATTTTTGTTGTCGTGTATATATAAATATATATATAAATGTACCTGAGGCATTATGTGTAGTTAAGGAAAGAGTAGGACAAGTGCATTGTGGACTCTTATTGAATTGTTCTTAGGTTAAAAAAAAAGTGCAATAGGCCTTGGAATTTGTAATCGATCATTGATCATTCTCTTCACGACTTTAAAAAAAAAAACGAGGATACTGCGTCTTCGTTCAAAATAAAATAAAAAATCTGAAAAGAGGTGACGATTGAATCGTCACTCTTTTTAACCAAAAAAAAAAATAATAATAAAAAATTGTGTACGGAAACGAATATATCCAGTGAGTTATTATAATTAATTTTTTTGTTACCTCATTCCAAAGCGTAAAAAAAAAATATGTAAATGAAGACTTGCATTTATAATTGTTGTTGACTGTGAACATATTTAGACAATGAACATAGTTGTACCACTCGGTACGCTAGCTAGACAATCTTTTGGGTACTTTGGACAGAGGCAGTTGAACGACCGATAGAGAAAATAGCTCGCCTCGTGTAAATAGACTACAGGAGAAGAAAAATAAAATAATCAAAACGTAAAAAAAGTTTAAGATATGATTACCAGTATATATGACTGTATAGAAACGTTAACAGAAAAAGTGTTTAGACATAGATGACTCAGCTGCGGATTAACTAAGAATTAATGAGTACAACTACCTATATACATAAATATAAATATATAAATATATTATCTGCTTCTCAATTTACGGAGGCGCCTATATTTGGGTCTGGTGCATATACGTGGCTATCCCGTCAACTTTTAACGAAACCACGAGACTGTGTTTATATACTCATGGCAGATATAGCTGTACGCTTTGCCACTTCATGCGTATGTTAGCCTCTCGCGAAGGTGAACGACCGCTTTGTTTGTTACGTAGCCGTAGACTATGTACGAGTCAATAAATCGACGGTCCGCGACGCCACTGTTTTTTCTTATAAATTACAGTATCTGGCAATGTACAGTACGATATATTCCTTTTCTGTTTTTTTCATAGAGTTGTACATAGTTATTTTGTGTAGCGGAGATCTGTTGTCACGTGACCGTGTCATGTATTTCTTTGATTTTTTCACCTTTTCATACTTTTTTCCCCTGGTGCGTTTTTGTCATTGTTCAGTTTTTTAGAAAACAGCCATTCTCTTTAGACAAACCATACTGTGTATTATTACAGCCGATACAAAGTCGAGGACCGAAATGTGACCGAATTCAAATTTACAAACATATAAATAGTAATTTGTACAAACAAAAACAAAATTGATTTTAATAATAGAATAAGAGTATTATTTCAGAATTATGTTGCCATTATTTAAAAGTGTAGTCTTAGCGAAAACGTCACACTGCATGACTAGAAATGCTGTTCTGACCATTCATTTTACTTCTAAAATTTTGTCCGGTTTTTGCATAGTTTGAGCAAGTAGACCATAACGTGTAAAACCGGTTGTTTTGTTTTTTTCAGAAGGATTTTGTAGTTATTAACTTACATTTTCGAAAGTCCATAAATGGTTGAAAACTGGTATTCAAGGTACTTTGTTAGTGGTTGTCAGGTTATTGAAAAAGCTGGAAGAAATGTTCAAAAAAATTGATTAAAGATAAACTTCATTGTATCTGTAAATGTAAATCAGACCTTTCAAAAGCCAAAAACATTTTTTTTTAGATTGACCGTTGCTTTTCTGCACTTTCATACAAAAACTGCCGTTTATTGTCAATACTTGCAGTCGTTTATTTCTTGAAGCCAGATTAAGCATTTTGTTCCCTGTGGCAAATCTTTGGCAGTTAAGTAACAATTTTACACTTTTAGATTACTTAATGATTTTTTGTATATTTGTTCAATAATATGAGGCACTTGTCAATTAATTTTGCACCCACGAATGACACTTATTGTGTTGTTAACCCTTTAAAAAAAAAGGACAATTCCTGGATAGGCTCATTGAAAATTGCATTTTGTTAACTTAGCACAAACCATTTGTGGGTGTGGTTTGTGTGCAAACTGTGCTGGCCAATCAGTGACCAGTGTGTATGGTTTGTGTACAAATACTTTCAGCCAATAGGGGCCCAAGAAGGAAGTCACCTACACAAATGATATTATACATTTTGCCATGGTTGTTACAACACAACCAATGGGTGTCGTGTGCAGTCACTGTAGGTGACTATGAGAGCTCCTATTGGTGGAGAGTAAGTGTACACAAACCATAGGAACTGATCACTGATTGGCTAAGCCTGGTCAGTGAACAAACCACTACTGGTAGTTCCTACCCAAAGAATACAAAGCCACTTTTAAGTGTGGGATGCAATGGGGACCTTGCTCCAATATTGCTGTGTATCTATACAAGCTTAAATAATATCAGAATACTTTAAAATTTTACTTCAGATTAAATCGGAAATGTTGCATCGGAAATAAAAGAGACTTTAATTGTAAAAGTACTAGTAAGGCACAGTGGCAATAGCTTAAATCATTATTAATTTGCAGGGTTTATGTATAATTTGGACTGAAAAATCATGTAATATAACTCATGTTTTGGTTTGTGTTTGACTTGATCTGCACATTTATTTCACCCTGTAATACCAAAAGCAAGAACAATTTTATTTCAAAGAAAACAAAAATGTGTTTGTATAATTTGCACAAATTATTAAGTAGGACATACAGTTGAGTTGAATAACCATTGAATCATAATATGTTAATATTGCCATTAAAAATCTAGAATTTTTTTTTTTAATGAAGTGTTGTCAGATATTTCTCTTTGTTACATTGGAAAGTAATGTTTCCCAAATTAAATACACATATATATATTTCCTTTTACAACTTATTGATTTTATTTTTACAAGAAAATTCATTGAAATTGTTGAATGTGTAAAGGAGATAATTATTGTTTCATATAGCAAAGTTGAAATTTTGCATGTATCATTATAATTCAATTTGCTGTCTCGGTGGTTATTTTGGGGATTTTTGAATTGAAGTTGTCCCTTGTTCAGTTTAGTTTTGTAGTGGTTTTTGATCTAGATCATTATTGTCGTATTTAAAGTTTTGACCCTTTTTTTTTGCTTGCCTATAAAAAAATTGAGATTGGAATTGTTTCTGTACCATCTATATCCTTCACCTACCTTCCCTCTTTAAACTCACCTCCTGCCCCACTCCCCCACCCCAGCCCCCACCCCTCCCCCACCCCCTACCCCAGCCCCTTCCCCACCCCAGCCCCCACCCCTACCCACCTCACCGCAAATCCCACCCCCTACCCCACCCCTGACCCCATCCCACTCCCACAAAGAATATTAGGTAGTTACGTCCAACAGTTGTTCAGTCAAGTCGGTAGAAATAAATAAGACAGTATCTATGCCACTTCACCATTGTTCGTATATTCTGTCACTTAACTACGTCGGGAGAAACACAGGGTGTGCTGCAAACTTTCCTGTAACGTCAGTTAGACCCTGGCAAGTCTCTGCATTTATTTTTCTTTTTTAAATAAGCCATTTTACTCATTGAATGCTTTGAGCGGTTTTACAGGATTCAGTTTGCGCGGTTGTAGGTATAGCACATTGAGCACGTAGACAGCCCCCCCCCCTCCCATAGTCACATTAGTTACAGTTTTCTTTTGATATTTGGGTGTTTTTTTGTATAGAACTAATTAATGTCAGATCTTGTTCATTTTTTGTTTCATTCTAAACCTCGATTTGTCTGTGTTCCAATCTTGTTGGTACGTTGTGCATCGTATAGGCTATATAGACCATTATCATGTTGCGGCCATCTTGATTTTTTTCCCCATTCAAATCAACGCAACCAAAGCGAGGCTGAAAGGAAAAATAGTCTGGTTCCTTTTTGCGCAAAAAACCCATTATCATTCAGTACTTATTTATTGGATACAGGGAACATGACTGAAATGTTGGCAGCAAGTTTAAGGTCTATAGGCTTCAACAGAACCTGTCAAAATCGGACAAAGAAATCACACATTCCTTTCCTTTTTTTGGTAGAAAAATTACAATGTATTTGATTTTGTCCAGTTTATAGGTATTCTATATTCCCACATAGGTACATGTACGTATATTTCTATGTTGCTCGTGTGATGCATTCCATTTTCATGACATCAATAAATTCATTCCATTGAAAGATATTTCCCATTAAAAAACAAATACCAAGAACATTAAACATCAAAAAAACTTAAGATATATAAACAGTGTACATGTATGACAACAAAACTCATGCATAGTGATCCACATCGCTTCTTCGTTTTAATAAAAAAAAATTGTTTTTTTAAATACCATGCATGCCCTCAACATAGCTGTTTGCCTTTGTTTATTCATTTATTCTTAATTAAATATTACAAAAGTACTATGTCTTATTTTATGCAGTAGAATTCCCGAATGTAGATTTACAGAAAGTTTTTCTCAGTTTAATCACGATATCGATTCGGCTCAAAGAGCATGAAACAGATTTTCTAGAATTTACTCTTTGTTTTTTTCCCCAAGTTGTAATACCAAACTAAACTTGATATTAGCAGTTCGTGGTCAAACCTTGATTACTATAATGGACCGATCCAGTAAGCACCGCCCCATGGTGTTCTGACCAATCACAGCCGTGATTTATGTCCGACGTGCGTGCACAAAAGTCCGACATGCGTGCACGCGCGTATGATGCGCGCGGCAGGAAAATGCAGTGTGGCATTGGAGAGGAGCACGTGTTAATTTACCCACGTGCGTACTGGGCGGAGCTTACTGGATCTGTCCATTGTCACTATCTGGTTTTTGATCAGATGAAACAGTCGTCTGGTACTTTCCCCGCTGTGTTTTATGATGTGTTTTCTTTCTTGACAGCTGTTGCATGTATACTAGAACTATTCAGGTAATTTACATGTAAGCAGTGATAATGCAAGCATTTTAAGAATAGCTTTGATGCCACTGATCACTCTGTGTACTGTGTTGTTTCTATACAATTTTAGTTCAACTCTCTTCATGTGCAATGTATTCCACAGAATCTTACCAGTTTTACTGGCTATTTGGGGGATTATTTGGTTGTTTTTGTTTAGAAAGAAGTGTTTGTGTACATTTTCAATTTTAATAACATGTCTCCCAGTCAAGTCAGGTAGAGAGTCATTTAGGTTCACTTTTGAAATAGGTTTCGCTGTACTAATAACAAAAAGTGAAGAAATTGTCAAAATCAATTGTATTTAATAATAATGAACGATTGGCTTCATTGTTTAAAACAAACCATTTACATTCATATTCCAACTCGAAATGAGGATTAATAAAAAGTCTCCATTATCCAGCTTATTAGAGTGATCATTAACGGTTTGTTGGTATAGGAAACGATTTACTGACGATTTTACTCGACGTATGGTGTACAGAGAACACGAGTCGTATGACAAGTGAGAAGGCAGAAATAAAACATATCCCTAGCTGTTTAAATACCAGAAATGAAATTGTCTCATGGTGAAATTATTTTCAGGAATGTTCTTGTGCTGTGTTAATATGCTGGCCAGTCAAGAAAAGTCAACATCAATTTCAGTGTCCATAAAATCGTGGCCATCCCCTTTTTAAAATATTAACTCGAGGAATGAATCAAAGTCAACGTAATTTTACCATTTTTATATGCAGTCTTTTTCAGAGATGTTTTTATGCTAAAAGATTTAAATATTTGTCCAAACTTTTGGAAATCCCCCCCCCCCCAAAAAAAAATAAGAAAATTTTACTCTATCGGGCAAAAATTCTGACATCTTAAAATCAGGTCCTACACATTTATACTCTACGATTTTGCCGCTTTCCAAGATCTATTCTAGAAGTTAATGTGCTTTCTCGTCCATATTCAGACTATTGGTTTAAAATGCAACTGTGACCCCGCCCCCTTTCTCTCACCGGCTTGAAATGGTGAGAATTCTAAGCGACTGAACACCGAGTCTAAAACGTGTCAAAATCTCGAGCTTTCTCGCGGTACGTGTCCTATGTGAAATAAAATGGCCGACAACATCATCAAAGTGTAGCGAAGTTTCAATCATTTAATCTTTGGTGAGTATGGGCATTCAGGTTTCCGTAGATGTTTTGGTAAGGAGATTTGATTTGGTGGGAAAATGAATAAATAGAAGCTTTGTTCAGGCAGAATTCATGTTGTCCTTAACGGGGGCCTAAGAAAACTAAATTTACGGAAGTGTTCAGCGTTATCCATTGCACTAGTCAGTGCGCCATGGCCATGATGGCACTGTGTAACTCTTTTTCAAGTACAAATATGGACACTGCACTGCCAATGCATTGGCATTGTTGAGTGGGTCGTTGATTGACAGGTGTTGCACAGCCACACTTAAACTGTTCAAGTGCACTACTAAACAAAATGCCACTGACTAGTCACGTACAACATGTACAACAACACGTCCATCGTCAGTGATCGGTGATCGTCTTGTTTTGTTTCCGTGTCAATTGTAAAATGAATATTTACAAAAATAAAGATCATGCACTATGATCATGATGATCAGGATAATGCAGTGAGCTAGTAAGTGACACCATGGTGACACTGAAAGAATGTTGCAACCTGACGCTGCCTCAGTGAAGGTCAGTAACTGCAAAAATGATGATAAGACATGAATCTGGGACTGAGAAACATTTCCAATTTTGTTAGGAAATACTTGACTCTTAGAAAATGTTCTTGACTCTCCATAGACTTTGTACACAACCTCCTCTTTCTTTCTTTATTTTTCCTGATAGGTGCGGCTGGTGCGCATTGTTATAGACGGATAAACTCAGCACAGGTTGATGCAACTATGGATGCCTTGATCAGTGTTGTGCAGTCCAAAGTAGCTGAACCTGGCGACTTGCAGTGTTTAGACATATCCTTTGAAAGATGAAATTGTTTAAATTTTCAAGATTGGTCATATTAATGGTAGGATTTAAATTAGGATTTTTCCAAATTCGGTTTGAATTCCACTATTCGGTTTTGATTTGGAAACCGGATATTCAAAACCGACCTTAAAAAACATTAAGCCTTCCATTTTTTGTGTGACACAGGCTTAAGAAAATAACGGGAACATCCCCCAATTTGCTCCATGGTCTCTGATTGTAACTGCATTCACTTGCTAGTGGTCTTCTTGGTTCATGAATAGCCTGCCCTTCGACTTTCAGAGAGTTCACATCCAGTTTTGTTTTCAACATTACTGCTCTTTGAGTGTCTTTGTAAAGGCCCTGTGGTCATCGAATCCTGCAAATTATACCCAGTCATTGGGAGGGCATTTCATGTGGCACCTCATCACTCGTTACTTTTTGTTGACATGACTGTGAGCTGGATGGGAAATTAATTCCGGTGAAATCAGATGAACATTATTCGGTTTGACAAAAAATTATGGATAACCGGATTTTTAAATCTCCGATTCCTCCCACCACTAGGTCATATTAAAACCAATAGGATCGTTTGGAGCTGCCCAAAAAAAGGAGTTACCTAATTATTCAATAATGTATTAGTTATCCCTTCACATTTCTGGATCTAGGGACCTAAATGGAATGAGGTAAAAAGGAGTGGATTGAGAAATAGTCAGGCTTTAATGTAATATATAATTTCATTGAAGAAAAAAATGATTAAACAGTTGTTTTCTGAATGTTGCACTTTTTTGGACACGCTCTGTACACATGTGTATATTTCGAAAACAATTTGTCTCTGAAATACGCTAGTTGTGATTTTGCAAACTTACGTAACATTTCCTGCTGTCATGGCAAAAAAAAATCCCACCAAATTTAAACTTGTGACAATTCAGGATAATTGTGTTCCTTAACAATCATACTGTGTCTCAGGAACCTTGGTACCAGACCTGAGCAATGGCAAATATGCATTTGCACTGGTGCACTGTCCGGCCGTTGGCACGCAGGGGTGAGTATATTGTATTTAGCTCCCCCTCAGTAGTAGTTAGTCTTTAAACCCTAACTCCCTAGGCCTTTTTGCTAGGATGTAGCCTCAATCCTGCAAAATCCTCCAATTGGCCTCATGGAAAAATAGCATATAACCTCAATCCTGCAAATTCCTCCGTTGTTTCTTGAATATGGTCCATGGAGGGGTGACCACTGCCTGAATCCTGCATAATCCTCCGGCTATGACTGTCAATAGGCTGAGGCAGAGGCAGTGACATCCTGGAGCAGTGCGGAGGATGTCAAGTATAATCAAGGGCTAAATTTATGCACGGCTGAGCATAAACAACACAAGGTCCGGCCCAAGACCTTGACACAGTGCGTACTCCGAAATCAGCAACCCACTTTTGCCATGTAACCTCAATCCTGCAAATTCCTCCAATTTGCAAAAAGGATTTTGGAGGATTCAGGGCGGTTAGGGTTAATACATCACTAGGAACTAAAGGCCCATCTCGATTCGTATCCAGGACGAGTTCTGGACAGGTAAAATCGTTCACTTTGTCCAGAACTTCAGAAGATGCTCCGCATTTGTCCTGGACACGTTCTGGGGATAATTTTCATTAGCAACTGCTTGACTCACCGATACTGATACCTTCATTGCGGGAAGATTGCAGGGAAGTTGTTCAGAATCCTGCAGCTTATACTCGATACAATGTCTGCAACTTGTCTGGAACTCATCCTGGATATGAAGTGAGACGGGCCGTGTGTATCAAGTTGATTGTACGCAGTTAACCAGTACGTGCTGCCATGCAATTTGGACGTGACCTTATAATATGGCAGACATTGTAAATCCATGCAATAGAAACGGGAATGTTTCCCGGGGGGGGGGGGGGGGGGGGGGGTTTAGGCAGGTACTACATGTATCTCATTCTCTTTGTTGGGAAGTATCTCTTTCCCTTGACAGCAGCGCGCACACATCGCGGACGAGCAAACCCAATGTATTGTACACGACTCTACGATGTATACAGTAACACAGAGTTAGCTAGCTACAGCACGATATCATATTACAATCGCCCAACAGCCGTGCGTTGACCACACAGATACATGTAAGTTCGTCATCACTCCACACTGAGCCAGCCAAGTTCCTAGTAACTCGTTGAGCCAGGCACCCGACTGTGACACAGCAAAAATACCATTTGAGTTAAACCATTTTCACTTTCGTCGTGTTCATAAATTTGGCCCAAAAAATGGTCATGTTGAACTGAGGGATTTCCTTTACACGACTACGGAGTAAAGATTAGACCTTTGATGATCTGTTAAGGCGATAAAAATGAAATGTTAAAAAAGCATTTCCACATAATGTCTGTGGAAACCAAAAAAACTTTAAAATTAAGACTTGAAAGCGGATATGGATTTTCCCAACTTTTGAACACCCCTATTTTTCAAATGGTAGAGGCACACAGATGGTCGGTCACACTTGGCTGTGCCCCCCCCCCCCCCCCCCCACCCTCCCCTGGAATTTTCCTATGGGAAAATATACGTAAATAACTTTGGGTTCTGGTCTGGATTAAATCTACTTTACAGCCTGTTCGTCTACCGCTGTCAGCTGCCAGTCAAGGACTCCAGTGACTTAACATTATCGAAAGTCATTGCCATCACAAGCGAGTTTCAGTACGTCATCGGTGAGTGATGAAAATTTGTTTGTTTGTCCGTATGTCTATCTCAGATTTACTTTCCTTTTTTTACTTGTATGAAAAATTTGGGAAAATGTTATTACTTTGAAACTTTTGAAATGGGATACAAATATATATGTGAATTTGTCAGAAACAGTACCATGCAGAACTAAGCATTTCCTGCTGCCATGGTAATGACAGGTTAAAAATTTGTGCGGAACTTATCAATTACATCTACCTACATGTATGTGCACTGTGACATGTGAATGCCCCTTGCTCCAAATTTAGAACGACACTGCTCGGAAAAAAATTGAATTTCCTCTGTTAACAAGATCAGTTGATAGGGGGAAGGGGCTCTCACATAAAATATTGTGACTTGTTGTCTTAAAGCTATAGTCCATCATTTGTAATTTGTGCATTTTGTTCGTTTGAAGCAACAAAAGAGTTCAAAATCTAATAGAGGATACTAAGCAACTAACCTGATGAAGTTTCAGCTAAGCTTCAGCTGTCCATTCCGAGAAAAACAGCATTCTAAGATCTCAATTTCAAATCAAAAGTTACTGAATCGTGTTTTGAATTGCAGCTATACGCGACATCGCGCACTGATCCGACGAATTATAACAACCGCGCGCGCGTGTGCGTCGTTCCAATACTTGCGTGCGCTGCGCTGAATAACAAAACGAACTACTAATCTAAATTTTCCTACGGTGCTTCCTAAGAATCACCGTTGGAAATGCCTTCTTTCGTTGATTACTTCAAAATGACAGCTTCCCAGAAAGAATAATTTCACAGGGAGTTTAGTTCCCTTACTATCTTTCAACTAAGTTTGTTTTTCAACAATAATTACGCCAGTTACTTTTCGGATGGCTGCAAATGATGGACTATAGCTTTAATACGAGTCTGTAGTCGCAAGCGGAGATAACTGCGTCAGTCGTAATACATTGACGTCAGACGCTTAATATGTTAAGTAAGTGAGTCACCACTGTCCACATTGCTGCCCCGACTTTGGATGAGTTCAGGACAGTTTACTTGTTTAGGTATCGGAGACGAATTAAAATGAGTTATATTTTCTGTTGTCTTTAAGTTATTATGATAGGTTGTTGTGTTCAGTTGCACTTTCTCTTTATGACCAACGCTATCAACTTCTGGAAACATTTCTGTAGACTTGTTTAAGTTGTGGAAATTAACCGCAAGGGGGAAAAAACTGACCGGGTTTACTCAATTTCCTGTTGATAAGAACAGTTTTGATTGAACAAGTTAAGTGATATTCCGGAGAGCATCTTCAATTTTTCTTTGGTCAATCCAAAAATAATTGTAACAAGTTAGAAATTTAGGCCAAGTAAAAACAGGTCAAAGGGTTTTGGAATTTTTTCCGGGCGCCTCCTTTTATTTATTTTTAAAAATTCCGCCCCTACCTAAGATCTCAGCCATCGAGTGACGAAAGATTTTGAAACTCAGAACGTGCATAGAACAACTTATCATGAACATACCCAAGAAATTTCATATCTATAGGTCAAAGGGTTTGGGGATTATGGCTAATTAATCATCCATATGCACGAATGGTAATGCTGTTTTGTGTACACTAAGTATATGGGACAATTTTTCACTGTGCGGCAACCCCTGAACCAGTCCGAATTTTAGGTTTTGGTATCAAAAGATGCGCAAGACTCGAGGCTAAACAGTCATAACAGCTCGAGTCGCGACAATTTTTTTGTTCAAGGCTATTGCGGAAAAAGTTGAGGGTGGGGGCAGATTCCGCCCCTCCCCGGCCCTTTTAGGGTTAAAAAGTGCTTTATTGTTGAAATCGTATTTCACGATCAAAAGTTTGTGCATGTTTTCCACTGTGTTCTCGAAAAACTGTAATACCCACTGAGCTGACACTTCAACAGGTAAGGTTGTGAAAAGTCATCTTTGGATTTTGAGTGGTTATTGGAAACCAACAAAATGCATGAAAAACAAATGGTCCTACATGTGCCTTGAAGTTATTACCTGCCCTTCGTCACAATTTAATTTTAGCAGACAATGCCTCTCCCCTCCCCAAAAGCCCCCCTCCTGTCACCTGTTAACGAACCCCCTGATATTAACTCAGCCCCATCCACCTGTCTTCATCCTGTGGGACAACAAATCAAATCCTACTGTACGTGTCTGCAGCAGCTAGCAGTGACTCATACTGATGGCCCTAAAAATAAAAAACCGCAGGTCCATAAATAGTCAAGATTTCAATGTCGCCTACGCACATGAACATTTGGGCATGACTCAAGACCGTACGGTTTTGAGCAAGCCAGTCCCCAATTTAGAAATCTATTTTGGTTGGAAGTGGAAGGACTCCAGTTCTCAGTGATCTTCTTGTAAGACTTGCAAATGTAATTCTGTACAGAGCACTTAACGCTTAAAGGGGTAAGTCAGTTTATTCACGGCGTGTTTGCATGGGTATTCTTTTTAATTGTGAAATAAGAAACAAGGATTGGCACAAAATGATTGGGTTTTGTACATGTATGTAGTTTGCCCGTTGCCTTGCCCAATGTAAAGTAAGGGGCAAAGTTGTTACATACATGTATATACATGTATTAACTCAACTTTCGCTAAGCAGAATAAAGTTTTGCCGTGAAAAAAATAGATTACCCGGTACATACGGTATGTATACATATACCTCGAGGTGAAAATCTGCAAGGCACTGATTTTTTTTGTTCTGAGCAGATTTTGTGAAATATTTGCTTGGATGTTTCTGCTTACAGCAATGCAGTTGCAGGCCGTAAGGACCACATTTATACGGTGATGATTATAAAGCCAAAAAAAAAAAGTCTCCGGTTTCTGGTATGCGCGCGCGTCGCCGTAGCCATGCGCGTCGGCAAAATGACAAAGTTTTTTTTTCAAGGAAAGATGATGTCTCAAAACCCGCCAAACTCACTGGTTTGACTGGAATCCTGCTGCTGCACAATCTTAACGTGTTTTTAGATTGGGTAATGGTCGAGAATAAGCTTTATGTGGCCTCTCTGGACTCCCATATATTTGCACTAAGTTTAATCGGGCACCATTTGCAGTCATCAGCCGACATTTGAAGCAAAAAAATCAGGTATAAAAAAAAAAAAAGCCACGTCGCCGCACCACTTTTTGGGCAAGCTCCATACCAGAAACCAGAGACTTTCATTTTTTGGCCTAAGCAAAAAATACCAGAATTTTTAAAGCAAATTGCTGGGTTCCTGCCCACCGTACTATGGCTAGCCGTTGCCTGTCTCAAAATTGCAAAAACAAGTGCGTGTTGATGTACACACTCTTGATTGGCATGCATTTATTAATTTCCCCCTAAGTTAACCACGCATGACTGACTTTTCTTGTTTATCCCAAGAGGTCACCAAGTAGAGCACAGGTGTCAATCAGATGTCATCAGGAAACTCACGGCTGATTTCCTTCGCACATCTGGCACATGTCCACTACCTGAAGCTATCCCAAAAAGTCATTAAGAGGAAATCATATGGTCCACTCACTTCCATAGCATTGGTCCCATTATTGTTAAAGGGAAAATGCAACATTTGCAAACATCAAAAAATAAAACTACCAAATCGTTTTGAAATACCTTGCTGGACTGTTAGTGAATGACAGTGTAAAGCATCCTGTAAAATCATGGCACCTGGTATACTGTCATTTTCAAGAAAAGTGGTATTTTTGTATCAATTTCCAACGCTGGTCGGCCGACCAGCGTTGGAAAAAAACTGGCTTTTTTTCAAATACTGGCCCCAATTGACCATCGCACTTGTTAGTAATCGATTACACACCTATGAACGGGTACAAGCCAGCTAGACTGGTTCCCTGACCTTACAATTCCTCAATGTATGTAAACTGCTCTGTTTTTTCTTATATGGAGTCAGGGAACCAGACTACAGGAAAATGATTGTTTTTCTTGGTTTTTATAGCATTTTCGAACCCAAAACCTCAAAAAAGTCAGTGTAACTATATTTGCTATATATTTCCGACCCCCCAATTCCATCCATTTCTGAAAATGACAGCAAAAGCAAGTGATGTATATTCCCTTTAACAAGCCATGAATGACAAGGTCGATATTGGAGAATGTCCAGAAGCAATCTAGGATAGGAAGTTAAGGAAGTTAGGGCCAGGGTCAGGTCACGTAACTGTGGCCTGAGAACAGTGGGACGAGCACCCACGCTGTAGTTAAGTTTCATTTTCCATGTAGATTTCAACAGGATGAGCATGCATGTTGAGATTGAATGCATTAACATTGTCCAGTTGGTCCATTCTTGTGCGTTCATTGGGGGAGTGGAAGTTTTGCGTCCTGTGCGTCACAATTGAGAGATGAGTCATTGTTGAGAAGTTTTACAGTGAGGACAAAAGTCAATAACAACTTCAGTGCACAGCAGACAATGGATATGTAATCAGGCGATTGGAATATACTGTACGACTAGTACATGAAGCTGTGAAAGTTGGAAGTTTTTCTGCTGGTACATGAAAAGATGTGTATGGTATAAAGTTAACCCTGACCTATGCCTGTACATGTAAAGGTATGTTGGTTTGCTACATTGGCCTTATGAAGATGGGTTTTAGGAAGCCATTGTACATAGAGCAATGATTGGTTTACAGGCAGTAATGGTTTATTACCGTTAAAGGTCACTTAGTAAGGTCATGACTTTTAAATTTTTATGGGCTCTGTGTGTGTGTATGTACATGTAAGGTGCTCTCTAGCGAAAAAAAAAAATTAGCTTGCAGATGAGGGTATTTTTTACTTGCTGGGGCCATTTCTGTCACATATGTTCTTCATATCATGTCAAGCTGTTCTGATTTGCCATTGTAAGCTATGCGCTGCGTACACTAAACCAAATAAGCCTTTTCGGAGTTCCAACTGCGCGCATTCGTAACCTGTGACAACGCACATTGTTTGTCTCAAATGCCTTTTGACAGTACCCACAATGCAGAAACAGCCTTTTTCTAAAGTCAGTGGCGCGATGTTGTCAAAGGCCATTTGAGACAAACAATGCGCGTTGTCACAGGTTACGAATGCGCAGTTGGAACTCCGAAAAGGCTTATTTTACAGGATTGCAGCATTGTTACTCACCAAGGGGGGATCCAGGGGGCTAACATGGGCCTTGCCCCCCCCCAAAAAAAAAACGGACCCTCTTTTTTTTTTTTTAAGTGACGTCGCAATAAAGGCAGGCACTGCATACACCATCTTTTCCTCAAAAAGATTTGGTTAATGTGGTCAGAAATTGCCTCAGATCGCACCACAGAACATCTAGAATCAAAAAAAAAAATTGGGGGCCCTTAAGCTGGCCCCGAACCCCACGCCTTAATTTTTGGGACCCACTTTTTGGGGACCAAAATTGGCCCCCCCCCCCCAAAAAAAAATAAATTTGTTTTTGTTACTTACTGATTGGTTGTTGTTGTCTTTTTGCAGGTACACCAACAGTGGACCAGTCTATCCTGCAAGTCAAGATCAACTCACCCGACTCGGCCTTGGTCATCGAGGTTCCCTTCGAACCCAAATCCTCCAACTTCTTCATGAATATCAAAAAGTGCGCCAACGGTGAGCTGCAGTGTTCTTCTCAAAAGCATTTACACTCGCAGCATATTATGAGATATCTCAAATGATTAGGAGAAATTGAACGAGTCCCTATTGACTGGCACTGTTAAGCAGAAAATATGGCTTATCAATTTTATGCGCGTAGCAAAGATCAATGTAGTAGTACCAGTCACAAGCAGCATATTTTTCACATGAATTTCTAGCTGGTAACCGAATCCAAAATTTCTTTGTTTAACAAAGTTCAGTGCGTAGGAGCTCCATGATATTTGCCCTGAGTTGTGTTCAACCCCCCTCCCCCCCCCCCCCCCCACATTAAATTTTCCCATTTTTTTATTTCATCAAGTCCTGCAAGTTCTTGGTCATTTTTTTTCTCTAAAATTTAAATCCTACAATTCCCAATAGTAAACACCTTGACAAAAATTGTAAAAACAAGATCCTTCGATTTTTTTAATAGCCTTTCCAGATCCCAGGAATTGTACATGTACATGTACAAACAATGTACAATGTACATGTACATACATGTATACATGTACATGTATTATCCCAAAAATAATATAGTTTTAGTATCCCTCCATCACAGTTGATAAGGCCAAAAAAAATAGTTCTGCTTCCGGTTTCTCTACCTACCCTATTCTGACAGCCCCTACGCTATTTTTTTTATGGGAAAAATGAGAAGAAAAAAAACACCCAAAACCATCAATTTCTACCATTTACCCTTGACTACATATGATTGTACACAAAATCATTGCCAAAAATAAAACAAATTCCCTACCTGCCTACCCTGTTTTCGAATGCCATGTAATCGAAAGCAGAACTATTTTTTTGTTTTTTTGGCCTAAGGTTACATGTATTTGCTCATAGTGTTTTGTCCAGCGTTCATACTTCATCGGGTCAGACTTTGGTTTTCCAAACATATATCTTGCATTCAACCGCAGGTATTGTGTTTTACTATTTTTGAACTGATAGGCCTACAGGAACTGTTTGGAACTCAAAATGGGATCTATTCAATTTTTTCCCCCCAGTGTGTATTGAGAGGATGAAACAGAGCATAGCGCCACAGTTCCAATGGCTGGACAAGTACAAAGCCCAGCTAATGGCAGCGCTGGGTTCCCCAAAGGATCCATTTGAACCGGCGACCTTCTACGAAACCATACCGGCTTCTACTCCAGCCCAAACCAGTCAATCGTCTTTCGGCGATGCTTTCGTCGATCTGGATCCGTTCGCCGATCTAGCGAGTAGCCGCATACCTCACAGGACTAGCGAGTACGTGAGCTCGGCGGACCGAAACTCAGAACTCTTGACCGGGGGTTCGGACCCGGCGTTGCGAAACTCGAACTCTGCCAACACACTACCCGCTATGTCCAGTCAGAACAGTTACGTCAATTGCCCGAAGGATCCCGGATTTCTCGTGGATTTCGAGGGGAATATTTTAACGCGGCCGGCTTACGTTCATCCAGCACCGCCAAAGGATGATTCCTCGGGTAAGAAATATTAAAAAAGAAATGAAAATATCATAATCCAAATTTTTTGGAGATGCTAGGTGGAAAATATAGACCATTATCATGTTGCGGCCATCTTTAATTTTTCACATTCAATTCAACGTAACCAGGGGCCAATTTCACGGCGCTGCTAAGCACAAAAATATGCTTAGCACAAAAAAGTCTGGCTCATGAAAGCAGGTTACCAGCCAAAACTCCATGCGATGTATATTGCTCGTGATTAGTTTTCAGCTGTTGTTTGCTTAGCATGAAAATCACAAGGAGTTTTGGCTGGTAACCTGCTTTTATAAGCCAGACTTTTTTTTGCGCTAAGCAAAGTTTTGTGCTAAGCAGCGCCGTGAAATTGGGCCCTGAGTGAGGCTGGAAGGAAAAATAGTCTGGTTCCTTTTTGCACCAAAACCATTATCATTCAGTACTGTTCTTGGATACAGGGAACATGACTGAAGTGGTCGCAGCATGATAAACGTCTATTGCTCTGTGCATGTGACACTCAAAATTGTTTTATCTGAGCCGTTTTGTGTCTGTTCTTATTCTCTGCTTGACACCCTCAACAATTGAGATAATAGTCATGATAGTTTGGATTGGAACAATTGTTTTATCTGTGTTTCCTGTGCTAAGATTACAATGTATATACCGCAGCAGGGGTACAAATCAACGGATATTACATGTACCGGTAGTTGACCTCGGAAAAGTCTACCATTTCCTGATCATGTTACTTGAATTTAATCACAGAGAGAGGATTTTTTGTACACATGTGTGCGTGTCCACCAAGCAGTAGATCATTTCCCACAATTTCACTGGTTATTTCTTCTTTTTTAAAACTTTTTGGTTGTGTGTGTAAACATGTACATACCGTTACTGCAAATATTACTTATAGGTTAGGCCCCCCCAAAAAATACTCGGTCTCTGGTCAGCGCGCGCGTCGATTTTAATCATGCGCGTCAACCTTTTTTTTCCCTTCAAATTTACACGGAAGCTACAACAGCACCCTCTATTGCCGCACCTCCTCAATTTTTTTGTACCAAGGAGCACCAAGGAATTGGGAAATTGCACCAAGGCAAATGATAAAGGGCACCAAGGCAAATTATGGAGGACACCAATGTATAATAAGGACACAAAAAAGCAAAATAGTACCCACCTTGTCTGGACAATTCAAGCTTGAAAAAAAAAAAAGCCACCAAAAAAAACAAAACAAAAACGCGTCACCGCATCAGTTCCAGAACTTCAGTCTGACCAGAGACCGATTATTATTATTTTTTGGCCTTATGGCAATGCCAACAATTTTTGAATCATTTGTGTTCCAAAATACATTTAATATTAACTCCACTTTACATGTCCTTTGCAGAAAGACAATGGGAAAACCTTTGTACATACAGATATATAATAAACTACATGTACAATGATGATGAATGTCGTCATTAAGAAACTTATCCCTAGTGAATAAATGGGTACCAGTGAGGCTAGAGGACCGATAGTGCGCTGATATCGGCTGCCGCGCCGTCTCTAGACCTGATGATCGGGGGAATCATTTTAAGATTGTTGATGGAAAGCCCTATTATAAGCATTCCAATTTATTTATTTATTGTTTACTCTAAACAGCTGAAAGGTGATCATGTACAGCCAAAAAATTCATTGTGAAGTTTCTCAGGAATCAAATTCTCAGGAGGAACTACATGTAATAGAACCAAATACTACGAACAAAATGAGTGAGAGTTGAGTTCTGCATTGTATGTCGATTCCTCTTTCTGATTCAGACAAAAAATGTCAGAGATCGGAATTGATTAATTCAATAAATGTTGGCCATTTAGGTATGTGTACATCATGTACGCATATGTGTTACGTTCTACATGTACATGTATGTAAAATTATGTACATGTACCTGTACATGTTCACTATATGCATACATTGTACATGTGCAAACCATATGTGATGCGATCAAGCTACATGTACATGAGTCATTTGTCGACCCTGGTCAAAAACTGTTTTATTACAGATTTAAAAAGAGCACAATCTCAGCAATACTGCTGTGAAAACTGCATGCTAATACCATCTTTAGTTCAAAAATTATGGAAGTTGGAACACCTAAAGATGTGATGAAGTGATGTGATGAAGTGGCCCTATTTTGGCCTGTATCTCGAAATAAAAATTCCCAACAAACGACTCATTTAGCTTGATTGCATCAGATATATGTTCCTGTACATAATACAAGCCATTTACCCTACTCAGGCACACAGGGAAATTGCATGCATTTCTAATAACGTCACGGAAATCCATCTGTCATGCCTGAGCAGATCAGCCAGCTTTTTGTTATGCAAATCTAGGCTTTCCCCGCCTTAGCTTTGTTAAAAAAAGAGAACTACAAATGTATACAACACAGGATTTACATTTGTAGGTAGGGCCATGGGTCACTAGTATATGGGCTATACACTGTGTACATGTATATTTTTAGTTCCTGATATTTTGTGAAGCATTAAGCCTGCATGTAGGTTACAGAAATGAGGCAACGAGACCTTTTATCTACGAGATCTAAACTTTGGTGCTGACTTCTGTTGCTTCTGATGATTTGGAATTTGCGACTGTTGATTTTTTTGTGATCCAAGCCTTTGAGAAGTTCACATCATGGGACAAAGTTGACGTTCTTGGTGCATGGTAACACATGTTAACTCACTGTACATGTACATAAATAAAAGAAATGTGTGTGATTAACAGGAATGTGTGTGAAAACAACTTTTATGGAACTCCAGCGACGTAATGCCACTCGAAAGGGTGAGTTCAGAACCAGCGCATGAAGAATAACAACCAGAAACATTGATCAATGCCATTCACGCATGAATTTGAAATAGTTACAGTTTATGTCGAAAAAGTAATCTGTTCGCAGGATGAAGGTTTTTAATCCGTAGTCTCGCATAAATCAGGTTTTTTTCCCTTCAATTTTTGGATATTTTGATCGAAAATGTCCAATGTGAATTTCCCATTGAAAAAAATTACCCTGGCTAATATTACATGTGCATGTACATGTACGAATGCACAGCATGCGTGTGTGATTGTTTAGGTTGGTCCATTTTGGTTTGGTTTGTTTTTTTTATTCGGGGGGGGGGGGGGGGGGGGGAGGGGATAGGTTTTGTACATCATGACATGTACTTGTACATGTACATTTATACGGTGCACAGCACATAATTATGTATCCATGATAAACATCTCAAAAACTGCATATGCCCTCGCAATCTTTCACCTGTTCACACAAAACAACAGTTGGCCCATACTGCCCTAGCTATTCGTCTCCTATTTATTTATTTTGCCCCGGTCTCCTTTTTTATAATGGTCAACAAGTTTGTCTTGATTGGCGGTCACAATTGCGTAGCCGTAAAAGACCACATTCCAGGCCTGTCATTATGACCTGTCGTGTTTAAAATTTTGAAGAGTTTATTTTTGTCTTTCTTTCTTACAGGCAGTCCGTGGAGGCAGAGCGACAGTCTGTCAGACTCCAACAGAATATCATCCTCATCAAGTTCGAGTAAGTGCCTTGGAATTGTCTTCCCTTGATCTTTAAATCTTGACGTACATCTTCCATCTAAATTTTAATTTTGTAGTTAAGTTTACATTTTGAGCAATTCCAGTGTCACGAGCATACATTTAAAAAGAGAGAAATCAAACGTCTGTGACAGAGCCAGTTAGCCATGATATATGTGTCTCGTTAATGATTCAGAGAAATGATCCAAAACTCCTAGGCTGTAATCTCCTCGACCATTAGGCCAAAAAAAAAAGTCTCCGGTTTCTGGTATGGAGCTTGCCCAAAAAGTGGTGGGGCGACGCGGCTTCTTTTTTTTTTTTTACCTGGTTTTTTTTGCTTCAAATGTCGGCTGATGACTGCAAATGGTGCCAGACTAAACTTAGTGCAAATATTATGGGAGACCAGAGAGGCCACATAAAGCTTATTCTCGATCATAACCCCATCTAAATACACGTTAAAATTGTGCAGCAGCAGGATTCCAGTCAAACCAGTGAGTTTGGCGGTTTTGAGACATCATCTTTCATTGAAAAAAACCTTTTTCATTTTGCCGACGCACATGGCTAAGGCGACGCGCGCGCATACCAGAAACCGGAGACTTTTTTTTTTTGGCCTTACTAGATGATGGATGCATGTATAAGATTTGTAAACGACATGCACAAGCCCGATGGGAATTCAGAAGCTGTGGGCCAATGAATGCTTGTTCATGCATGAGTCACGTGATCGTGCCGTGTAATTTCTGGAAGGAGTAGTGTTTTGAGTTTTAAAAAAAATCAGCTTTTTGACCCCAGTGACCCCATGATGGCCTTTGACCCCAGTTTGGTCGTGACATGTTGGGGCTGGGCTGCTGATACTTTTGACAAAGTTTGGTTGAAGTTGGTAAAAAAAATATGTAGGAGCAATAAACAATGTCAAGTGTCAACGTTTGTTACTAATTAACAGAGGGACGGAGAGACACAATGATTTGTTGAGAAGCTATCCCGCAGCTAAAAATACATTTTCAGGCTTATTCACTTAGCTCCTAAAGTACAAATAAAATTGCAAGATTTGTAATGTTTATGATGCTGCAATTACCCTTTAGGCCAAAAAAAAAAAAAGTCTCCGGTTTCTGGTATGGAGCTTGCCCAAAAAGTGGTGCGGCGACGCGGCTTTTTTTTTTTTTTACCTGTTTTTTTTTGCTTCAAATGTCGGCTGATGACTGCAAATGGTGCCAGACTAAACTTAGTGCAAATATTATGGGAGACCAGAGAGGCCACATAAAGCTTATTCTCGATCATAACCCCATCTAAAAACACGTTAAAATTGTGCAGCAGCAGGATTCCAGTCAAACCAGTGAGTTTGGCGGTTTTGAGACATCATCTTTCATTGAAAAAAACCTTTTTCATTTTGCCGACGCGCATGGCTAAGGCGACGCGCGCGCATACCAGAAACCGGAGACTTTTTTTTTTTGGCCTTACTAGATGATGGATACATGTATAAGATTTGTAAACAACATGAACAAGCTGGATGGGAATTCAGAAGCTGTGGGCCAATGAATGCTTGTTCATGCATGAGTCATGTGATTGTGCCCTGTAATTTCTGGAAGGAGTAGTGTTTTAAGTTTTAAAAATAAAAATCAGCTTTTTGACCCCAGTGACCCCGTGATGGCCTTTGACCCCAGTGTGGTCATGTGACGTGTTGGGACTGGGCTACTGATACTTTTGACAAAGATTGGTTGAAATTGGTAAAAAATATGTAGGAGCAATAAACAATGTCAACGTTTGTTACTAACTAACAGAGAGACATGACGATTTATTGAGCAGCTATCCCGCAGCTAAAAATACATTTTCAGGCTTATTAACTTAGCTCCTAAAGTACAAATAAAATTGTAAGTTGTGTAATGTCTATGATGCTGCAATTACCCCTTAGCAACTCTTATGAGGACCATTCTGCTGTTGTAAACTTCTTGCATATAGAAAGTGAAAAGAACTATACAGGGTGGATAAAAAAAAAACGAAACCGAGATATTATTGCTGATTGGAACAGAAGTATGGCACATGTGAATCAAAAGGAGATATCCTCTGTTAGGGTTGAATCTCCTCTTTAAAATGACACCCTGGTCATGTCATTACATTCACGGTTGACTGAGCAGTGACCAAATCTATGAAAGGGTCTATTTAGAGACTTGCGCCACTTTTCAATTGTGGTTTTAGTTTTGTCAATTGTTACAGAGTAAAAAGGCTATGGTTGCCAACTCAAGCCAGGTGGGGAAAAAAAGAGATTTCACCATGAAAAGTGGCGCAAGTCTCTAAATAGACCCTTTCATAAAATTGGTCACTGCTCAGTCAACTGTGAATGTAATGACTTAATCAGGGTGTCATTTTAAAGAGGAGATTCAACCCTAACAGAGGATATCTCCCTTTGATTCACATGTGCCCTACATCAGTTCCAATTAGCAATAATATCCCAGTTTCGGGTTTTTTTTATCCACCCTGTACATGTTTACTGTTAATCACCTTTTTACTTGACTTGCAATTGATTTCTGAATAACTTGACCAGAACATGATTCATTTGTCATTATGGTAATTTTCTTATTGAAAGTCAACGCTCTTCGGTTTCAGGTTCCGAGTCCAAAACTCTGGGCTCTTTGCGCGGCTTTGAGGATGACTTCAGCGACATCAGAGTGTCGACGTTGAAGCCAACTGGTACCCAGTACGAGAACGCCTCCATGGCCTCCATCACAACGTCCAGCTCCACCGGTTCCTTTGAATCGTTCACGGACCAGTCCTCAAAATCTTCTACTCTGTAAGACATTTTACCTTCTTGCTTTTAACATGATAAATGACACTATTGTTACATGAGTGGTTTTTGCTTTAGTATTTTTAATATTATTTCAAATTCCTCGTAGAATGTGAATGATTAGGAAGGGTTTAAGATTAACTACATGTACTTTACCTCATGCATATTCATGATGAGCCAAATCTGTACTTCTCCATTTAACATCACGTGCCAGCCACGTTGCTGTTTATCATGTTTATCAAGTTCACGCGAGGATTCACGATGAAATTTTGGTGCATATGCATGAGGTATAGTCAAACAAATTTAAAAGAACATGGTTTATCTCGGGTGAATAGCCAAGAGTGGCTCCCCTCGGTATTGGAATTTGAAAAACTAGTTCCCTCAAATGCCTCACATCAGCTATCCGCCTGAAACCATGTTATATTTGTATATTATGTCCCTCTTTCCCTGCCCGACAATGCAGCATCCCTCGGTATTGGAATTTGAAAAACTAGTTCCCTCAAATGCCTCACATCAACTCTCCGCCTGAAACCATGTTACATTTGTATATTATGTCCCTCTTTCCCTGCCCGACAATGCAGCATCCCGGAAGATGACACGGACCTGGCTGGCTACGCAACCATCAAACCGGTCTTCAAACCCGCCGGCATCCGACCCGAGATCCTGAAAAGGCGAGAAGCCGAGTACACCTTTCCCCACAACTTCCGCGTCTTTGTTGGGACGTGGAACGTGAACGGCCAGACGGCGTCGGAGGATCTGGGTCCCTGGCTCAACGTGGATGAGAAACAGGCAGACATCTATGCCATCGGGTTCCAGGAGCTAGACCTGAGCAAGGAGGCGTTCTTGTTCAACGATTCGGTTAGGGAGGACGAGTGGAACAAGGCTATAGAGAAGACGTTGAGCCGGGTCGGTGCCTACATCCAGGTATGACTGTAGTTGCCCTTCAGGCAGGGCTGCGTGGAATCTAGTGGCCAAAATTTCATGTTCAGTTGCCCAATAAAGAACTTTTTACGTTGCCCGAAACTGAAGCCCAAATCCTAATAATGTACATGGCTGCTTTACCTGAAGTGGCTCAGGGCTTGCAGAATTGGCTGTCCGACGTCCCGGGACAACCACAATATTTTATACTTTGCTGCTGCGCTATCGCCATTTTGCAAGGGTGCGTGGCCGGCTGGTAGTGGCCGGCTGGCAGTGGCCGACCGTGGCTGCGTACGTGTGCACAGTACCCGCGCTCTGCGCCATGCTGGTACATGGTGTATACTATTGGAAACTCACGTACGCACACGCGTGCTTTCGCTGCTGCACCTACACACATTATGAACGCGAAACGTTACTGAATGATGTAGCCGGACCGTACGTACAGATTGAGACTGACCGCTAATCTGCTTTGACTGGCACCCTTTATTGGTACAGCAAGATCATAACCATGGGTACGCGGTTGACTGGACGTGCTCTCTTGTTTGTGTACGGAGATAACCTCCAAACTGTTGAAGATATCCTCCGAACTGTTCTTCATTTCTGCCTCGATTTCAGGTCAAGCTGATTCGGTTGGTCGGAATGATGCTACTGGTCTTTGCCAAGGAGAGGCACGCCCCTTTTATCCAAAACGTCATCGCCGACACTGTGGGCACGGGCATCATGGGTAAAATGGTGAGCAGAATTTTCAAGAAATCCACAGGGCTTTGATTTGGGTTGCTTTTGGGCCCCAACACGTCTGTCTTGCTAGTAGGGTGGTTCCCAGACTGGGACCTTAACCCTAACCCTCCAGGGTATTTTGGTTAGAAACCCTGCCAAACGCAGCAACATGCAACACTTGTCTAAGTGACAAGCCTGCCCACTGCAGTAAGATCCATCAGGCCAAAAGTCTCAAGGCCAAACTGCCTCAGAGTCTGTGGTCACCGAACACAGCAGGATACAACTGTGGCATTGTTCAATGGGACTAGCTCTCATTGTTTCAGAGCTGGCCGTTTATGCACAGGTGTTGGTAGCTGAATGCATCAAAGTGCACCAGACTTTTCCACCTGATGCACCGTGCTGCATCTGGCAGGGTTAGGGTTAAGTTCTCAAAACGATGCAAAAGAAGATCAGGCCAACGTTACTCACTCTTTAGCCAGCACTTTTCTCCAAAACTTTCATTGGGCAAAGAAAAGGTCCTCAGTATTTCACCAACCAAGTTTGCAAACTCAATTCAATTTTAAAAAGGAGACTTTTCTTCAATATTTGGCAGTGGCTTGCACATGAGGGGGAAGTCAAGTGATTTCAAAATGAGGCTGAAGACTAGACTTGTACATGTCCATCCATGGTCCAACTTTTTGACGAGACTGACTTCTCCGTTCACTGCCATTAGTCTGGTGCCTGACTATTGAGAAATGTGTAGAATAAGTGACCTAGTACCCGACATCCTAGATTTTTCTGTTGGTACAGTCAGCTGACAGTTGAGTGTTGCAGTACTGAAGAGTTGTTGGACTGGTTGTTTCAGGTGCCGGTCTATTTTCTTGTATTGCATGTTTTCAATACCTTAGTTTTTGGGACTCTCGTACACAGTATTGAGAGTCCCAAATTTTCGGACTAGGTGGTTCCCAGTACATCTTTGAAGCGGTTGATTTTGGCCATTGATTCATTGTATTTAGGGTAATAAAGGAGGCGTGGCGGTGAGGTTCGATTTCCACAACACGTCCTTCTGCTTCGTCAACTCTCATCTGGCAGCTCACATGGAAGAATTCGAACGAAGGAACCAGGTAGGGAGATTTTGTCCTCCAAAGTTCTACTTTTGTCTTTTTTTGTTGTTGAAAAGTTTGATCCTAATGTTCCCCTAACTTTTCGCCTGGGTCTGCCTGAAAGCTTTGGACTCGCACCACGTCCATACAACAAAGTTCATATATCTGTGCTTTATTATTCCTGCAGGATTACAGTGACATCTGCAGCAGGATGAAGTTCGAGCTTGCTTCGCATCGGCAGCCGTTATCCATCAGAAAAGGCCACGAGTGAGTTTCGTTTTTTTTTTATTAGCTATCGAAAGAACTGCTATTATAAGTTGTAGTTAAGTCAATCACAAGTCATTTTCATGTCACAAGTCCGTCACTGGGGGTCGTTGAGACGGAGGGCTATCTCTGAAGAAAGCTCCGGAGCCAGCTAGCTCCATTCAAAATAGTTGTCATTTTAGAAGCAACTTAAATCTGCCTCTGGAGCTATCTATATGACTTGTGATTGGCTTGTGATGACTTGTGACTGACTTGTGATTCACATCTGATTGACTTTTGATTTGGCTTGAGATGACTTGTGATTGGCATGTGATTTGTCTTGAGATTTGGCTTGTGATAATTTGTGATTGGCTTGTGATAGTTTGTGATTGGCTTGTGATTTGGCTTGTGATTGGCATGTGATGACTTGTGATTGGCATGTGATTACTTGTGATTGGCATGGGATTTAGCTTGTGATTGGCTTGTGATTTGGCATCTGATGGCTTGTGATTGGCTTGTGATTTGGCTTCTGATGGCTTGTGATTGGCTTGTAATTTGGCTTTCAATGACTTCATAACACCTCTGCCGGGAGGGTTAGGTTTGAACTTCTGTCGAAAAGATTATTCACTGCGTCAATAATATTTAATTCTCTACAAAGATTCAACTTCGGCCTTGGATCATTGCCACAAAAGAAATTCTATGTTTTCGTCTGATTATTGTCCAACCTTTCTTCCGTTTTCCCAGGGTCATCATATGGATGGGTGATCTCAACTATCGCATCAGTGACCTGTCCGTCGACGTCGTGAAGGTTCATATTGACAGCGGAAACTTCAAAGGGCTCATGGAGTATGACCAAGTATGTGTACATGTTCTTGTTCACACTAAAGCCACTTTCAAATGATGGCTCTGTTTGCAACTTTGACAACATTCTGGGCTCCAGGATCATTTTCAAAATATTTTTCTCCTAAAACAACAGGAAATATTCCAAACTTTGACCTCAAATCATGTTGTTGTTTTTTGTTGTATCTGAAAATGTAGCTACATTGAATTAACACGTCACATTATTTTGGGTCCTGAATTTATGAAGCCAAGGTTTGGCAAACGCCATAGGTGTGTGGGTGTTTTAAATGCTAATTCATGTTTGCATATTCATGAGCAAAACATTGATGTCATCACAGGTGAAAGTTTCCTTCATACAACTGCTTGAGTGGAAATCGTTACCAGAAATGTGATTGCACTTTAAGGCACTGCTTTAGTTCATGCGCAAGCCATACTTCATCCACTGTCTTCTGCATTTTATCAGCTGTACAGACAACTTAGGATAGAAAAAGTATTCAAAGGATTTAAGGAGGGAGCGATCACGTTCAAACCGACCTACAAGTACGACCCTGGCACCGACAATTGGGACACGAGGTAAAAATTGAATTGACTGTAGGTTTTAAATGAATTGATTTTATCTGCTTTAGGAAAAATACTTGTTGGTTGAGTCGAAAAAAGGGAAACTCAAATGTCAGGACCATTTTTTTGATAGACTTCTGCATGTAGCACTTTAAAAATCTAGGATATGAAAGCCCAACTAATAAGCTTTCTTTTAGTACAAGAATCGTTCAAATCGCTCATGTACTTTTCAAGTTACGGAACTTTAAACACTAACACCGTTTTAAAATGCTGTCCACAGATCACCAAAAAGGTAAGTGTTCTTTCAGTGAAACAATTTCGTATTGCTGAAAGAACGCTTGGCTTTTTTTGCTTAGAGATTTCAGATGTTGTCTAAGCTTCTCTGTCATTGATGATTCTATCTCTGTCCGTCCTGCTCAGTGAGAAGCAGAGAGTTCCTGCCTGGTGTGATCGCATCCTGTACCTGGGATCCAACATCAAGCAACTCGTCTACCGCAGCCACCACAAGTGCAAACTCAGCGACCATAAGCCAGTTAGCAGCCTCTTCGATATCACGGTATCTCGTCCATAATTACGAAAAGAAAAACTTACAGAGCAACAGAATTATCGAAACCGACACTCACATGTGTGTCAAAAATCAGACCATTCCTGAATCTTAGGGAACCCTCCATTGGGAATACAGAATGCTCCAATAATGTTTTTGTTTTTTTAACACAAAAGTGTTTCCAAATTTGCTTCAACCCTAATCCTGCCAGAGGTAACACAGTGCATCAGGTGGAAAAGGCTGATGCACTTCGATGAATTTAGCTACCAACACCAGTGCATAAACAGCTAGTTCTGAAACTGAGAGCTAGTCCCATAGAACAATGCCACAGTTGTATCCTGCTGCAGTTGGTGACCACAGACTCTGAGGCAGTTTGGCCTTGAGACTTTCGACCTGATGGATCTTGCTGCACTGGGCAGGCTTTTACTCATACATGTGCTGCATGTTACAATACAATACAATAAAACTTTATTATCCCAGTGCGGGAAATTCCATGGCCTTTTTACACGTTATTTGGTTTAAAACACATAAAAAGCACGAATGTAAAAACTACACAAATACAAAAATACAAACATTAAAACTTATAACTTACATTAACTTATAACATCTGTCCGTAGGCAAGTAAGAAATGTCAATGGCAGGGTTTCTAGCCAAAATATCCTTGAGGGTTAGGGTTAAACAAATTGAAGTTGGCCCTAAGTACTTTAAAAAAAAAAAGACTCATTAGACCCTTTACACCATCCAAATCCCCTAGCTGGACTGGGTCGAACCCTGAGATTTTGAAAAACCCTTTCTATACTAGCAAGAATCAAACACGGCTTCTACGCACGGGTCCGGTGCTCTACACGGGTAAAATCCAACCCTGGTCGGGACCAGGGTTTGACAGGCTCTACCCGGGTAGAAAATACAAAATCTACGGCTAAACTGTGAACAAAAGTGTGATGGTATGCCTGGCCAAATTGTATTTGTTGGGTCTTTTTTCTGCTCAAGGTGGACCTATGTTGATTTCAACACGGGTGGACGAGAGGATAGTGTAAAAAAAGGACTGTAGATTCCCCTACGGTTATGATTTAATCAAAATACAATCATGTATTACGCTGCTTTGTATTGTTATCGTGCTCTGCAAGGATTCACATGTTCTGTTTTTCTTTTTGTAGGTGAAAGTTGTTGACGAGAAGAAGTTCAAGCAGGTGGTTGAGGAAGAGATCCGCAAACTTGACCGGCAAGAGAACGACGCGCTACCCCAGGTGGCCCTCAGCCTCAACCATGTAAGATCGCTTTGTAGTATACCGCTGTAAACCCAGATCTCAAAGTGCTTTACGATTATTAGCCCCATTGGTCAGGCCATCAGACCATTTTTCTGCAGCAGCTCAAGATCAGCGCAGTCTGGTCATTGTCCTCACACGTACCCATCTGTACTTCTGTGGAGCTGCCAGCTTTGAGTAAGAGCTGAGAGTGAGAATTTGGCGATGTAGCTTGATCAGAAGTAATGCGAGCACAAAGCCCTACTGTGGGGTTTGGGCCCGCTGAAGGCCCCAGAAAATTCGGAGGCAATTTCTGACCGCTGTAACCAATTTTTTTGGGGGGCAAAGATCATCATGTTAACATCATTTTCGAGTTTGGAGTCAATGTCTAGATTATTTTATTTTTATTTAGGCCTGTATTATTTATATTTTTTTATTATGCCTATTTTTTGTTTTGCTTGAGAAATCCTGTGAGAACGTAAGAATAACCTGAAATGCATGAGTCTTGCTCAATGCGTGACAGTTAGCAGGCCTGATTTCTTTGTGGAAAGAGGCAATTGAAGTGAAGTGTCTTGCCCAGGAACACAAGCACCATGTTTCCTGGGTGAAGAGAAACAAATTGGGTAAAATGGCTTGCCCAGGGACACGACATGTTGCTAGCAGCTGTATTCCATCTGAGAAAGTGCATGTGAAATGTGCAACATTTTGACCACTTGAAATCAGACTCTTTGTCTAATACTCGGGACGTTTTACTCCTTCCCGTAACAGTTGGAGTTTAAGGACGTGCGTTACATGGAACCCCAGACACTGACGTTGGACGTGGCCAACGTCGGTCAGGTCAACACGGTGGCCAAGTTTGTCAACAAACTGGAGGACAAGCACTTCTGTAAAGATTGGCTGAAGGTGGAACCCGTCGAAGTATTCATGATGCCAGGTATTGTAGCGTTGTATTTGTTACACAATTTCGACCTATTGTCCATCTCAAAAACTGGAACTCATTTCTTGTTTTGCACATCAGCCAAACTTCCCTTTGAAATTTTGAAATAATAATAATGACATGTAGCGCTTTGTACCAACGGTCTTAAAGTGCTTCACAATTGACCTATCGCGGGAGAATTGTGTTAGAATCGCGTCAACACAGCTTGTGAAATCTTGTCCAATTACAGGATATACGCACGGACGCGGAACGTGCAACATCTGAGACAAACAAAACTTAGTGTACAAAATCTCCATACTCCATAGGGTTGTCTAAGGGGCGTGGCGAACTCGCGGACAGCAATAGGTCAATTATCATCCCTGTTCATCAGGCCACAAGACCAGTTTTTGCAGCAACTCAAGATCAGCACATTCTGTTCTCTACCTTCGCAGGTTCCCATTTATACACCTGGATAGGGAGAGGCAATTGTAGTAAAGTGTCTTGCCCAAGAACACGAGCACCATGTTCCCCATCAGGGTTTGAACCCACGTACCACGGCACACGAGTCAAACACTGTAACCATTGGACCACTGCCCACAATATGTGGATCACAACCACAGACATTTTTGTACCGTACTTTAGCAAAGATTATTCACTGAAGTCGATCAGAGCTGTGGTTAGGTCTTGTTTTAATCCCCTTTCTTGGAATAAATGGACCCTTTCTGTTCTGTTTTTCTTTCAGCGGACACGATGGAACTTTCACTCACAGTACAAGTAGACAAGAACACAGCAGCTGCTCTGAACTCAGGGGAAGATACGTTGGAGGACATTCTGGTCTTCCACCTGGACAACGGCAAAGATTATTACATATCCTTTAACTTTTGGTTACTTAGTAAGAGACTGAAACAACTGGTAACATCAAGGACCTGCTAAGCATTGAAATTTTGCTAAGCTCAGAAATGAATAACTTAGAAAAAAATTAAAGTTTCCAACCAAAATGTCATGTGTATATTTGCTTGTGGGTATCAACGAAATGTCTGTTTGACTTGAGCTCAATTGTGATGCGAGACAGGTCACTCGTAGTAGCTGCACCATGAGTCTGGAACACTCTCCCAAGAGACATCCACGAATCTTCATCCCTACAGTGTTTTAAGTCAAATGTGAAGACTTTCTTATACACCAAAACCTTCTCGTGATTTGATTAATACTTCATTCATTGATTCGAACCTTTTTTCCTCCAATTTTTTTCCCTGATGTGCGCCTTGGGTGTCCTGTTTCTGGACAGATATGTTGCGCGGTATAAATGTGTAATTATTATTATTAGTGTTATTTTCTTAACTTGGCCACACATCACAGTCAGTGGGAACTACACCCCTAGCAGCTTCGGTGCGTCCATTGAGGCGTTAGTCCAGATGCATGGCGTGATCGGTGAGATGTCTCCCGAGGAGATCAAGAAATTGGAGGCGGGGACTAGGGGGGAGGAAGCCCGGGGGGCCGACACCTTCGAGAGGTTCGACATTCCTAAGGAGATCTGGATGCTGGTGGATCATCTCTTCCGGAACGCGACCAAAACGGTAAGCTTGGGTGTGGTATAAAGGCGCCGTGCAGAAGTACCCCCTCAACGGTGAGAAGGGGAGAGTTGGGGGAGACCACTGAGAGAAACATTCGAGCGCATTGTGGATGATGCCCGATGCTCATGCGTAGATGCTATGGCTTTGTGGACATTCAGAATATAATTAGTCGTGCGTACTTTGTGTTTTTCACACGGTGTGTTTCCTGTACTTTGGGCTCTTGTAAGTGGTAAAAAGCGCCCTCTCTTGTTCACACATGGATTCCATACCGTTGGTTTCATTGTTGCAGTTGGAGTGAGGCACAAGACATTGACCGGACAACACAATCAGAGATGCCAACCATTACTCTTTTGGAGTAATTATTAGGATTTTGAGGCATGTTACTACTCTTGAAAATTCCAGCTGTCCTATACGCCATACATTGTGGTTTCTCTGAAAAGCACTGTGGTTACTCTTAAAACTTGACTGTTGTCCTATGTATTTACATTAGCATTACTCTTTGCAGAGAGAATCATTACTATTCTGTAGTCTGTAAAGTTGGCATCTCTGCACAATAACTTAGTGGAGTTGTTTGTGCATTTTCTTCCCGGGGGTCTTGTTAAGACCGGAACGTCATCAGGCACTCTTAATTTGGTAGATTTGTATATTTCAAGTCAATACAGTCGGTAAGCAGTTTGCAGAAGTTGAATTCATTTTCGTTTATTATTTTTTCAGGAGAATCTGTTCAGCGAGGAAGGCTTGCACAAAGACGTCCTGACCATCAGGGATAGCCTGGATATTGGCATGCCGGAGGAAATGCGTATCCTTTCTTCTTCTTAAAGGAAAGATACAACATTTGCAAACATCAAAAAACGAAATTATCAAATTATCACGAAATATCTTACTGGACTGTTAGGGCATGACAGTCCAAAGCATCCTGTAAAATCGTGGCTCCTGGTGTGCTGACATTTTCAAGAAAACTTGTATTTTTCCAACTCTGGTCGGCTGACCAGCGTTGGGGAACAACTGGCTTTCTTCAAAAAGTGCTCCTTATTTTTCATAATTAGTCATTCCGCATTTTCTTTTCAATTGATTACACACCTGTGAAGGAGTACAAGCCTGCTAGACTGATTCTCTGACCTCACAATTCCCCACAGTCTATAAAGTGCTCCGTTTCATCTCAAGTGGGGTCAGGAAACCAGACTACAAGAACATGGTTGGTTTTCTTGGATTTCCCAGCATCTTTGAACCCCAAAACGTGAAGCAAGTCAGTTTAACAATATTTGCTATAACATACTAATCCTTCAAATCCATTTATTTCTGAAGATTGCAGCAAAAGTAAATGTTGTACATTCCCTTTAAACAAACAAATTAGAATATTTAGCTTTTTTGACAGTATCAAGTCGAACAAAAAAAATTGATTCCCAAGCCATTTAGCCCCAGTCACTTATTTGTTTGAGCACTTGGTTCTTAGAGCTTTTGTTTTTGTATTGGTCATTTGGAATAAACTGTGAAGATTTCCTTAATGTGCGACACCTTTTAGCTGGTAACGTGCATTCTGTTGCTGAGACCCTTCTCATGTTCCTGGAGTCGCTGAGGGAACCAGTCATTCCGTACGAGTACTACAACAAGTGCCTAGAATGCGCCAACAACTTCACACTGTGTAAACAAGTATGTTCAACTCACGGCTTACGATTTTTCTTTTTTCAATTTTTATCAATTTCCGCCTCATCACTGTGTTTAAATCTGTTAAGAACAGCTCTTCTGTGTTGAAAAGCAAGGGCAAATTAAGAAAAAGTGAAAAACATGGATTGAGTATAAAAAGCCTGAAAATTTGGAAACATTTTGAGGCAAAGTCCTATGGAATACACTCGTGAAGTTAATTTTCGGCTGGATTGAAAGAGTGTTGTTTTATTCAACATTTCCAGCAAATTTTGGGTTCAGATTTCTTGAGCTGGTTCAAAAATGTTTGTCTGTCCTTTTTCTTTTCATTTCTAGGTTTTAAGTCAAATTCCAAGAAGCCATCGTAACGTCTTCAAGTATCTTGCAGCGTTCATCCGGGAACTTCTAATGTTCAGCGATGAGAATAAACTAGACACAAAGACACTGGGTAAGATTTGGAACACCTTTTTTTTTTTCATTTTTTTTTTTTTTCCATTTCTTTTTCTACTTTCATTCATGTGACCAATTCATGTTTGCGATTTCACAATTCGTAAATCAGGTTAAATGGAGAAAGTTTATTAAATGGAATTTTTTTGATATGTAAATGTGAATATAAATCAGAATTTTTTTTTAAAATCTCTCTGCAGCTACTGTATTTGGCGAAATCTTCCTGAGAGCGCCCCCTAGTGAGCGCGAAGCAAGCCTGGGTCGAGGCCGGGCCCACATGCAGCAGATATCGCGCAAGAAAGCCACGTTTGTCTATCAGTTCATCATCAACGAATATGACGAGTGATGAGTCGGGTTCTAAACAGCTCGTTCCTGGAAAATAACCTTCTGTAGACTGGCACAAATGAAATTCAAAAACTTTATTGCACACTGTCCATGGAAGTACTGGACAAATGAAAAGTTTGTCCATAATTTTCTTACGTCGCTCGAATTCACAGGGAAATCCTCGTTAGTCAAGTTGTCCAAAACATGCATGATTTTCTGAAGTAAAAACGTACAGTGTAGTGAAATCGCCATAGTTTGCCAGATATTTCAAGGGAGAAAACGGAAAGAGTAAATCTTTTTGTTTGGCTTTTTTTGATGGAATGATTTCTTGGAATCAGTAACCAGGGTGAAAAAAAATGGAAATTAGCCAACTCAGATATCAATTTCGTGTGACCAATCACAATACTTGAGGAGCTTTCACCATTCAGCCAGCTCTTCTGGAAGTTTAGCTGAGTCCGAATCATTCTGCTACTGGCTAGCGGCTGTGGCCATTTCCCACGGAAAAGAAATTAAATCTGTCACGAGCCAATGTGGCCCATCAGGCCAGCGTTTATCTCCGGTTTCAGTGGCCTGAAACGACTGAGAATATTTCTATTCCCCCTGGCTGGGATGCTAGTCCATCGCAGGTTACTCCCCAGCTAATGCCGGTACCCATTTATACTCCTGGGTGGAGAGGGGCAAGTGGGGGTGCAGTGGCTTGCCCAGGGACACAACATATGGCAAGCAGGCTGAGAATGTTTCTACTCCCCCTGGATGGGATGCTAGTCCATCGCAGGTTACTCCTCAGCTAATGCCAGTACCCATTTATACTCCTGGGTGGAGAGGGGCAAGTGGGGGTGCAGTGGCTTGCCCAAGGACACAACATATGGCAAGCAGGCTGAGAATGTTTCTACTCCCCCTGGATGGGATGCTAGTCCATCGCAGGTTACTCCTCAGCTAATGCCGGTACCCATTTATACTCCTGGGTGGAGAGGGGCAAGTGGAGGTGCAGTGGCTTGCCCAAGGACACAACATACGGCCAGCAGCTGGATTCGAACCCCTGATCCTCTGATCATGAGTCACGAACCATAACCACTACGCCACACTCCCCACAGACTCCTCATGTGATATTGCCGGCCACAGCCACGTTATTCAGGCACAACCTTCAAGTGGTTCTGCGACAGCGTGTTGTGGCCAATTTCGGCAAATTCATTCATTCTGTTTACAGTTCATGTATAGCAAACCATTTTGCCGCATTGTCATCAAATTTCAAAAATGCCTCTGCCTTGGTCAAATATGTGTACTGAGCTAAATGTACTATAATGCAAGAAATATTTAATGCAGACCAAGTGATTCGATTGGTTGCAACAATCATTGAAATGAGAACTAGACGTGTGTATTGATATTAATGCGACAGTTTGAAATTGAGCTACCTTGTTTTAATTTCTTCATTTAGTTTAATATCATCTATGGATTTTTTTTAAGATATGTTATTTTGTGATGTTTTAGTGATGTGTCTTATATTTTGCAAAAAAGGGGCGGGGGTAATGATGTTTTATAGAATCCATTCAAATATTGCCAGTATCCACTTCTGTATGTATATTTAAATAGTTTTAAGTTTTACACACAAAAAATCAACAACTTTGATCATTGTTTTACTTAAGGGATTTCTTTCAACTCTTTATAAATATTTCACAGTTAAACCCAAGTGTTTTACTTTTCCTGAATTGACCAAATGGCGTTGTTTTTGTTCAGTATTGAGTCTAATTGATGCTGTTCTGTTCACATCAAAATATTAGGTATACATAGAAACATGATAACATTACATGTATGTCCAAGTTATCAAAAAAAGTTGTAAATATACATATAAATACCTCTTTACCCAATCGTGGAGATTACTTTTGTTTTAGAAAATTTAAACTCCAATCAAATTTATTTACGCAATTTTTGTTTTATATTGTGTCATTCAAATAGAAACAAATATACAAACCCTCATGGCCACATCTTAGGAGGCTTAATTCAAACACTGTTGGTGTGGCCAGGTTATATATGCGTCTTGTTTACTACACAAGCTTAGCTTTTTTGAACTGAATCACAAATGTTGCCATGTAATATGTGTGCTTCAAATAAACGTTTGTATATATGCTGAAAAGAAAATCTAAATCTCATATTTATAAACAGTACTAGCATAAAATTGATTGTGAACAATTTTAGAGGTGATTTTGAGTGGTATCTAGCAATACTGAATAAAACTGTGAATTGAAATGATGGAACGTTATGGAAATTGTTTTTTGTTTTTGAATATTTTTATTCAGCTACTGCCCCAACCAGAAAATATTACCAGCCATTTTTTCCAACTAATTTAAAGCTAAATTAAAAAGAATGACATCATGTTGAAGCATTTGTTCATGCAACAGTCATAGGGTTGCCATTGATGCACTGAAATCTCGTTTGTAGCGGGAAATTAACGAGAACAAAACGAGAGTGATTGTTCCGTCTAGTTCCCCAGTCAAACACGTACTTTTGCTGTGTTTTATGATGCGGTTCCAGACTAGATCAATTGGATTATTTCTCGATGCAGAGTCGTGCACGCGAAAATGACCGTAAATTTCTTCAAACTTTTCACCATGTTTTTCGATGAAAATACCTCATGATGCTGAAAAAGAAGAGGAACATCCGCCAGCGGGAAGAAAGCAGCGACGGGGAGGGGGAAAAGACCGACCAAATTCCGTTTCTGGAGGAAACGTACCACTCACAAGTAAAAAGTGTTCAGAAAACGTTGCAGCAGAAACTCGAGAAAAAGACCAAGAAGAAAGATGTGAAGAGCGGCGGGACCGAGGGTGGAGGCGCCGGGGGAGCGGGAGCGGGCACGTCGGGAAGTCTGCTCAGCTTTGATCATGAAGATGATGAAGATGGTAGGATGATGCGGTATTGGGAATAACATAACCATGATAACTGTGCTGCTGCTACAAACCTTGGCTAAAATGGCTAATTTATTTTTCAAATATATTTCGTGCATTTCCATTTTCATTTGTTTTTTAATGTGGTTTTAATTTGTAAAAAAAATAAAATCAGAAAAATATTTTAACCGTCAGACCCTCTAATTCTAAAGCTACGCGGTCTTATTTCTACATAGGCCTACTCGCATTCAATTTGTGTGTGACAACGCGCAGGCGATGCAAGCGCTAACTGCGCAGATTATGAACAGATGAAGGGTCGAGGAAACACAAGATTTGATTTCGTCGCAATCTGCAAACCAAAGTAACTGGGTTTGTTTTATCCTTAAAAACAACCGGTTATTTTAACGCAATTTTTAGATCTGCTTGTTTTCTTATGTTTTAGCTTGGGAGCATTGTTTGTGGTATTTTGCATCTGTTAATTTCTGTGTGTATTTTAAGCTGTTATAATTTTATGTAAAATATGTGTAGGCCCCTATATGTAATCCAACCTAACGGTTGCCGATAAATAATATATTATCCTATCGTTCTTAAAAATGGATTCAAACCAGGAATTTTTGAGACACTGAAATGTGAACATTTAATGAAGGCAGAGTAAAGTGTGATTATTTTGCATACAAACAGGAGTACAGAAACCTTATTGAATTGCTGAAATTTCAAATTTTCTCATCTTTGTCTAAATTCATGCCTGTTACTTTCAATAGACATATGGCAGACGGCAATCATGATTTCGACAATTCTGATATTTGAATTTAAATTGTACAGTATGAATATGCCAAAAAATCAAAATTTTAATCATAATTTCTTATTCAGAAAAAGGGTCACCAAATGAACAGCACCCTCACACATTTTCTAATGCGGTTATCGGTGCCAAATGTGTTGACTTTTTTGCCTATGTCAGTCACTCTGTCTAAATATGAATACAAATGTTTCTTCGATGGGTTGTGATGTCATGAAGATGTTGAGTACATCTGAATGTAACATTTAACTATTAAAATCCTCCTATGGAAACATGCATTGTCAGCCTGGTTATTACTTGGGTCAATATTGGTCAAGACCCCATTGGTGTGTATACAGTATGCCAGGAGGTGAGGACGAAAATTTTGACCGTTTGTGACCTCTTAAATAGTAGGAGGGTTTTAAAGCATATTTGTTTTTCTCTTTTTTTCCTGCTAAACAGGTGGAGAAGTCTTTCAGATCAAGAAGTCCAGCCACAGCAAGAAAGTCGCCAGGAAGCTGAGGGAGCAGGCGAGGAAAGACAAACAGCGAGAGGAGATGGCTAAGCTAGTCAAAGGGTCTGCCGATAATAAAGCCAAACAGCCAGCAGAAATCAAGGGTAAAATTAGTTTTGTGTTTGGACCAATTTAATTGTTTTGGCTAAGCAGAAAATTTGACTCGCTGAGCAAACTTAAGCACTTAGGCCAAATAAAAAAAAAAAAGTTACAACCTGACGCTGCTTTTTCTTCATATATCATCTCAATGAAGGTCAGTCATTGCAAAAATGATGATAAGACATGAATCTGGGACTGAGAAACATTTTCAGTTTGGTTAGGAAATACTTAGAAAATTTTCTGACTCTCCATAGACTTTGTACACAACCGCTGAGGTAGCGTCAGGTAGCAGCATTTTTCCAAAACATGTCAAGCGTCCCCGCCCGCTTCCTTTTTGGAGGCCACTTTTTTTTTTTAAACCAAAAACAAATGATAAATTTTAAACAGTGGTATCATTTTGGCCTCATTGTCTGTTGCATCTAGCCCATATAAAGCTGGTATGTCATTTCCTAAGTCCAATGGCGGCCATTTAATCAGTGATTTCAATTTCACCCTTCCCCGTCTTTCAATACCAGGCAATGGCACAGCAGCAGCAGTTCACAAGCCGTCGGGAACTAGATTGTTGCCTAAGGACCGAGCGGAGCTGATTCTGAATGGCATGGATGCGGAGGCGGCAGCCATGGAAGAGGAAGACAGGCGGGAGATGGAGGAACGAGTGCCCGTCATTGCACCAGGTAAGGAGTCTCCTAATAATTGTCCCTGAACAGTTTTGAGACTAAAATTTCCTGTAGATAAGGCTGTGCAAAGTATACTGAATATTCGATCAGCCATCGCATATCCAAATAGTTTTTTTTTTATTAAATATTTGAGAAACTGTCAGCGGTCTTGAGTAGATGATGAGGAAACATCCACTATGTTATTATGATTGTATAAGTTGCATGGTTTTTAACCCTTACTGCCCGGAATCCTTCAAAATCCTTTTTGCCACAGTGGAGGAATTTGGCGGAGGTTACATGGCAAAGTGTATTGCTGATTTCGTAGGATGCACTTTGTCAAGGTCTTGGACCGGACCTTGTTGTGTGTTTGCTCAGCCATGCATAAATATAGGCCTGGATTATGCTTGAAATCCTCCGTACTGCTCCAGGATGTCACTGGCCAAGCCTCAACATATTGACAGTCACTGCCGCAGGATTTTGCAGGATTCAGGCAGTGGTCACCCCTCCACAGACCATATTCAAGAAATAATGGAGGAATTTGCAGGATTGAGGTTATATGCTTTTTGTCCATGAGGCCAATTGGAGGATTTTGCAGGATTGAGGCTACATCCTTGCAAAAAGGCCTAGGGAGTTAGGGTTAAAAATTGTCAAATGTCAATGTGATTTTGCTTGTGATTGAGCTGATATTGACAGGATTACAACAACAAAGTTTTTCCTGTGCAGTTGACTTATAGCCAATCTCAAACAGTAAGTCACCATTTTAAAAAAATTGTTTGCGTTTCTCCAGGAATGATCCCAGATGCAGCCACCATTTTCGCCGCCCGAAAGCGCCGTCAGATCGCGCGGGAGACCGGCGGCCGGGCCGACTACATCCCTCTCGATGACACCAAGCGCTACGGCAACACGGGGAAAAAGGCCGGGCGCGAGGAGTCGCGCCTGGTGCGCGACGATGACAACGACGCCAGCGACAGCGAAGAGGAAGGCCGGATGAGCTTCACGGTGAAACACGGGACGAACAGACAGCGGATGCGAGAAGCCATCAATGAAAGTATGCAGTGGTTTGTTTGTTCAAATTATTGAAAAACAGTTTTCAATTCTCTCCTGAATTAGCTCAGCTGTTGACAGATGCCTTACAGATGGAAGGGAAAACAGTAGAGGGCGCCATTTAACCACTTTCCAGATCCAGTGTGTACAGTGTACATGCACGCACTAGTTTGGGGAGTATGACGCAGAGTACACAACACAGCACTTTCATCTAAATGTGCACAAGTTGTATTGCTAGCATGGACGGATGAACCAGAGTGTTGAGCACTAATCTCCTTTGAAACTTCGTGAAAATTTGTTAAAATGATTTGCTAAATGGTAATAGAAGAGAGTTTGAAGTTACGGAGAGTTTTTATTTGCAAGAAACTGAGACTGCCACAGCATATCGGTAAGTTGAACTTCTTTGTCAATTTTGTTTCATTTTCAAATTTAAACTTGTTTTTTGGATCTTTGCTAAAATGTTTAGCTTTTGGAGGATTGTCTTAGAAACAATAATGAGATAAAGGTAAGTGTAAGCAGGAAACAAAAATCTCTCCCAGGCAATAGTACGCTTCATGAATCAAACTATTTCTATATGTAAGAAGTTAGATTTGATGTACTCAAGCAAATCACTGCAATTTTAGTAATATTCATAGTCCATTTCCATTTGATTAAAGTGGGTCTAAATACTGCCCTTTTCCCTCATTCTTACAGGTTGCTACAAAGTCATCTTCCAGCTCGCTTATTCTTAGAAGCAGGATGGGCCGAGAAAAAAAATGTCATCTTGTGAGAGGAGCAATCTCCATTGATCAGCTCAAGGAGCTCACCAGCCAATCCTGTCCCATCGAGCTGTTCCATTGATCCAGTGAAAATCTGGAGCAATCCCTTGATTGTTGACCCAATTTCCCTGTTACTGTAATGTCTTGTATCCCGTCTCTCCCTTGTAGATGTGGATGACGGCAGCGACCACGACAAAGACCACAGCGAGGAACTGCAACGCTGGGAACAGGAGCAAATCAAGAAAGGAACCAGCGTACCGCAAGTCGGTATTTGATCCCTCATGTCTTGAATTTCTTCTTAGAATTATCTTCTTCTTTTTTATCCCCCTGGCTTTTAAGCCAAGAAAGGGGGATCTTGCGATAGTGTATTCCTTCTGCGTGTCTGTGTGTCCGTGTGTTCCATTTGGGTTAGGTTAACTGTTTAGTGTTGTCATATGAAATGACTTTTCAATGACTTCACTCTCAACCAAACTTGGTGACAATAATCTTTGGGTAGGGGGGACTTATGACTTGAGACATTTGAAGTCAAAGGTCATGTTGGGGTCAAATAAGGTCATTGTTGATTTTGGTTAGGTGAACTGTTTAGTGCTGTCGTATGAAAAGTCAGACTTCACTCTCAACCAAACTTGGTGACAATAATCTTTGGGTAGGGGGACTTCAGATGACGTGAGATATTTGAGGTCAGAGGTCATGTTGGGGTAAAATGAGGTCATCGTTGTTTTTGGTTAGGTTAACTGTTTAGTGCTGTCACATGAAAAGTCAGACTTCACTCTCAACCAAACTTGGTGACAAGAATCTTTGGGTAGGGCGACTTCAGATGACTTGAGATATTTGAGGTCAAATGTCATATAGGGTTAAATGAGGTCATCGTTGTTTTTGGTTATGTTAACTGTTAAGTGCTGTCATATGTAAAGTCCGACTTCAATCTCGACCAAACTTGGTGAGGATAATCTTTGGGTAGAGGGACTTCAGATGACTTGCGACATTTGAGGTCAAAGGTCATGTAGGGGTCAAAAGAGGTCATTGTTGATTTGGTTAGGTGAACTGTTTAGTGCTGTCATCTGAAAAGTCAGATTTCACTCTCAACCAAACTTGGTGACAACAATCTTTGGGTAAGGCGACTTCAGATGACTTGAGACATATGAGGTCAAAGGTCATGTTGGGGTCAAATGAGGTCATTGTTGATATTGGTTTAACTGTTTAGTGCTGGCATGTGAAAAGTCAGACTTCACTCTCAACCAAACTTGGTGGCAATAATCTTTGGGTAGGGAGACTTCAGATGACTTGAGACATTTGAGGTCAACAGTCATCTGGGGGTCAAATGAGGTCTTGGTTGATTTTGGTTTATGACAACTGAAAAAAAGTGTGCTTACTAATTGACTTTATAAATACTGCCAGCATGCCGGAGGTATTGCGGCATTTTAATTTGCAGTATTTTTTATGCTTGCTTAATTAAATACAAAAAAGTAACATTAAAGGCTCGATAATAATTCAGATTCTTTCATTTCCCATCCTAGGCCCAAGAATCGACCACTTCATCTGCAGCTGCCGCTGCGGCCGTGGCCGCCTCTTACTACTACCAACAGCAAGAGTTCCCTTACGGCCAGCCCACTAGCCAGTATGCCACGCCTGTGGGAGGGGCCTATGGGATAGGGGCGGAGCAACAGCCTGTCATCCACGCCCTGAACACGACGCCCATGTGCGAGATGCCCGTCGTCACCATTGAGCAAGTCAAGAAGAAGCTGAAGGACTGGTAACAAGTCTCTTTTCTTATTTTTTTTAACTTACGTCAAGCATTGATCAGATAGGTACAATACCTGGCCTTTGATTTTAACCAGTTCGCGCCGGATGACGTGTATACACGCAAAGGTTTCGCGGCACTCAGAACAGATGACGGATAAACACGCAGGGAGTGAGGCCAAAAATATCTGTCAGTGACCCGCTCGCAGCGAGCGAGGCCGGAAATATGATTATGCTGCCCGAGGGTGATAGCTTCAACCTGCCTGGCTTGAGGTTGAGTGAAAAGTAATCCCACCCCTCGTTCCGTTCTTGTCAAAATAATCCCAGCATGAACTGGTTAAGGGACCCCAGTTAGAATCCGTCCCAGTGCATTTTGATTTGATCGCAGTTCCCCCTCATTAATCATGAAATATTTCCACAGAACGTTGGTTTTTCTTTCTACATCAGAAAACTTGCATTTTCTTCACTGACTTTTCCAAAAGTCTTGTTGGTTGTGTAATAGTGAAACAGTGAGATTTCATTGTGGCAGCCTGTGACTAATTCCCAATAAAAAGTGAATAAATTAACTTTTATCCAACTTGGTGATTTCCTTTAATTTTGCACCAGGTTTGAATCGGTGAAGGACGTCCACCGAGCCCACGAGCGTGAGTTGGATCAACAGCAGGAACGACTAGAATCCTCGGCCGATACCTCGGTCAGCTTGAAGGACAGTCAAGGCGGCGTCAGCGGACAGTACCAGTTCTTTCAGGAGATGAAGGGCTACGTCAAGGACCTAGTAGAGTGCTACGGAGAAAAGGTACTCAAATATTTACTACTTTTTGTTACACTGGGCAGGCTTCTAGCAAAATACCCTGTAGGGTTAGGGTAATGTTATATTATTGCACATTTACATTCGTACTCCGCGCGAAAGCGATCGTGAACGTGAATGCAAACGTGAATGCAAATTTGTGACATTATGTCAAATATTCACTTTGCAAATTCACAAAAAGTTGAACACATTTCAACTCCGTCGAATTTCACGACGAACAGTTTCTGACATCAAATTCGCTCGGTGTTCTCATTTGCATGAACCCTAACTCCCTAATGTCTTTTACTAGGAACTGGACCAAGTCCATCAAAATCCATCAATCAATGTGCGTCCAATACAAAACTGTACATGACGTAATGGAATCCACCACTGAGGCACTGGTTGACATTCATGGACTTGCTACACATGGCTTTTATCCCAATAGCAGTACAGGAAGCTAGGCAAAATCAATCGGATACCCCTAGCACTGCTTCAGGCCATTAGGCCCAAGTCCATCATACTCCATCAATATTTAGTCACGCCAGGCCTTCTGGACCAAGTCCCCCAAAATCCACCAAAATCCACCAAAATGGGGGATGGATTTTGATGGAGTTGGGGTGGTTAGGGTTAAGTATGCACCGGCCTTAAGTGATTGGCATCTGTTATCTTTCTCAGTTTATTTTGAAGTTGTTTTGAAGTGCCCAAAAAGTGACTGTTTCGTGTATCTCTACTACACACCCAAGGTGCTGATCATAGACGGCCTTGAGATGGCCATGATGGTCCTCCTCCAGACCCGAGCCAACCAGCTGGCCAAGCGACGACAGACGGACATCCGGGATCAGTCTGAGGAGTTCACCGGGATGCTGCAGCGAGCCGCGCTCTCTGCCAACTTTGACAGCGGCGGTGGTAAGATCAAGACGGAAGACGTCAGCAAACAGCGGAGGATGGCCGAAAGGGAAGCAAGAAGGTTAGCAGAAAATTTTGCTCAACAAAATTCTCATCTAAGCAAAAAGGAGAAGAGAACAGGGCCCAATTTTACGGCGCTGGTAAGCAAAAGAATTTGCTTAGCACAAAAAAGCCTGGCTAATAAAAGTAGTTTACCAGCCAAAACTCCATGTGATTTTCATATAGCAAACAACAGCTGAATACTTATCACGAGCAATATACATCACATGGAGTTTTGGCTGGTAAACCTGCTTTTATAAGCCAGACTTTTGTGGTGCTAAGCAAATTTGTGTGCTTTGCAGCGCCGTGAAATTGGCCCCTGGCCCAGTTTCATGGCTGTGCCTGCCGTTGGCAAAAAAGCTCCGCTTACTCTAGCAGGAAATGTTGTGCTTATGGTTAGCATATTAAGGAGTTTTGGTTGATGTGCATGTGAACATCCTGTAGCTAAGGATTCTATGCTTACAGGGTTAGCACAGACTTTTTCTGCTAGCGCTGTTAGCATAGAATGATGATCGTAAGCGTGGAAAGCTGTGGCTAGCTGAGCCACTAACCGGGCCTTGGTGACGTGCTGTGTAAATTGCATGACACTTTCATGGGTGATCTGTTTTTTCATGCTAAGCATAATCGGGAGATCTTATTACAGAAATTTGCTTAGCACAAGAATCACAGTTTGAAAAATCATGGTTCTTCTTAAAGGAGGCAGTACTCCCTGATTAGAAATATTTGAAGCATTGCATGTTGGAGAATAGTATTAAGTGGTTTCGTAACCAACACGATCTTCTCACCACTCGAAAATCATCAGTTCGCTTTTCTTTTCTTACTGCAGATGTTTCCAATTATTCATATAATGGCATGAAGACTTTTCCAAGATGTTGTTGTATTCATCTTTGTTTCTTACCAGGTCTAGAAGACGACGGGCGAGGGAAGGACAGAGTGCGGAGGAGACAGGAGGACACATTGAAGGCTTGTCTAGCGACGACGAACAGAGGGAGAGTGAGGCTGATAAATTCAACAAGGAAAGAGGTCAGAAATGAAAAAATTCCATCCCAGAAGTATTTAGAAATAACAAAATTTTTCTCTGCCATTCTAAACATACCCATATACAGAGCATATCATGATAGAATTTCAATAAATTGAACAGTTAAAGAGCTTTTTTTTTTATTTTGAGCATCATTTCGGCTAGTTTGAGTAGATTGTCCTCGCCTCACAGTCGAAGGAAACATTTCTTGATAATGATTATTTATGCTCCACCAAATAGACAACGAATGTGCTAAATGAAATCAGTGTCTTAATGTTCACACGACGTCAGTCGACAAACTCATATAGGCTTAAGTAAGATTTGAGGCTTTGCATGGTGGAGATACTAAATAATGAAAGGTTTGCGGAAACACCATGTGCGAATAATTTCTAAACTAAGAGAGTGGTTCTGAAAAGCACCAGAGGTATAAACTCGACGTTCCGGTGAGTATGCTCTGACCGTCTTCAGGACCTTTCATTATTCATATAGGCTTCACATGAAAAAATATTGACTGGTGATGATGTGGGAAATAAAGTATGGAAAAATCCCCTCCCCCCCCCCCCCCCCCACCCTCTAGAATTAATGTAAAAAAATTTGAATTGAATTATTGTTCCCTGGTCTGTCCCTTGCCCAGATCGCATCATGGTAGAATCCCAGCGCGTCTTTGAGGACGTGGTTGAGGAGTACCACGCCATCTCTATCATCCTGGGCCGCTTTGAGAAGTGGAAGTTCCAGCACGGTGAGTCTTACCGCGAGGCCTACATCAGCCTGTGTCTGCCCAAGCTGCTCGGCCCGTTGGTCAGGCTTCAGCTGCTGGATTGGAACCCACTTCAGGTAAAAAAAACCAGACGGTTTATTTGTTGTTTTCAAATTAGGTTTAACAGAGAAAGTGATCTTTGCAGGATTTCAACTTTCAAAATCGGGAATTCTGCACTGGAATTTGATTGCCAAATCTTGCTCTAATACATGGGTTTTTTCTCTTTGTTCTTTAGAACTATAAACTGATTAATGACAAATTTATTCCATTTATTTTGATTGGAACAATTGTCTTGGATTTTTAAGTCGATTCTACAACCCATCCCCTCTAACATTCTACATATATTTTGTGCTGAAAATGTTTGTAACAATAGTTTTTCAGTTCAAAATAAATTTAAAATGTGTAAATGTCACAGCGGGTTGTTTTGCATTACAGAGACAAATTCTTCTTATAAAGGTTTAAAAAAAAAGTTTTAAAAAATGAAGTCTAGTAATACTAATGCAGAGACTTAAATTGTTGGTTATAAATCCCTAACGCAGTGATAAGTATAGACACTTAGGGGATCATAAGACTATTATTCCCACTTTGACAAGGTGAATTGGTTGAAGAATCATCTAAAAAAAACTCCTGCACTGAGGTGACAAAAAGAAGCCTGATCATGAAAAGAAGTAAAAGGACTATTGATATAAAGCAAAAAAATAACTCCTCATACGTCTTCCGGTCTCAACTCTGAGACTCTGAAATGTACAGTTTTGAATTTGCAATGTCAGAGAAATTTCAGGATTTCTACTTCGTCATCATTTCCTGTTTCTTGTCCAAACAAATGTACGCCCTCGCTAACTACTGCGTTGTTTGCCTTCTCTTGTTTTGCGTAGTCCAACTGTCACGATCTTGAGGAGATGCCGTGGTACGAGTCCATGCTCTTCTTCGGCTTCCGCGAGTCCAAGGACCTTGAGTCTGAAGACCTGGACGTCTCCATCATCCCAAGACTGGTTCAAAAGGTAGTGTTACCCAAACTTGCAGGTATGTACGATGGCTTCCTTACGGCCATTTTGTTTGTCTGTCCGCCGGGGGCTATTGCAGTCTCGCTCTTGTCCTGTTGTTAAATGTATTCCTTTTTTTAAGCTCTGGCGAAGCTTCTACATGTCACTTGGTGGTCGGTTGGTCGGTCTGTCTGTCCCGGAAAATTGACCAAAATAATCCCCCTAAGTTTCCCATCAAACAGAACTACCAAATTTTAATTTTCAAAAAAAAAAAAAAATTAAATTAAATGCTTAACAAAAATTGTTTGTAACATTTCGGAAAGATGTTTATGTAAAGTTTGTAAATGGAGGCAAAATATGTGCAGTAATGTTATAGTCGCATGGTATTTATTGCAAATCGCTATAAATCTAGGTATAAATCTAAAGTATGGTGTTCTTATGTGCCATCAGCTTCGTATTTTTGGGCACCATATTTTTAAGGTCTGGCAGGAATCATTTTGAAACATTTCTTGCAAGACTGCCAAAGACATTGTTTTTGATTTTTGGAAGCGAACTGTCGGTGGATTACATAAAAAAGTTTCGTCGTGAGAAACATTGAAATACTGAGAAAAAAAATTGTGTAACAGTTTATGTTTGGTCTATTACATTGAGGATTATTGTATCCAAACGCTTATCTTTTTGTTTTTTGGTGATTAATTGTGGTCAGATATTCCTGTACTATATTTGATTTTTCTGTGTTTGAGTAACATCCCGCCTACTCAAAAGTTTTTCCATAAAATAATTTTATATTTTATGCTTCCTTTCAATTTTTCCCCCCTTTTTGGTTTGAAAAATCATTATTTCCTACATTCAATAACAAGCCTTATTTCCTGCAGGACGAAATTGTACCGCGACGAAGACTAAAGTTTGCGTGTTTTAAAAATCTTCCCCCTTGTTAGATTTGGTTGGGGAGGTCTGGGACCCCGTCTCCACCACCCAGACAAACCGACTGGTTAGTCTGGTCCACAAGCTGGTCGAGGATTATCCGACGGTCAACAGCGACAGCAAGAACACAAGGGTAAAAGTTGGTTGTAATATACTGGTAAAAAAAAGAAAGATATCCGATACTAAGATAATTGACTAAGGCCAAGTAAAAAAATAATTGTTTGTCCAGGGCTTTTGTAAAAAACAGGACCATCCTTTCATTTTACTAATACTTAATGTAAACCTTGCATGAGTACAAAACAATGTATTAAAATTAGATACATTTTCCGTCAGACGGAAATTTCAATTTATCATCAAAAGGGTTGGGAAAAGTGAATTGTATGCAAGTCTCAGATTAAGAAATTTGTAAACTTATTTATTAATTATTATAAGATAGAATTTTGCGTCGGGGTGATATAAATCAAATTAGGTTTTGCCGAGCTAACGATCCCGTTAGCTCGGTGGTCGAGTGGTAAGACATCTGCACTAGAAAGCAGGAGGTCGTGGGTTCGAGTCCCACCCGAGTGATTTTTTCCAACTTTCACTCGGGAGGTAACACACTGAGTATACAGTGTTTTAAAAACGTCGGTGAAGGGCAAAACCTAATTTGATTTATTTATTAATTGTTTGGGTTTTTTTGAAAGATTATTTATGTATTATTATTACTTACACAAATGTAATTCTAGGAGTTCTTGAAAGCATTGGTGGACAGAATGCGGAGAACACTGGACGATGACGTTTACATGCCGCTGTTTCCAAAAGAGTGAGTGAAGAATTAGGACCTTTGGAGAAATGGCCAAGCTATTTCTTCTTTTTTTTTTCAGAAATTTAGCGTTTAAAAGATTAACTAAACTTGTCTTAGCCCCTTTAAATCATCACCCTCTTTTTAACCTGCTTAAAAAAAAAATTCTTGCCAGCTTTAAAATCGGAAGGGATAATTGAACAAATGTTTTGTTTTTGGCCACTTGAATGAATAAAATTGTTTCCTGTCTTCCTTTAGTATGTTGGAGAAGTCTGCAGCAGCCAACAGTTTTCTGCAGAGGCAGTTCTGGTCATGTGTCAAGGTAAAGTGACAACAGCGCCCTCATTTGACAGAAAATAACATTGACATTTTGTAAATGCTTAAAATGAACCATTTTCAGAAGATTTCAATAAAAAGATTGTCCCATTTTGAAAAAATACTTACAACCATAGATGTCCACAAAATTTGCTTCAATAAAGATTCAGTTCAGATTTTTACATTTTTGCACAATATTCTGATTTTTGGTTCCGTAGTTGCTAGGCAACCTGTTGCTATGGCACGGTCTGATATCTGAGGATCACCTCCTGGAGTTGGCCATTGACGGTCTGTTGAATCGCTACATGCTGCTGTCGCTGCAAAACTCGGATGTGAACGAAGACAGCATCCTCAAATGCCAAAGAGTAAGAAATTCATTTCCACTGGCATTTTGATACAAAATTTTCAATTTGTTTTACTTCCAAAATGGCAGAAATATGCTAAATATGCATGTGACTTGTTTTAATCAGCACTTCACTTTGTTTATAAAGTTCAGGGTTGTTTGTTGACCGGGTTTTGTCTTTTGTTGGTTCTTTTCTGCGAGAAAATTCATGAATTGGCTAATGATCTTTCCTTTTCTTACCCTTGCTTAAGAAAAGAGCCAGTTACAAGCTCTATACATCTATTGTCATTCAGGCCGTTTGTGCTTGAAGCAAACATGTTTTGTGCTTCCTGAGCTGAGCATACTCACAAAATTGGGTTGAGATCTTTTGATGACAATTTTCTTTCCAGCCTTGAAATAGTGGTTCACTTGTTTTTGATAAGCAAATATCTCTCATCCAATAAAGCAAATATCTCCTGTGCGTTGCAAACTTCCCAGCTTAGCAGATTCACCAAATTGTCCTTGATTTTTTTGACACCTGGTCATTTCTGACCTTCCTTTTCATCAGATCGTGGCCACCTTCCCACCCCAGTGGTTCAAGGAGCTACAAGGCGACGAGACACTCAGGCAGCTGGAACCATTCTGTCGATACCTGGAACATGCTGCTGAATCCCTGAAGAGACAAGGCACTGTGGGGAACGACCTCGACAGGAGAAATGCAAGGTAGGGGTTAGACAACCATCTCCGATCCACAATCCTTAAAAAAGTCACAGTTAGTGGCCATTTTTGGGTACTATTCTCTTATGCACATTGTACATGCAACTCGTACCCCGTTAATAATGATAATAATTTATGCATTTAAATTGCGGAAATTCCATATTAAGAATATGATCAAATGCGCATCACAATTATTATCTCTGTTCATCAGGAATGAGACCCTGCAGCAGCTCGAGATCCGCGCAATTTGGTCTCTACCTTCACATTTATACTCCTGGGTGGAGAGAGGCAATCATAGTAAAGTGCCTTGCCCAAGAACACAAGCTCCATGTTCCCTGTCGGGGGTTCGAACCCATGTACCACGGCACACGAGTCGAACACTGTAACCATTGGACCACAACAGCTAACTCTGTATAGTGGGCATTGATATGGAAACTTTATATGAGCTCAAATCAAATGCTGCTATTTCAAACTTTTTTCCCAGCTGCAGAAAACATACCTTGTATTGGTATCACATACCTTTCTCTTGTATACCTAAAATTTCCTGCTCAAAGGTCAGAGCCCATAAGAATCCCTGTGTAAGTCGTGACTCCCTGTCCAGCCCCAAAATGCCCTGTCACTGTTTGGTTTTGTGGCTTCATTAGGGAATGAAATACAATGGAGATGTACTAATGGGTTACACGACAAGCAATGTACTACTAAGCAGGCACTCGTGTACAAAAAGTGGGCTTTTGTTTGCATTTCATGTTTATTTCCATATTTTCCTTCTTTTTTTCTTTTTTCTTCTTCTAGGGCGGGGTTAAAGGCAGTCACCAAGCTGCTGGTCACCATTCACGCCATGGACCATGCCCTGAACATCTCGCAAGGGATCAGCCTACGAGACATGAAAGAGATACTGGAGAAGGAATGAAGACTCTCCCAAAAAAAATACTAAAAGAAATTGATAAAGTCTAGCCCCAAGATTGAGTGGGTTATAAACTTGCAACTTAGAAATCATGAGCAATTTTGAGACTCACAGAATCCATTCTCCTTTTCGTTTTCATTTGTTTGTAATTTGTTTTTTCCTCACGGTACGGTCAGTTCTGCAAAATTTATCATATTTATTGTGCCGAGTTACTGTCGTGTCACCTATTTAATTGTCCGTGCATAAATATAACTGACCTATCGCCGTTTGTTGAGTTGGCCACGCCCCTTAAACAACCCTATGGAATTTTTGTACGCTAAGTTTTGTTTGTCTCAGATGTTGCGCATTCTGCGTCCATTTGTATATCATGTTATTGAACCATATTTGACAAGCTGCGTTGACGCGAAGCTAATGCGATAGGTCTATTTAGTTCACTGGGAGAGTGTTTGTAGCAATCATAATGCATTGTTAGTTTTCTTTTTATTGACAGTGATTTTGTGTAATTTTAGTTATACATTGTTGAGTACTCATAAAAATGAACACCATTCGGTTGTGACATTTTAGGAACACATTTATTTGTGCGTTTTATTTCAACTGTTCAAAACGTATAACAACTGGTACAAGGTATCTGAAAGCATTTGGAATATTAAAACAACTGTAAATATTTCACATTACATTTCTGTTCCTTGGCTTGGTTTTTCAGTTTAGTCCTTTTTGTGTTTCCGTTTTCTGAAAGTGCTACAAATGACATGTATTGACAGAATAACTGAACTTGAAATGGCCGCTCAAAAGTGCAAAGGTATTTTTAAGGGAATTGTTTTTGTTTTTCTTATGAGTTTGTCAATGTACAGAATTCGCCATCTTGGTCTTACCCCTTAACTGCAGGTATGTACAAAGTTAAGATAAAAGATGGTGACATCAGGGTCGCCAGACTAATTTGGCGGTATGATTTTGACAAGCCATATCTGAATCGGCTGTTTTATGGCTACGACTTCAGTTTTGGCATTGACATGCTACAGTACTTATCCATAGCCATGTTGGACATGGCCACAAAATGGAGACCTATACAATTACATTCAGTGCCTACCTTAAAGCTACAGTCCATCATTTGTAATTTGTGCATTTTGTTTGTTTGAAGCAACAAAAGAGTTCAAAATCTAATGAAGGATACTGAGCAACTAACCTGATGAAGTTTCAGCTCAGCTTCAGCTGTACATTCCGAGAAAAACAGCATTCTAAGATCTCAATTTCAAATCAAAAGTTACTGAATCATGTTTTGAATTGTTTTGAATTGCAGCTATACGCGACGTTGCGCACTGATCCGACAAATTATAACAACCGCGCGCGCGTGTGCGTCGTTCCAATACTTGTGCGCGCTGCGCTGAATAACAAAACGAACTACTAATTTAAATTTTCCTACGGTGCTTCTTAAGAATCACCGTTGGAAATGCCTTCTTTCGTTGATTAATTCAAAATGACAGCTTGCCAGAAAGAATAATTTCACAGGGAGTTTAGTTCCCGTACTATCTTTCAACCAAGTTTGTTTTTCAACAATAATTACGCCAGTTACTTTTCGGATGGCTGCAAATGATGGACTCTAGCTTTAATGTGTGATAGCCATATCACTGTCTAAACATCTGAATGGGGAATCCCTTCATCATTTTCACAGTAATAAAGCTTACCACCTAGCTTTTGCTTGTAGGAATAACTCAAAATAATGAAGGGTAATATCATACAATAAAAACCAAATTGATATTTAACATATACAATGTACAGGATAATAAGTTCAAGTTGCCTAACAATATTAATTGGAAACATAAACGGATAACTCATTTGACTTGCCTTATGTATTTAACGTTACCAAAACAATTTTTAAATACATGGAAACACACACACTGTGACTCGTGAATGTAATCCCTAACCTTAAAATTGCATAATTAATTCACAAAAGTGCTCTCAAATAACTGTTGAGATTCGACTGTACGACATGTTTACAGGAGATATGTGTTGTCGCTTTGAAAGAACTTGAGGGCCATTGTGCGTCGGTTCTTTCATCCAAAATGTGTCGGTTCCCCCGTCAACCATCAGAAATCTTCTCCAGATTTTCTGTAGCAATCAGACAAAATATTTTCAGAGACGGCACATTATTATGTTTTTATTTAATAAAAATCTGGTGGTGACTAGATTACTGGTGCAAAAATGTTGTTTCCAAACTAATTCTACAGAGATTTAAAAGGTTTAAATTGTTGTGTAAATTTCAAATTTGTTTGGAGAGCTTCAACAAATGTAAGAGATGTGTAAGGGGAAAAACAAACTATTTCCAAAACTTTACTCTAAGTAAGGAAACACATTTCCTTACAAAAAAAGTTTTTCAGAGTAGCCACTCTTTCAGTGCAGTCTTGCATTTATTTCACCACTCCACGGTACAAAATCCAAAAATGTAATTGATGAGATTTTATTCGATTACACAAGATTTGTTATGCATACATGTACACATATGTATAGTCTTACCTGTTATAGCGGCGATGGTCTTTTCAATGTACTCGTCCGTGTTGAGGTTTGGTCGATGAGTCGGCGAGACGTCCAGCTGATAGTCTGGTCCGTACTCGAGAAAGTGCTGCAAAACAAATGAGACCAAAACCAGACCATTGTTCTTTGTAACATCATACCTCAAACAAACTATTAACTATTTGTCAATGATATCACCTTTTGTATCTCTTTTTATACTTGTATTTGCTCACCTCATGTTCCGGTATCTCGGCTGGTAGCCGGCAACCCAGCACAGTGGCCGTCAGGTTAGCCCAGCACCGAGCCGTGTTGGCCAACCGGTACCCGCCACCCCCCAGCAGCAGTGTAGGCAACTGCCAGGCCGACACCACATGGTGCAGGCAGCGGGCCAGGCCGGTGGGGGTCATGTTGAAGGATTGCATGGGGTCATCGGCTAGCGTGTCGGCGCCGCACTGGACCACTATAGCGCTGGGGTTGTAGCACTGCTTGAGTTGGTCGACAACTCTGGCAGAGAAAAAGACAAAGAGAAAATCATAATTTACCCATTAGATCCAGTGTTGTTGACCAGGTTCTTGTAATGAACCACAAGTCCATCACATGTACATCACAAGTAAATCACAGTGTACTTATGATGGATCACAAGTACATCACAGACTGGTCACATGTACATCACAGGTCCAGTCACATGTACATCACAAGTCCAGTCACAAGTACATCACAAGTAAATCACAGTGTACTTATGATGGATCACAAGTACATCACACTGGTCACATGTACATCACAAGTCCAGTCACAAGTAAATCACAATGTACTTAATGATGGATCATAAGTGCATCACAGACTGGATCACAAGTGCATCACAGACTGGATCACAAGTAAATCACAAGTCCGGTCACAAGTAATAGGGAATGAACAATAACAAAAGAATGCTGTTGTCACATTTCATTGGAATAGCTTGTGACTTGTGATTGCCTTGTGATGGTCTTGTGAGGTCTTGTGATGGTATTGTGAGGACTTGTGGAGGACTTGTGATGGTATGTGATGGTCTTTTGAGGTCTTGTGATAGTATTGTGATGGTCTTGTGAGGACTTGTGATGGTCTTGTGAGGACTTGTGATGGACTCGACTACATCACTGGTTAATATTCGACCCCATTCTCTTCTAGACTACCTGCAGAAGACACTGAAGTACTGGTTGTCCTGGATCCCATCCTTGAGTGGGACATTCACCGAGTAGAATTTGCCTTTACCGATGCCCACGTCATCCACCGACCCAGTGCCTGGTGAACAAATAAGATCAAAAAGGCATAAACTCTAACAATAACTTTACTTTTCAGTTCTTTTCGCCTACGTGTGGACATGTGCATAGTTCCAATGTGAGAACGTCAGCCATTCCCAAACATTCCATCAGGAGTTTTGCCCATCCCAAACTAACGCCGCATCCAAATCACTTGGCTTCAACCAGGAATAAGACACGCAGCTATGGAAGCCACTGGCTAGTGGCTACAGCCACTTCCCACAGACTCGTGTATTATCGCCAACCATAGCCGAGTGATTTGGACCCGGCCTAAGTGTATTTAACCCAACTTTTGAACCTTTCTATTTAGAAGTTGACAATGCAGCTCACCTGGGAAGAAGCCCGGACAGTACTTGTGGAAGGAGCACGTCAGGACTTTGGGAGTGTAGCAAAAGGCGTCCTCAACACCTACAAGACAAGGGTTCAAGGTTGAACATCCCCTGTTACATAGAATCACATCTGAAGTACACTCGTACCCAGGACCACTGGGCCGTAGGACAGGCTAAAATTTCAAGCATTTTCATTGGTCAATCCATTATGGCTCTATGCTCTGAACCCAAAACTTTGAATTGCTTTACCATCTCCGTGGTGTAGGTCCAGGTCCAAATACAGAACACGGTCAAACTTCTCCCTGAGTTTCAGAATCCCGAGAACGACATCGTTGACGTAGCAGAAACCAGACGCCTCATCTCTGGAACAATCAAAAACAAAAACGGTCAAATTTGAATAAACAACCTATTCATTTTTACAGTTTTTCTGTTGATGTCAGCAATAAGCAAGTGGAAATCTGCATTTTGGCAACATTGGCAATAAATCTAAAACTCCTAGACCCTCCAAAATCGACCAAGAGGCTTGGAAGGATGCGGCAGGATTGAGGAAGGTAGCGCCAATACCGATTCCTTTATGACGGACTTGACCTGCCTTTGAAGCAATTTCATGAAGGCCCCTAGCAAAGTGTTTATGTCGAGTTGGGAGTTAGTTTTGTGAGTTAAGTGTCGTACGAAGGTAGACTGTGTTTAACTCGGCATGCCAAATGTTACGTTCTATTCGTTGTCGGGGAAATGAACCTTGACCAATGTCGAGTAATTTTGTAAACTCTCCATTCTCATTTGAGGAATCCAGAAATTCAGAGGATCTTGTTTACCTCTTGGCGTGATGCCAGCCTCCGCACCAATTAATGGCAACTCTACTCTCCCCGTTAACAAGGGCCTGGGCTGCTCGCAGGGTGGCGCCCGCCGCCAAGCAGACGAAATCAAAGACGTGGGGGATGGTCGGGCAATCATAACCTAAAAAAAGAATTTAACAAAATAAACTACAAGGGAGACTGACTTGATAAAGTGCTCAATGTTAAAGAATTAACAAAGAAAAAATTAACAACAGCAGGATTTGAACCTGCAACCTCCAGAAAAAAAGTAATGGTTTTCTAACATTTTTTTTTACTTTCAAGAGACGAGTAGGATGATAGCTCAGGACTTGGACATTTTTTTCTCTCACCCAGACCAAACTGCTGTTTTAGTTCCTCATTCTTCTCGCTGTCGTCCTCTTGATTCAGGCGCTCCAAGCAGTCCACAAAGTCTTGGGAGTGGAAGACGGTTAAGTCTTCCTTGGTGGTGCGATGCGGAGGTAGAACCGTCATGTTCTGGAGGAGGCCGTAAGCCTCTAGAAGGCTGTGCACCATTCCCGCCTGTTTAGATGGATAAAGGGGAACATGAGATTTGAAGAAACGTTTTTAAATTTCATTTATGAAGTACTTTAAAAAAGATCTTTTTTTTAGTGATTAGAAATATCTTTTGTATTTATGTTGGCCACCAATCATAGCAAGCTTGGTTAGAATACTTGAACTTGTAACTATTGTGGGTTCAATCCACCTACATGTACGGCAAATCCAAGATGTTAAGTTTTGCAGACAAAAACTTCCAAGTATAAAAGTATGATAATCATTTCCTCTGTGTGACTTACTCTCTTGGGGACTTTTAGCAGCGTGTCACACAGTCTGATGAGTTGCTCACTGTGAACATAAACCACTCCAGATGAAGATGACACCTGATTGATCTTATCTCCCGTGGTACTATCGCAACGAGTGGCACCAAAGCTGCGCCGTTTTAATCTCGGCAGAGCCTGCCGGTTGAACGGTTTAAGTGGGAGAGGCACACCGCGCTTCCGTGGTCTGGAGCTTCCGGCTACCAACCCGGGGCAAACCGAGCGTCCCGGAGAAAGCCTCGGCCGCACGTACTCGCTGAGCTGTTCCAGGCGTTTGGAGACATTCTCTGAGGTAGTTGAAGATGCGGATGAGCTGCCTTCAAAATCGTATGTGGCGCCAGAGTCGTCTGTCCTTTTCAGGAGCGGGAGGGGCTTGCCAATCATCGGCGAACGGTCTGGGGATGTCAGGAATCCTGGAGGTATGTTCTCCGAGAGCTCCTCAAGTCGTTGGAGAAGCTTCTCCGAGGAGCTGGAGGTGGTTGAGGAGCTGCAGTCAAAGTCATACAGGGTGCTGAAGGTCTCGGTCCGCTTCATGGAGTAGTACATGTGTAGGGATTTTTCAACACTTAGACTAGCCCGGGCCGGAGACAGAGGGGCATCTCGTGGAGGAGGGACATTTTCAGCGAGGAGTTCCAAGCGCTGCAGTAACCGATCTGACGATGATGGCGATGAGGTTGACGGTCCGCAGTCAGCATCCGCTAAGTTCTTTGCGGGATCGGTTGACGTGATTGGAGCCGGGGATTTCACGCTGGCGAGCTGATCCTCCTGGGGTTGGTGCGGGTGACTGGAGGCGGGGGATGCCGGGGAGGAATTTGGTGACTTCTCGCCTGTCACCAAATTGGTTGTAGTTGCCATGATGGACGACGATGGCTCTCAAAACGTTGCTATTGGTCTAATTCAACGTGGGACATGATCTTATAAAATAATAAAATCAGGAAAGAAATTGGAATAAAGATTACCAGATTTAAGATTACAGATTGTTTTTGTTACTTTGGACAAAATATTTAAGAAAATAAACTTAGCAAAGCCAAAGGGCCTACCCCTCCCGTCCCCCACGCCGTGCCTTATTCAATTGACAAAGCAAACTCAAAAAGTGTTTAAACTAATAAAAGTCGTTAAAAGTTATGGAGCCTGATTTGCCCAATTTCAGGGGCGTACCCGCTGCTTATATAATAGCCTTATCGACAGCGAAAATCAAGAAGCAACAAATTTCCACAAGAAAAACCATGATCAACATGATCAATCATCATGATCATCATATCATGATCAAATGACATTGCATTGACCATGTTGACATTGACAAGAATATCAATTTTGCCCAGATATGATCTGTCAAACTTGCAAAGCTTTTTGCAATCAACTATTACTCTATTCACAGTCTACGTATAAACGTATACAAAAATACAACTTCTCAATAAAAAGCAACAATTCAGCTCAATGCAATACATGTTTTTCACAGAATTGTCCCCTCACCCGCAACCGGCCAGTGCATGCCATTGTCAAAAGTGTTTTTGTCTTGCGGTAAATTCAGAATAGCCCCCTCTCTTGATGTATAATAATTATTACACCCAAAACTCGTTCCCATAGTTTGTTTATTTCGTTTTTGCCACTTCCTTATTCATCCAGTTTGGCGGGTCGCTCACCTTAGCTCGAGGTTGAATAAACTAAGTAAATAATACTGCATGGTGGCGCACGTTTTGCACACTGCGTGCAAAACTGCGAATTGCGGGAAAACGTGCATATAAACGCATGCCCGTGTTTTTTGTCATACGCGGTGAGTATTTTGCGGGGAAAATTTGGTGTAAATTGTGAGTGATTCATTTATTAAATATCATAAAAATGGCTTTACCATGTTTTTATTGTATGAAGAGTTGTGAATTAATTTCGGTAGGGCTCCTTTTTGTAAGATTCAAGGCTTGATTTTGTAATTTTGAATTACAAACAATGTACAAAAGTCGACATGTATGACATGCGCATGCATGACGTGGTCAAATGCTTTTTATAGCTCCATGGTCGGAAAAATTTCCATACTCGGACGTCACTTTTTTCAATTAATTTTCTAGCGCCAAAAGTTACATCTTTTATGGTTATTCCTCCAGTTTCCCTCCTCTACTCTCACCCTCTCCTTTCCTTAATTTCTATTTATTAATCAGTCAGTTACTTCATCGGGATTCGAACCTCTGACGCTTGCTTGATACACGAGACTCTTAACCGCTAGGCCGCGCACGATCGCTGTTGCAATCATCAATCTTTGGACGTATTTGAAGTATCCATTGAAATAAACTAAATATTCATGAGAAAATAAATATTCATAATGACGTATTGCACTATCATTGGCAGGCTCATGTGACGTCATGGTTGTTGATGTCACGTGTATAACGTGCCGCTGTCTTTTCAGCCACTACAATAAGTTTTGACCGGCTGCTTCAAGTTAGTTCTGCACGACGTATGCATCCAAAATGTGCTCTAAAAACACATTTTGAGTAAATTTTTTTCACCTTTACACAGCTTCCTGGATTTCTTTTGGTTCAAATGACAAGGTGAGGTGACAATAAATATGTTTGGCAGCAGATAAATTGACATCCGAGTATGGAACTTTTCCCCCATGGTCAAACAAAACAAGCAAAAAGTGTTGCAACCTGACGCCACTTTTCTCTTCATATATCATCTCAATGAAGGTCAGTCATGGCAAAAATGATGATAAGACATGAATCTGGGACTGAGAAACATTTCCAATTTTCAAGGCAGTGTATATTTTGCCGGAGACGGCAAACCTTAGTAAACGTTAGTTTGCCGGATATGCACTGAACATGCGCAGTTACTGTTTTTTTGTACTTAAACATTTTCCGGTGACAAGTTTTAGTCTGGCTCCATGCCAAAATTATCGTTGTTACCTCGTATTCACAAGATGGGATTCAGACCATTTTATAATTTCGGACTTTATTTCCCTTTTAAAAAAAATCCTCCAGAGCCACAAATCTGAAAAAGAAAATGTAATACTCTGCAAAAAATGTTTGAGACATGTTAAAATAATAAAAGAAGAATATTCTTATTTATTTGGGGATGAGAAAAAAAACCTTAAAAATGTGGTGCGGTCGGAATCAAACGCGAGTCATCCCGCTTACTAGAGCCTTTGCTTAACCATTACACCAAGCGTGCTACACAACTTTTGATGGGAATTTAATACATCTTATAATTCAGCCCTATTTTAAAGAGTACAGCGCCCTCTGTTGATATGGATTGCCGCCGGCAAACCTTTAGTAATTGTTAGTTTGCCGTCATTACCTCCGGCAAAATATCCACTATCAATTTTCAATGATTTTGTTAGGAAATAGGGGCCTACTCGGAAAATGTTCTTGACTCTCCATAGACTAAATTGTACCCAACCGCTGAAGTGGCGTCAGGTTGCAACATTCTTTCCCATCATTTTGTTCTGAGATTCTGAGATGCATCATTTGCATTAACCAGGTTTATGTCAGATTAAGTTGTTGAGAATAAAGCAAACAAACAAAAATGATAGTCCTGTAACTATCTTAGCCTGCTTTACGAAAAATCTGTTAGATTTTTTTTTTTATTAAAGAACGATCTCTGTATTCTTCAGAGTTTCCCTAGTCGTCCATCATCATGAAGTACATCTTAGTATCCGGGGGTGTCATCAGTGGTATCGGGAAGGGAGTCATCGCGTCCAGTATCGGCATGCTCCTGAAGGCATGCGGCCTGAGAGTCACCTCCATCAAGATTGATCCTTACCTTAACATCGACGCCGGAACATTTTCTCCTTATGAACATGGTAATAATAATACTAGGGTGTCTTTTTTCCCCATTTTCCAGTAGACATTTTTTGATAGATTAAAATGTCAGAACGATTTAAAGCAAGAATCTTTCTCAATTTTGAATGCAGTCCTTTTATTTTCTGACTTTGACATTTTATCCTCCTGGATAATAGGGGAAGTCTATGTTCTCGACGACGGGGGCGAGGTGGATTTGGATCTGGGCAACTACGAGCGTTTCTTGGACATCACACTGCATCGGGACAACAACATCACGACGGGAAAGATCTACCAGAGCGTCATCAACAAAGAGAGAAAGGGAGACTACCTGGGCAAGACGGTACAAGGTAAATGCTATTACTGGACTAATCTCAAGTCAGTCACAAGTCCTCACATAAGTCAGTCACAAGTCAATCGCAAGTCAGTCACAGGTCAATCATAAGTCAATCGCAAGACAATCACAAGTCAATCGCAAGTCAATCGCAAGTCAATCGCAAGTCAGTCACAGGTCAATCACGAGTCAATCGCAAGTCAATCGCAAGTCAATCACAAGTCAATCGCAAGTCAATCACAAGTCAATCACAAGTCAATCACAAGTCAGTCACAAGTCAATCACAAGTCAATCACAAGTCAGTCACAAGTCAGTCACAAGTCAGTCACAGGTCAATCACAAGGCCATCACAAGTAAAACACAAGTCATTCACATCCCCACAAGTCAATCACAAGTCATCGCAAGTCTTCACAAGTCGTTATTTGTCAATCACAAGTCCATCACAAGTGCATCAGCAGCCACATGTCAAGTTACAAGCTATATTCAGCTCAGTGAAGCCATGCCTGGCCCCAATTTCCTGGAGCTGCTGAGCGTAAAAATATTGCTAAGCAACTCCATATTCTAAGCAGAAATAAGCTGGGAACCAGTGAGAAGCAAAAGACAATGCAGGAAATTTTAGCCAGTAACCTCTTTTTGCTAAGCAGAAATTTTCTGTGCTTAGTGAATAGTTGTGCTTCACAAATATTACAATTTCATTGTCCATTCATTCATTCTAATGGATGTTACTTGCTTGTGTCATGTAGTTGATATGCAAGAATTTATTACTTAAATTGTTTTTTTTAATGCTTTTGGTTCAATTTTTCGCCAGTGGTGCCACACATCACCAACGCCATTCAAGAGTGGGTGGAGAGGGTGGCAGTCATCCCAGTGGATGGAGACGAGGAGGCACCTGAAGTCTGCATCATTGAGGTAAAACACATGCAGCACAGGGAGGCTGGGGTGGGGCAAGGGTTCAAAGGGGGGAGGGGTGTTTAGTAAAATATTCGAGCTACTAGCCCTGTAGTCTAGTAGATTTTTCATTAAAAGTTAAGCTCTTATTAAGTGGTGAAACCTTTTAAAAGAATAAAAAGGTTTTGTAAATTGTTCCAGATATTAATTTTTTTAATAATATTTATTTATTTTGTAGCTTGGTGGAACCATTGGTGACATTGAGGGCATGCCGTTCGTCGAGGCCTTTCGCCAGTTCCAGTTCCGTGTCAACCGAGAGAACTTCTGCTGCGTGCATGTTAGTCTGGTGCCCCAGCCCAAATCCACAGGGGAGCAGAAGACCAAACCCACACAAGCCAGCATCAGGGAGCTGCGCGGGCTGGGTCTGTCCCCAGACCTTGTAAGTTATTGAACTCTTTTGTTTTTTTGATAAGTCGGGGAAAAAATCAATTATTTGTCATAGATTGTAGTAGTGGCTGCTTTATTTGATAAAAATTGGCCAGACAACCCAGCACAGTGATTTAGTGGGTAAGACGTCTGTACTAGTAAGCACAAGGTGATGGGTTCGCGTCCCAACTAAGAAAATTTGTGAATTTTTATCACTTGCCGAGTATTCAGTGCCTGAGTCGTTTGTGTAAGGCAAACCAAATTTTACATTTCCTCCAAATGCAACAAAAAATTCATCAATTTTCAATATCTCATCTTATCACTGGCCTCTTTTTAATGTCGTCTTTTTCTGCCCTTACTAGATTGTCGCCAGAAGTCACAACCCCGTCGTAGAAAGCGTGAAAGAGAAAATCTCCATGTTCTGCCACGTGACAGCCCAGCAGGTACTGTCTGCTATTTATGTTTAATAAGACAATGTCGTGGATAAAATCTCAGAATCTTAGAATATTAACCCTTACTCCCTAGGCATTTTTGCTAGGATGCAACCTCAATCCTGCAAAATCCTCCTACTGCCTGCATGTAAGAATTGCATACAAGCTCAATGATGCAAAATCCTCCGTTATTGCATGAATGTGGTCCTTGGAGGGGTGACCACTGCCTCAATCCTGCAAAATCCTCCAGCAATCACTGTCAATATGTTGAGGCAGAGCCAGTGACATCCTGGAGCAGCGGAGAATTTCAAGTGTAATCTAGGCCTAAATTTATGCACGGCTGAGCATAAACAACACAAGGTCCAGACCAAGTGCATCCTCATAAATCAGCTGCACATTTTTGCCTCAATCCGCAGCCTCAATCCTGCAAAATCCCCCATTTTGCAAAGAGGATTTTGGAGCATTTGGGAAGGTTAGGATTAGGTTTTGTTGAAACGACGTCAAAACATGCGCACAAACGGTGCACTGAGTTTGTCTTACCCACTGAAAATGTAGCTGCAAAACCATTAGCACCTGTACTACATTGTATTACATTGTATTACATTGTATTACATTGTATTACATTGTATTACATTGCATTACATTGCATTACATTGTATTACTTTGTACTACATTGTATTACAATGTTTTACATTGTATTACATTGCATTACATTGTATTACATTGTATTACATTGTATTTATTCCCTGAATTATCTGTAACACCATAGGATGCTCAGTTGATTCAGGTTCATTTGATTTTTGTAATTTCCTTTCTCATGAAAGGTCATCTGTGTGCACGACTGTACGTCCGTCTACCGCGTACCCCTACTGCTGTATGATCAGAACCTGGTGCAGTATTTTCAGACCAGACTTCATCTGGACTTCCGAACGCGTCCCAAACTCAGGCTGAACAAGTGGAGGGAGCTGGCACACAGGTACCTGAAGATTTCATTTTTTGGGTGAAATATTTTCATTTATATGTACATCTTTTGTTCTAGTAACGTTGCTTGCTTTGTATTTGAGGTATTTTCGTTGCCATAGTATTTGAATTTCATGGTGAAATAGGGACGTAGAAAGCACAATGCTCGCGGACTAGTGCAAGTCAAGTTGTACTGTATGTGCCTTTTTGGAAACAGGCATTCACTTTTCCTCGGTTCAGCTGATTTCCTCGTTTTTTACTTCTCATGAATGCCATTACAAATTGAAAAACATTGTACAAAGTCTGGTGTGGTTTGGAGTTACCTCGTTTTTTTTTTGAATTTCCAGTTGCATGCCCGTGGAAATCCATTTAAGACTGACAGTGTCATGTGTGTACTCGTTCAAGATTGTGTATGCAAATATAAATTTTCTTCAAACGTCGTGCGTACTTTGTTGGGTTTGTGTTCACTGATAACACAGTGTGCAAGTAGTGCGTTGCTGGTCATTGCTGGAAATATCGCTGGCCTATCACTTTCATTAGGGTGCTGCGTGCATAAGCGTTGTAAATGAGTGAAGATTACGTGTGTCACACAAACGATGACCGAACGGTGAGTGATGTCAAATACATTATTTAAACTTTTGTTAAGTTCCTTCTGTTTTCGATTGAATTTAGACTATTCCAGTGTTTCGGGGTTTGATCTTTTTAAAACTGGGGAAAAAAGTATGTTACAAATTCTTGAGCAGTTTTGCATGTCGTCTTTTTTGTGTTTCTGACTTACAAGTTACATGTTTGTATCATGAAATTTAAAAAATAAAATGGCTTCTAGAAGTAACATGTACAAAGACATTTTTTTTTATACAGAAACAGGGTTTTTTTTTTAAAGTTTTACTTTTGTCTTTCAGATATGACCACACCACCAAAGAGATCACAATCGCACTGGTTGGCAAATATACCAAGTTGGAAGATGCCTACATCTCGGTCATGAAGTCACTCTTGCATGCCGGCCTGACTTGCCAATGCAAGGTCAAGATCAAGGTGAGGGTGGCTGTCGATGCTGTTGCTGCTGCTGTTGCTGCTGTTACAGCAGTTGTTTCTGTCTTCGCTGCTTTTCCAGATTCGCCCGCTGCCGTTTCTGCAACCGCTGGCACTGTTACTTTTTATTATGGCTGTTACTTTGTGCTGCTGCTCAGGAAGTTGCAGATGCAGCTGTTGCTGTGACTGCTGCTGTTTTCGCTGCTGTTTCCCTTGTTGCAACTGTTGTAACTGCTGCTGCTGCTAGTGTTATTGCCATAGTTGCTGTAGCTTCTGTTGCTACATCTAATCTGCTGTTGTGATTGTTACTGCTACTGCTGGTGGTGTTACTGCTACTAGCTGCTGGTGTTGTTACTGCTACTGCTAATAGCCCTAACAGTCCTGAATCCTCCAATTTCAATATAATTTTGCACACCCCCTAGGGAGTTAAGGTTCATGATGTTTCTGCTGCAGTGTTATCGCAGACGCTATTGGTGTTCTTATGCATTTGTTGTAGTTTTTACCTCTGAAACTATTTATGTTGCCACTTCTCTTGTTCGTTTATTACAACATTACCTTTTATATGATTAAGTTGCCATTATTGTGTAATTTTCTGTCTTTTAGCTTCTCTTTGTAGAAAGAATAATATTCAAATTTCTGGTGTTTTTTTTTCAACTAGTTCATTGAAGCAGATGATCTTGAGCAGACCACACTGGAGCAGGAGCCAGTAAAGTTCCACGAGGCTTGGCAACAGCTCTGCAGCAGCAAGTAAGCAGACTTGATTGTTGAAAGACGTTTTGGCAATGATTGTCCACTGCTTATGAATATTAATCAAAACTAGTTTGTCACAAGTATGATTAGGTTAAACTCATTGTGAAAAACTTCAAAGGTTTATTTAATGCTTGATTTTAATTTCAGTGGGGTCCTGGTACCTGGCGGATTCGGGGTACGAGGGACGGACGGAAAGGTAGCCGCGGCGAAGTGGGCCAGAGAAAACAAGAAGCCGTACCTCGGTAAGGACAGAGTTACAGCTAAACACTGGCCAACAATTTGGCCGGTAGGACCTGATGGCCAGTAAAAATGGCTGGTTCTTTGATCAAGTCAGTTCAGAAAAGTTGGCCAAAGAAAACAAGAAGCCATACTGTGGTAAGAACCAAATTACTGGTAAACACTGGCAACCAATTTGGCCGGTAGAACTTTGTGGCGAGTAGAGTAAAACAACTGTTAGTTTAGTGGCCGGTAGAAATTGCTGGTTCTTCTATCACGTTGGTTCAGAAAAGTTGGCCAAAGAAACTAAGAAGTCATACATGGGTAAGGACAGCATGACTGCTAAAAACTGGCCACTGTTCTGGCCAGTAGAGCTTGGTGGCCAGTAAAACAATGGCCAGTTCAATGGCCAATTTGAATCCGATACAGCACAGTACAGGATCTTACAAAATTGTGATTAACTGCGGTACCTGCTGCCAAAAGAATTGAACTGGCCAGCCGACCCTGGCAAGCTTGTGGTTGTGTGGTAAGAGGTCTGCACTAGTAAGCAGGAGGTCATGGATTCGACTTCCACCTGAGTGAGTTTGTGAATTTATTCTTGCAAGACTTTTGCTAGAACTGAGTACACAGTGATAACGAAATGACATCTATGAAAGGCAAACCCCAATGTTTATCTTGAAATAAGGCTGATGATTATTTACAACATTTGACATTTCTAGGTTATCTTTGACTTATTAGGTGTGTGCCTGGGGTTGCAAGTCGCCGTGATTGAATTTGCCCGTAACGTTCTCGGCTGGAAAGATGCCCACTCTGAAGAATTTGATCCCAACACTACACATCCAGTGGTGAGTGCCTCAGTACATTTCAGGACTCCTCCCAATATATGTTTGGCTGGGGTGGTTCCAAACCAATTGCATTTTTTTATGGGAGTGGATCACATTATTTTGTTCTTTAATCCTAACTCCGTAGTCATTTTTGCTAGGATGCAACCTCAATCCTGCAAAATCCTCCAACTGCCTCTGTAAAAATTGCATATAGCCTCAATCCTCCAAAAATCCACTGTTATTTCTTGAATGCGGTCCTTGGAGGGGTGACCACTGCCTCAATCCTGCAAAATCCTCCGGCAATCACTGTTGATGTGTTGAGGCAGAGTCATCCTGGAGCAGTGCTGAGGATTTCAAGTATAATTTGGGTCTAAATTTATGCACAGCTGAGCATAAACAACACAAGGTCCGGCCCAAGACCTTGACTCAGTGCATCCTACAAAATCAGCCATACATTTTTGCCATATAGCCTCAATCCTGCAACTCATTCATTTTGCACAGAGGATTTGGGAGGATTTGGGAGGATTTTGGAGGTTAGGGTTAAAAAAAAAACTTGTGAAATGTGCAGTGCCAAAATGTAACACAAGTTAATTTTTTGGATTAGATCATTGAGATGCCTGAACACAACACAGGCCAGATGGGAGGAACCATGCGTCTCGGCAAGAGAACGACCGTCTTCAAGACAGAGAACTCCATTCTCAGTGAGTAGATAATGGTGGATTCTTTGTAGCTTTACATTTAAAGGCCACCAAGCCCTATATAAAGTAATAGTGGTGAGGCTGTTCCTTCCTCAATCGTCCATAACTTGGAAGATTATTGAGGATCAGGTTGAGTTAGGGCTCAAAAGCTGGCGAGGGATGTTGCGTTTTTCAGCGCAAATTGTTTTAGTAATCAATGTTTCATAGTGTGTGAAGTTGCAACCTACATTTTTGTATACTCTTAGATGGGTATTGAATAAGATGCATAATAGATGCTATATTATAATTCTTTTGAAGGAACTCTTTATGGAAGAGGTGAGCAGATTGAAGAACGTCATCGCCATAGATACGAGGTAAAAACACCTTTCTGTCAACTTGCATATTTAAGCACCAGCAGTTTTGCCAGTATGAAAAACTGTAAGAAGTATAGAACCTCCGAGAATATCCGTAAACTTTTACACTTGCTAGAAACAAAATGTAAAAGCATGGTTTCATAAGTATTACTAAAGAAATCTGTGCAACCCCAGAGAAAAAAACAAGTTTGTTCAATTTTTTTTTTCAAAGAGAAGTCACATAGTTTGTTTTGGGTTTTTTTTTTCTTTTCAGGTAAATCCTAAAAACATTGAGGACTTTGAAAGCCACGGTATGAAATTTGTCGGCCGCAGTGTGGACGGAGAAAGAATGGAGATCCTGGAACTACAAGGTAAACAACAAATATTTAGTCATTTTATCGTTGGAAAAGCCAGATTGGAAGAAATCTGGATATTATATCATGTACTATGCAGTGATGTCAGTCCTGCAATTGCCTGATTTTATGTTTTTTTCAAATTGTAAATAACATATTGGCGCCATATGTGTGCGTATAAATCTCCTTTATCCCTCCTGCTGTCTGAACAGTCACAGACAGTCGAAAAATCAATCCTCTTCCTGTGCCATGCCTTTTACTCAGGCTAGTCACCAACAGTCAGATCATATTTTAAGCAAGCACTGCGACTAGTCAAATTCAATCAACAGATAAAAGCAGACAAGTGGTAGGCATGGCTGGCTTATCAATCACCTACATTCAAGGCATAGCTGTACCACGTTACAGCCAGTCAATCCTGCTTTATGTAGGCTGGGAGCTCTTAACTGTTGAAAACACTCGCTTGACTGATTTCGACTGAAAGGACAACTTGGCACAGAATGTATATTTGCATAAGAAGGTTAAACCTCAAATTTTAGGCAAAAACGTCAGAGTCCACTAAAATATCCCTGATTATGATGGTTGGTGTTAATCAAAAAATTTTTTTACACCTGTTTCAGATCACCCCTACTTCGTGGCCGTCCAGTACCACCCTGAGTACATCTCCCGCCCCATGAAGCCTTCTCCTCCTTACCTGGGCCTGGTCCTTGCCTCCATCAACCGCCTCAAATCCTACATCGCCCGTGGGTGCCGCCTGTCGCCCCGTAACTCCTTCGAGGAGGCGGAGTCCTCCGATACGGAGGAAGAAATGGCAGCTTTGCTGAACAAGTCCGCCTCTCAAAACTCGTTCTCCAGTCTGGAGGCCAGTCCCCAGTTATCCTAAGGTCAAAGGTCAGTTGCAGAAGATGTTCAACTTCAAATACCACCCCCCCCCCCTCCCCCAAGTTGAAATGTTCAAAAAATAGAGCCTGTAAAGTCTGTCACGAGCCAATGTGGCCCATCAGGCCGGCGTTTGTCTCCGGCATGAAACAACTGAGAATATTTCTATTCCCCCTGGACGGAATGTTAGTCCAACGCAGGTTACTTCCCAGCTAATGCCGGTACCCATTTATACTCCTGGGTGGAGAGAGGCAAGTGTGGGTGAAGTGGCTTGCCCAAGGACACTACATATGGCCAGCGGCTGGATTCGAACCCCTGACCCTCTGGTCATGAGTCACGAACCCTAACCACTAGGTCACACTCCCCCTAACGCTTCCCATAGACCTGTGTGTTACTTCCAACTGTAGCCATGTAATTTGGACACGGCCCTATACTAGAATAATACTAGACTGTCCAGGATCATATAAAATCCACCATCTTGTTGGTGGATTTTCGGGATTGTAGGTAAAGCCCAGATGGTCTCTCTTTACCCTGGGCTTAGTGTCCCTTGAAGTTCAACTGCAAAGAACATGCCAATGTATTAATGCCCAGTGAAGTATCTTAGAGGATTACAGGAAGATTCTTGGCTAAAAGTGCCGAGGCAATCCAGAAAAAATGGTAAATTAATCGGTACAGAATCTTGAAACTTCCAGAATTAGAAAGCCAGTACAAACCAATTTCGTACTTGTTATAGACTAAAGGGATTAGAAACGAGCTGTAAAAAGATGAACATAATCTGTACATATACATTTTGTATTAATCTTTGAAATGCATTTTGCTTATGTGCGCACACCCTTATGTGTGTTGCTTGCTTGCATGCGACAGTACCCGTAAGACAGTTACTATGTTATTTTGTACTGGAGCTTTTTCTTGTCCATTTTTTTTTATGAGGAATCTTATTGTTATTAATATTATCATTATCATTGTATTTTTGGTAATTAAACGAAGGTTTCCTCAAAAGCCCCCAAGGTACTGTAGCTCGAAGGCCTGAAGAAACCTGTAGAGAGGAGACAATGAGAAGAAATTACAGTTTTAGATGTGGGAGGAAAACCCCTGCAGAACATTCTAGGGGAAGTCCCACGGAATCAGGCAGGGACTGAAAACCCAATCCACATGTTGGCCCAGGCGGGATTCGAACCTGGGCCAAGCTGACTCCCCAGAATCAAGTTGGTTCATGAACATAATTTGGATCTGCATTCCCCTGCGGTAGGTTATAGAGAAGTTTTGATCTGCTGTTTATTATGACAGATTATGGAACGTTAAATAAACTTAAAAATGACACTTTGCATTCTGGTGTGCAGACATGTGATTTATTCTGCTTCATACATATGCATGATTTGGCAAATGACTCCTTGACAAGAGCACAGATTTGTTCACCCTAGCATTTACAAAGGGCACTTTCAACAGTAACATTATAATATCATTTGAGTTAAACACTGAAATAATTTCGAAATTTACTAAAAACCAAATGGTATACTTCAGTTGCACAGCTAAAATAGCATTTATTTCTTGGGCTAAATTTTCGTCTTCTTTTTTGTTTAAAGCAGGCAATTGTTTTGTATAAAATGTAAAACCTTTCGTTTTCATCGTTTGTATACATGTAAAATAAAGACAAGTATTTTTCTGCAGTAGTTACCAAAAGTTACTAGCATAATGGTACTATTAACAGAAATAGGGGCTGTTACATCAAGTTAAATTTTGTTCCGTAATTCTTTTGCACACAATTGTTTTTTCCTTATTACTTCAGTATTCTTCCATTTTGTTCTCACAAGTTAAACTAAGTGCATAAATTACTCTGTGACATTCTTATAAATATAACCATCAAAAATACTTTTGTTAGTCATAAAAAATATACAGTGGTGTATTTAAAGTGGAAAGTTGGTCACCGTTTGTTACATACAATCGTACATTAATTTGTAAAATGTAATTTTTCTTCTGTAAAAGTTGGCAGGTGTGGCATTATGTAACGTTTTTCTAACTTGTAATTTATATTTACTGCTTCATTTATGCTTAAAAGATCCGAAGAAATAAAATCTTGGTGTTTATCACCTAGCACAAGAAAAAAGTGTATTGAGCATGTTTCCATCCAGCATGGTTTTTGGTTGAGTTTTCTTTAAAGAGTGTCATCCATTTCGAGTTTTCTTTTACATGTAAAGGGGGCCTCGTAGCCGAGCGGTTAGAGCGTGGGTCTACGGAGTGGAAGGTTAGCAGTTCAAACCTTCACAGATGTCGCATAAAAGCAATACATGTAATTGGACATTGTCACCACTACGTGTATGACGCCCCATTACCACATGCGTAACAATGCCAAATGATGCCACCGGTAAATTTCAATTAACTTGGAGCAGTAACCGACCCCTGCACAAATTAGCCTAGAAAATTAAATTCCGGTGTCTCAAAGAATAACAAATCTCCCAATTACTGCAGTACATGTATACCCATTCATGATTGTTTTGCAAATTTAGCCCCCGATCGCCTCATTCCTAGGCTGGTGCTGCTCTTTTTATAGCGGCAATGACTAATAATAGCCTTATACTGAACTCGTACATCATGGTGCAAAATCTAGGGATCAGTACTGAAATTGTTTTAATGGTGTCCAGAGGCCCCTGAAAATAGAAGCTACATGTATTATGAGGAATTCCATAAAACGCCGGAACATATGGGGCCAGAACTTCAATTTCAGTGAGTGACCTATTTAAAAAATATTCCTTGCAATCAACCCTAGTGTCACAAGAGTTTATAGCATAACTTCTGAAACAAGTTCCTCCCAACACTTAAGCAAAACTTTCCGCAAAACCAGATCTTTCTTGAACAAAAAAAAGGCAGTTTCTCATGATATAGATTTTGTCCAGATTGGACACAAGACATCAAAGGCACTGCATGTGAAATTACTTAAATTAGGTACTGAAGAAATAATGGTTGGTATGGGACATCGCCGTGGCTATTTCTGGCTAAAATAAGCCAGAAATAGCTTGTATGTGTACATAGAATGTTTACTAAAATTTATCACACCGTTAAAGATGCATTTTTTTAAACAAAATAATTGATTGTACTGGAAAGGATTTAATGTGGTGATCCTTGTTCTTACATAAACATATTCATAACTCAACTCGGCAGTGTTTAATGAACAAATTGCCTGCCCAACCACTCCGCGGCGGCGTTTGTAACAACAAACGCGAACCTCTAGTACTTATTTTGGGCCTGTTTGGGGGCTTTTTTTGTCTGATTTCACATCTTTTTTCCTGTTTTTTGCACAAGTTTCCTGGTTGTTTCTCATGCCTGTTTATTATATCTTTGTTGCTGTAACTCCCTGAAATCCAGACATTACATGTGATCTTCAATTAATGTGAAAGTATCACTACCATACGACTACACTTCATACATGTATTAAAATTGTCATTACAAAAACGCATCAGTGAATACAAATCAAAGACACTTTTTAGACAAATGTGTACTCATCTCACTGGGCCTACAAAGTGGGAAAATAGACTCAACACTTCGAAATAATTTGTAAAAATTGAAATCTCTGTTGCTTGATGGTCTTGCTAGTTTTAGTAAATAACACTCTTTTTAAGCTTATAGAAGGTTGTATGAAATCAAGCTTTTGACGTATGAGGATGATTTGGTGCACGTTTTGCAAGATACATTATATGGAAAGGGCATGTAGCTCGCAAATAGCATACATGCACCGAATGTATGTTTCGTGTCTATAGACTGATCAGCTGCCAGTGTGTAATACAAACAAATGCGTAAAAGCTAGCCGATTAAAAGGCTCTTCTTCCGACAGTGAAATTCTAGGTGCTTTTGTGATAAGCCAATATTGATTGAATCGTGACCGCTAGTAAGAAACCTCAAACACGATCTTTCCATTATATTTACAAGTCGGAAAAATAAACATTTTTGGCATTGAAAATATTTTGTCAAAACATGTTGAAAACATTTTGTTTATCGTATTATCAAAAGATATGCGAAACCGATGCTGGAGTGGCAGGACGTTTTTATTTCTCTTCATGTTTTAAAGTCTACGAAAAAAAATTACGAGTTACGAAAAAAACTTCGAATACGTCAAAAGGTTGTATTGATTCTTTGAAAAGTCGGCATAAAACGGACCCTGCTGCCCGTTTACAAAATATCCCGTGGAAATATAGGCTAAACCCCATGTTACAAAATATATTCTGAAAAAAAAATTCAAGGCTAGAGACGTGCAATACTTTAAGAACGAAGATAAATTTTAATCGCATTTACTTTCTCATTCCATCACAAAATAAAGAAATTCAAAATAAAGAAATTCACTGAACGAGATCTTAATTTTTGAATAACATATATAATTTCTTTTTTTTTAATCAAGATATCATAGCACACATAGGCCTACGCGCTACTCGTACAACTAACCCATTTGATGGAACATGTTCCGTAATTGTACTTCGCCCCCAAAAATTACCGTTTTGTTGACTCACGTTTGTCATACATTGTATTTGCACAATGCCTCCGGGGATTTTCTTGAATCGTTTCTGAACGAGACAGCACAAACGCTACTGAATACATTGCCGGGGTTCAAAAGAACAAGACAAACGAGCCTTTTTGACCTCTTTAATGTCAAGGAATAAAAATACATGTAAATGGAATTCAATAAAAGGAAATAAAGCCACATGTAGTACAGTCCATAAAAGACGATTCACCATCTAGGCTTAATCTGGCAATTACCGAGTCGTGGGACCTTGAGAACATCTTCCTTCTAAAACCTCGCCAGAAGCACTTACGAGGGACATAGTTGCGACCATGGCAATTTAAAATGTGTCATTTGTTTTTTACTTCTGAAATATAAAGTCGAGTTTGAAAGTAATTTGGACGTTGCTTGTCACTTGCTCTTTCGCTAAAGTCTTCACATTCTACGTTTCAACACTTATGAATAGGAGACGAACATGTTTATGCCCCGTCTTATAGGCCCACGGTTTCGATGATATTCGAAACGTGACCTTTTTTCTGCTGAAATTTAAAATCGAGTTTGGAAATAATTAGGACCTTGTTTGTCATTGTCCATCCGTTAATGCCCCAACGGACGTACGTTTCAGGCACTGAAAAAGGACAATCAATTTTGTTGGTCTCATGCCCTCATCTTGTGCCCTTGGTGTTTTGAAATGTGCCTTTTTTCTTTCTTTTGAAATTTGTAATCGAGTTTGGAAGTAATTTGGACCTTGCTTGTCATTGTCCATGGTTCACGTTTCAACAGTGAAAAGTAGAAACATTTGTTGGCCTCGTACCCTAATCTTGTGCCCTTGGTGTTTTGAAATGTGTATTTGTTTTCTTTCTTTTGTAATTTATAATCGAGTTTGGAAGTAATTTGGACCTTGTTTTTTTTGTTTTGCCCGTCCGCTGATGACCTTACACGCCAACGTTTCAACACTGAAAAGGGGAGGAGATTCCAATTATTTGCCTTATCTTTATATGCCCTTGGTTTTTTTTGAAATTTTTGTTTTGCCTTCCGAAATCGGATAATCGAGTTTGGAAGTAAATCAGACGCTTCTTGACTTCTTGCCCATTCACTTATATCCTTCAACGACTACGTTTTATAACGGCTAAATGGATATTTTCCGACCTTATCTGATTTATTATCTTTAATTGATCATTTGCATCTTACGGTAGACGACAACAGTTGATACTGGCCGGTGATTAACTTTGATCGGATATGTTTTTTAGTTCATGTACGTGGTTCCTTATGCATGGGGCAGTAAATACAATTCCATAGAAAAACAGACCCCACAAGGAAGTCTTTAGAAATCTATCGTCCCCACGCTGAAGGGAAACGCGTTGGCGTTTGAGATTTCAATAGGAACAAGGAGAACAAAAGAAGGGAAACAATTAAGGTCTCCCCCAGAAGGTCCTGTTTGTACGACTGTGTGTACAGATGATGCGGAGATAAATTCACCAATTTATCTGAACTGAATAATAAAATACTGCAATCAGTAAGTCCCTTTTAGCAAAGTTTAATTAGATCTATGGTAAGTCCTATGGTATTATCAATAAGTCCTATGGTAGCAAATTGAATTGAAGTTATTGAATTGTGTAATTACACTAAAATTCAAAGCCTGCTGGCTTGCATGCATAATAGTCAATGAATCTAATTGTTGTATTTGATAAGATTTTCTCTGTGGAATGGCTGCGTATGAGGGCAGATTTTTTTCTTCTAATCTCAACCGTACAGTCCTTATTTTTTGGCAAGGCTCAATTTGATTAAAGTTCAAGTCATGTGATATCACTTTGATCTGAAGTCACTTGAATAGGGAAGGATGGCTCTTCTTGGCCTGATATTAATTATCGTCAGTTGATCAATTTGCTTCTTACAATTAAAGACGAAAGTAGTCGCCGGCGGCCGAAGATCATAGCCAGTGAGCTCTATTGTTAACCAGCCGGTGCTTGCTTTCTGCATGGACGGCGTGTGATAATGTACCGAGGTATCTAAACTGAGTTATGCACTTGAAGTTTATAGGGAGTAAAGACTTTTTTAAGGAAGGTTAGATTCGATTCTTGTTGAAGTCCTATGATACCAAATTGATTTGAAATTATTTCACTGAATGAAAAGTCTTAGGGCTATGTCCGAATCGGGTACACACTGTGGCTATGGCTTCTATTTTGCCATTGATGCGCTATTGCGAATAGCCATAGTCGAGGCAACAGTGCCTGTTTCAGACATCACTTGAACCAGAGTTTGTATTTCAGTGATTGTACGGGACCATGTGATGTTATCGAAATACTAGTTCCCTTTGTAAGATGATTATGTACATCGATTATGCACCTAGCAAAAAGTTGCTACATAATGGGTCTCATATGTTCATATACTTCATTTACCTGTCTTTGGTAGCATTCTCCCCCAGCGCTTTGTATCCTCTGGCAAAAGGCGCTATATCAATACAGTTATTGCTACTATTACTGTAATAGGGCGACAGGTTTTGCGAACTCCGTCCACAATAGGGCGATACACGTTATTGAGGCGACAAAATAACTGTCGCCCTTTTATGAAAACGACCCTTAGGACAAGGAATTTTGCTGTCGCTAACCATATAGATCGATTCCTCATGGTCCAATTAGTATAAATACTAAATTTCGTGGAAAAAACACAAGGTGAACTTGGGTTAGGTGACAGTTTAGGTTTGTGCACAAGTCTATGGGAAAGTCACCCTATTGGGGCAAAAAGAGTTATTTCTATTACTATTATTATTATTATTATTATTATTATATTTACATCGCATACCACAACTTAACAATCTCACCATCTTACTTGTGCTTTGTGAAACGTATATTGAAGTGTGTACATCTATGTTAATGTCTTAATTAGATGAAAACAAAAATACCATTTCCACACTTTTTGCCATCACTATATACATAATAAAACATGTATAGTAAAAAAAAAAGTGTGTGTTACCAAAGCAAGTGAATCGTTAATGTGCATTTTATTTTTGTTGTGAGGTATATGCACTTACATTTAAACTAATGTAAACAATTAAACCAACTTCACCTCCGTCGTTAACGTTAGACATAAATATCCGAATGTACTACAAAAACCAATCTCCTGTCACATAATTATCTTTTCTTGTTACCACCAAAATGTATGTGAAGGGAAGCCAGTTATTATCAAACCTATAAGTGAGCCTATAAAGGTGACTACTTGTTACTCGCTGTTGGATCAACGGTGAACTCTTGGATGCGTCCGGTACACAAGCTGGTGCTTTCCGTATTTTTCCTTACCATTGGGGGATTCGTTACGGCGTTCTCGTCCGCATAGTATTCTCTGACGTCAGCCGTACCAACGAAACTCAGGTTACTGGCTCCCTCGGACGGGCGGGTACCAACGACGTTACTGCAGCACGCCCTCTTACAGCCGATCGCCTGGCGCAGCGCTTTGCGGTGCTGCTTGCTTTGAAACCCGTAAATGAACGGGTTCATGCACGAATTGCAGAAAGCGATCAGTACGCTGGCGTGGTAATACCAGCCTGAGAAGTCCAGGTTCCAGCCGCACATGTAGGCGAAGAACATGAACTGGTTTGGCGCCCAGCAAACGGCAAAAGTCACAACGACTGTAAGCAGCATCTTGACGACTTTCTTGCGCGCGCGAAGGAGATCCCGAGACAGCTGGTTCTCTCTGCCGTCCGACGTTGATTGGCGCATAGTCATAGCGCTCTTATGCAAATTACTCATGATCTGCCAATAGGAGAGGCCCATCAGGCTCAGCGGGAAGATGTAGATGACGCAGAAGTTGGCCACGCCCACAAACTTCTGCCAGGCCGTGCTCTGCCACTGGATGATGCACTGGCCGCTGTCGCTGTAAAATATGTAGAAGAAATAACTGTTCAAGAGCACGGCCATTGCCCATATGCAAATGATCATGCCGATCGCTTTCTTGGGGGTGAAGAGTGCCTCGTAGCGAAAGGGATGCACGATGCTGGAGTATCTCTCTAAGGTGACGCAGGTCAGGGTGAGCACTGAGGCCACGAAGCTGGTCCAGAGGGGGTACTTGGACAGCAGAAGACGGCACATCACATCTCCCGCCGCACCCTCTGGTACCGGAATTTCAAAACCTATATAATTCAGAGAGAAAAAAAAACCCTTGATCACAAATTGAGGATGTCAAGCACACAATTCGAATTTTCAATTCTTGCTTCATCATCGTAACAAAAAATCCCCAGAACTAAGCCAAATCAGACATTTAGATATCTGTGTGTTTTACATGACATGCATGCAATCCATCTTTGGTATGATGATACATAGCTATGTAAGTATTCATGTAGAATTATTGTTTTAAAATGCGAGCAATTTCATCTGAGGAAAACCCCACAACAGATATTGTTCAACCAAACCAGACCAACCGCTCTACTTCAAACCTTTACTTTTGCGGGTTTTATGACGTTTTTCAAACTACGATATCTAGCTTCACCACCATTTCTTGCAGAGATTTGAATGGTTCTCTTGTTAAATAAGCTTTTCCTCGCTGAACTTAAGGTGTCTATTATGGCGCAATAACGTTCATTAACCTTTTCTGTTTTTGCTATTTGCTATATGGCGCAATAACGTTTATTAACCTTTTCTGTTTTTGCTATTTGGATTGTGAACCTGTGTACTTTACTTCCTCGCCCAAGGCAGTAAACAATACATGTATTCATCGTCCTCCTCTCGCCTCTCGGTCTGCCTTGCATCTTTTCAAGACCGAGGAAATGTTAGTCTCTATAAGCGATCGGGAATTACAACTTCATTCGCACTCCTTTGCCTCCAAGCAACGCCTTTGGCAAGTCATCTCTTACCAAAGGATACCTTTGGTGTAGTTAAGCAATTATTACCGCCAACAAAAGATTGCAATTTCCTTAATTGAGTCGATTGTATCTTGTCTTTGAAATCGTAAATTAATGAATTTCATTAATATGGTATAGATTTTGAAAGCATGCAGTTTTGCAGTGTGGTTTCATTTAATTTGGAATTATTGATTGCGGTTGTGAAATTCCATGTTGGGTCTTTCTCGTGTGAATTACTTTATTACAGGTGTATTTAAAACAAACGAATTAACATCTTTTTTTATCAGATGCGAGTGTATATCCATCACACTTTATTAATTTATAATTACTATTTATTTAACCTTAATTGCCCTGCACAACTCTTCAGTAAGCCCAAAGATAAGACGTGGCCCATCATCGTGATCTGCAGAACTAACCAAGTCAACACCAGGCATCATCTTTCCATGGAAACCAAGATGATGCAGATAACGTACCCAAGTAATTGCAGTTACTTATAGTCTTCTTATATAAGGCCTGTATGAGTAGAGAGAAGTTCATCCACCGACTCAATCAAGCCATACCTCAAAGTCTACCCTGAACTGCGGTTTCCATAGTTTCTGTTACCTGGTACGGAAAGAATTTGCTGCCGTAGCAATCATTATCATCTTCTTATATATAAGAATAAATGACGGTCGCTTTGGTCTATGACCTGTCGTCTGCGCGGTCTTTTTACGCAAGCCAAAGAAATCTTGAGATGCTTTTTGTCTGTTTACATCAGAGTAAGTTGATACACGTATATTACATCAAATCTAACTGAAATTGATCTTGACACTAATGGGGTGTATACGTACATTGTATGTACTTAATAAGGTTCAAATTAAAGGGATACAGTCCCTCTTTTGATATTTCTTCTTAGTTCTCTCTTCGCTGTAAGTTAATACTGATTGTGACATGTGAAAACTATCTGTTCTATTACAGTAATTATCCAAGTGATGCCTGCCGGGCGAGCGGGCAATACACTTGGTTGATTGCGTTAAAAGGTGCCATTAGTAAACATGATTACGTATATTTGTGTCCTTCCGGAGTAGCTCCCCCCCCCCCCCACAATTTTTTTGAGCTCTTGGGAATGCACCGAGTAAACAGCGCTTTGGGCCCTGAAAAAAAACGAAAAAGGGCAAAACTTGATGTTGAACAACACATTCTGTATTTTTCTCGAGGCTACCAAAAAACCTCACTAAAAATCAACAACTCTGTTTTTCCCCCTGACCCATCAAATTCGTTGACCACATACCCCCTGTCCATACAAGAGTTGAAACTTCGTCTAACTTGCGAAATCTAGTTTAAGGAAAGTCGCCGGCGAGCTATTACGTTAGATCTGGCATTGAGTGCCAGATCTCATTCGCAAATAATGTCCAAACCTTTTACAAATTGCATTAAATTTGAATTAAAATTGCAGTTGTTGGCAGCTCCTCCAAAGTAATTACGACATTTGGACCGAATGCAAGTAGCCTAGCATTGATCGCTGTCACAAGTCCCCTCTTGTGAATTCATAACGAGCCGATTGCCTTTGCAGCAAATTCGGTTACCTTTGGAGCTTTCGGCGTTGACGCAAAATTATAACTCGATATCAACCTGTTTTTCTTTCCCATTCTGCGCGCCGTGGTTGGTAATTGACGTTCTGTCGCGTCTGATTCTCGTCTCTTGTTGCTCTGAAAACTGAAACGGAGACGCTAAGTGTTCCCCCGTAGCTCTTTGATTACTGCTAGCGGAAAGATTCAAGGAGTTGAGGAGAGTGGCTACAGAGGTGTAATGTACGTGCGTTGTACTTAGCACACCATGATTACAATAATGTAATACCGTCATTGGAAAAATAAGAGCCACGGCGTACGGGCGTTGTTAATTGGGGGAATGTAATTTGCATGATAAATCACAATGATTTCCCACTGAAACTGACTGTCTGTGGGTCATTTTCCCAGGTACAACTTGAATGAAAATTGGGGCACCTTTTAGAGTCAGAATCGCTAGATTGTATTCTTTTCTGAATTCGCCATACCCCATTTTGATGGCCTTGGTATGAGACACATTACTCGTTTGACTTTTTTTTCATGAGACCAACATTTCGATTTAAAATGAATCCTGAGCATGTAGGCTTAGTTTAATTATCACAGTAGTTATAACTGTTGATTTTTCAGCATATAAAGCTCTATACTGGTGTCACGTCTTAACCTCATTTTGAAGGGATGCAATTTGGTATGAAACAGGCCTGCAAACATGCGCTGGCATTCGTTATTGTCCAAATGATAGAGGTGAAATATAAAACAGGAACAACAACAAAACGGACTCACCGAGATGAAGCGGGATAAGAAACACCGAGGTGATGAGATCGCAGACGGCCAAGCTCACGATGAACATGTTGGTCAAGGAGCGTAGCGAGGGTACCCGGGCCACCGTGAACATGACCAAGGCGTTGCCGGTGATGCCCAGCACGGCTATGACACCGTAGACGGCCCTCAGCCATACCTGGTCCTCGAAGGATCCCTCGGCCGACCAGCCCCGGTCTCCCGCCTCGTCGTCCGCGTAACTTACGGTCGTCATCGCGTCGTGCTTATGTAATTCAGTTTTTTTCCCTTCAGAAATTGGTAGTGCTGTATTTCCGCTCCAACATTCAGTTCCAATGAAGAGTTCTTTCCAGGAATGAAATCTGCCCTGTCCAACTCAGTATTTACTCTTCAAGACTCAAGCGTCGTATTTGTCTATGATCGGTATTATATTTGGGAGAGTGATGAATCGGTACTGTTGCAAATTGACTGGATCGCAAACGAAATGTCAGTCTCCGCCGGTGATTTCTTCAGGGAGATGGATCGCCGCAAAACAAACAGACCGATTGCGAATTTCTTTCGGATAACTCCTCATATACGTACCTGGGGAGACAGTGAAGAAATTGAAATTAATCTGAGGAGCGTGTTCCTGCCTTGAGAAACTGTCCCCAAGCTTAATACACAGCTGCTGACTCTTAAGTTTTCCATTAAGTCTCAAGCGAGGGATTGTTACTCCACTGCCGATGTTTTTCATTCATTTGTTTTTAATATTTGCCTTCGTTGTCTTGCCCTCAGAAGGACAGTTGATCTCAGTAGAGCGAGATGCTATCTAATCAATCGGTTCACTTTGGGAAAGTAAAGGAAAATACCAGACGTTTTAGTTCTCCGGATTGTTAGTGAGGTTGTTGCTTTACCCGCAACGACCACTTGAAATGTCGACACTGTAGCACGTGAAGAGGTGACAACTCAAAAAAACGTGGAAAGTGCGCGTAATGGATGTCACGCGGGCAACCTTCGCCGTAACTAACGTAGCAAGATGGACAGAAAACTAAACTCCGCCCACTCCTTGGCTTACGTTTTATTATTGGTCGGTGACTGCGTGCTGGGTTTATTGCGTGATTGAATCTGGTTCGTTAGTGACTTCGTCAAAACACGCGCACGCACCCATTGGCCGAACTTTCAAGTTGCGTTAACTTCCGGTTCTATTTGTGCTATATGCTAAAACACCGTGTGAAGTACTCTTGGTTAAGTGGAGATGACGTCAACGAACCGGGGCCCAATTTCTTGGCTCTGCTTACAGTTAGCAAAAAAAATCCCTGCTTACTATAGCAGAAAATTCTGTGCTTTACGGTAAGTGTATTTCACGCATTAGCGAGGAATTGTGGCTTATGCGCATGCGTACATCCCATAACTAAGGATTGTGTGCTTACAGGGTTAGCACAGAATTTTGCTGGTAAGCGCAGAATGGTGACCGTAAGCGCGGAATTCTATGGTTAGCAGAGCCGTGAAATTGGGCCCAGTATGCTTTACATTACATGATGGAAGCTGAGTCGCGCGAGTATGTGACAGAATGAAATATTATACAAATATTGAATGGCTCAGCGTGGAATGGGAGGCATATTATCGCAAGGCAAAATCTAGATTTTTTTCCATTTCACGAGGCGAAGCCGAGTTAACTGGAAAAGTCCAGATTTTACCGAGCGATAATATTCCTCCCATTTCACAATTTAAAGCCACTCAATATTTGTTTTATATAACTGACATAATAGAATGCTCCATGGATCACCGAGGGAGGCTAGTTTTACTTCACCACGAGATAAAGCATGTGTTCATGAATATATAACGGCAATGTTTATGACGATCGTAATTTCACGAGCTCGCCCGATACTTTTCGTTAGATGGAATTTGCGTCGGGGTGATGTAAATCAATATTAGGTTTTTGCCCTTCACCGACGTACAAACGCCTGCTTTGTGTTTGCTTCTTTACTTCAATTTGCTTGTAGGCCTATATTGTGTTTTCTGTTGTTTGCTGATTTTGCATTTTACACGCGCATGCACAAGTTCATTTCCTCGCAAGCGATGTCTTTCGCAGGATGCCTGCCCGACCGACCAATATGGCCGTACCTTTAAAAGTAGATATTTTCCCTCCTCACGTTGGAGTGCCCGGTCATTCAGAACACCATACCATGTAATTCAATTGAGGCAATCGATGAATTCCAAGATACATGTATGTGTGAAGTTGTTACTGGTGAAATAGGTTACCACAATCGTGAGCAGTGCGTGCCTTAAAAGCAGCACTCAGCTAATTTTTCATGGGAAAAGGTGCAGGGCTTTATATTCCATTGTCCCGCGTCGGTTGACCTTGTGTGCGTAAGCCGTGCCCTTCGCTTTGAAAACCCACATCACACTGCCGGAATTAAATTGAGATTTTTTGGAAAAGCAAGGGAGCTGCCCAAGCTTTCTACTCGATTATTTATCCTTCCTGTTGAAAGAAAACATGTCTTGCTGCCTGTAGTAAAGAAAAAAAAATTTGGCATTTCAGCGAAAAAATAAGGTGCAGTAAACAATATTGGCGTTCAAAGATAGAAACAGAATTTTGTGTGATTTAATTTAAGACTGTTAATGTTTCTCGTTTTATTTCTAAAGGGTTTTCAACCCCGAAAAATGCTAGCGACCTCATCTCTTGGACAATCCATTTTTCGGAAATATTGACGAATTTTCCCTGAAGATATTCAGGGAAAAGTATATTTGAGGCATTCTTTTGGTGACAGCTGCGTGTGTTTTAATGATTTTTGAAGGCTGGGTGCCAATTAGATCCTCTCTAAATTGTAAGGAAACTTGCAATTCTACTTACACCCCCTAACTTACCCATAAATACACGATTCCCTTGGCAAGTGCTGCTTCTCAGAAATCACAGGGAAATTGCGTGTCCGGAAATCGTTTTAGTGGGTGGAGGTAACACTCGTGTATGAAAGTGACGTCATATGTCCTCACCGTCCAGCACAAATAAATACGCCAACTCCAAATAACACGTTCCATTACTGCACATGCGCACATAACTATCTTGGCGGTGGTACACGCGGTATTAACAAAAACAAACTCTGTCGTTTGCATGCAAAATTACTAGGCAGATACCAACGAGTATCTTGTTCTGAAGTAAGAATTCCGAGCTCGATGTAATGCACCATGTATACAAATGCTTGTGATTGCTTGAAATTATCTAGATTGCCGATTTGGTTGCCACTACCACAATAGAGTTTAGTGTAAATTTACCTGTATTGCAGACCCCATTAAACCAAAGTGCTTTGATGTTTTATTTAGGCCTATATGTTGCTTCAACTGATATTGATTTCGGGCCCGTTTGCCCCTCACTGGGTTAGTTGATTAATTGGTATCATTATCTTTATTCATGCGTGCATAGGAGGGCAATTGCATGTCTAAGGGGAGGGGAAAATGTAGTAACCATATCGTAAAGCACAGACCATGCTTTCCTATTTCATTTTTATCATCTTACAAATTCATTGTCAGCGAATGCGATTGACATTAATTTTGCGGCAGCATGTACCTTCTGACCTACCAATTTGTTTGTGTTGAATATTTTCCTTTTGATTGGCCGAACGGTGTTGCGGGCAGAAAATATTCAGTCAGGTTAATGGTGCAGCGGTACTTTCCTCGCCTTCCACCGCTGTGACCCGGGTTCGAATCCCGCCTGGGCCAATATGTGGATTGAGTTTTCAGTCCCTGCCTGATTCCGTGGGTTTTGCCCAAAATATTCTTCTGGGCTTTTCCTCCCACCTCTAAAACTGTAATATCTTCTCACTGTCTCCTCTCTACAGGTTTCGTCAGGCTTTCGGGCTACAGTGCCTAAGGCACTTTTGAGGAATCCTTGGTTTCATTATCAGAAAGAAATAAAATAATATTCGACTTTTTCTAAACATTGTCGAATTCGAGGCATTCTTTTGGCGACAGCTGCGTGTGTTTTAATGATTTGTTGAAGGCTGGGTGCCAATTAGATCCTCTCCAAATTGTAAGGTAAAATTGCAATTCTACTAACACCCCCAAACTTACCCATAAATACACGATTCCCCATCAGTTGCTTGGCAAGCGTTGTTTCTCAGAAAGCGCAGTCAATCGTTTTAGTGGGCGGAGGTAACACTCGTGTATGGAAGTGACGTCATATTTGTCCTCACTGTCTAGCACAAATGAATAAGCCAAATCTGAAGAACAAGTTACTAACTACTGCACATGCGCACAAAACTTTCTTGGCGGTGGTACACGCGGTATAAAAAAAGAATTCCGTCGTTTGCATGCAAAAATAAAAGAGGGTACTAGCGAATATGTCTTGTTCTGAAGTAAGAATTCCGCTATAGATGTAATTCACCATGTTTAAAAGTGCTTTCAATAATAATAATAATACCGGAGTCTTATCTAGCACGTATCTACCAACAATTAGGTACTCAAGGTGCTGGACATTATGTCTATTACAGGTAAAATGAAGTTTATGAGAAATATGAGACCATTATGTAGCACCTTATTAGTATAGAAGGTGGTGCGGCGCATATTGCAGCCACTGCCAGAAACACCGGGGCAAACCCCTTCTCTTTATAGCGATAAGTTTTGTTTAATGTGCAAAGTGATGACACAGTACCGGTATTGGAACAAATCTAAGGCTGCGACCCAGGTGTGTGATAGTACCTCCCTGGTTTTGCGCGTCACGAGCGCGTGCGAAGACGCGGGGAAATAGTAAAAATTTCGCACGGTTGAGTTGCTGGAATGGACCAATGAAATGCCGCGGTTGCCTGATGAATATTTATGAGGTATAGTAATTTAACATGTATGCCCTTCGCTAATCATATTCCAAAATGCATGCATAGCAGTTGATGAACATTCATCATTCATACCGTGTCCAAGTGGGGAAAAAAATTCTTTTATTACAACGGATGTTTACTTTATGCGATTATATTCTTGAGAATATTCATGGGCTCATAAAGTCATGATATTCTAGCTTGGAATTGCATGTATAAAGGCCACACCCGAGCGGCTCTGCAAGCAGAGAATATTCCGGCGAGTACTAACAGAGGACGTACAGCGCTGGCGAGTTAGTCAAATACTGGTCTCACCCGCGATTGCATCCAATTGGTATCGCATCTTGTTTTGGTCTGGCGACGAGAATTTAAGTGTTATCATGAAGTGGCCATTGGTTACCAGTTTGTTGGTTATCGGTATCACCGTGGCAAATGGCTACTGGGGCAGTCACTCGAGCGACGACCCCAGCTATGCGAACTTGGTAAGTATCTAAACAAAGATGGTTCAGGTTAGTTGTCAATGATTTGTAACTTTAGTTTGCTTTTATGAGGAGTTTGTGAGATTGGCTGCAAAAAAAATTAAAACGTGACGAATTTGAGTTCCAGTATTGTTTGATGTCCAACAAAATATACAGATATCTGATGATTTGTTATATTTTCAGTCGATACATCAAACCATTTGTGTTTGGCAAGTTCTTCTACGCTGCTGTAAAACTTACTTCCATTCCTTGTAAAATGTCGGAATGACCTCCATATACTTGCACATTCTGAAGCTAAAACTTACTCATCTTGTTTCCTTCTGCAGGGTTTTTACATCCTTGATATGAATTGCAATGATGCCGGAACGTACTGCCAGAAGTGCTACATAGCGCATTCCGAATGGAACGTCGCACACATGCGTACGTAAAAAGAGCACAACCATAAGTATTTAATGTTGTGAAATATAATGTAAGCCAAACCATAGGCATCGATAAGGCCAATATCAGAGCTTCCATGTTTGAGATAATCGTAAAATCAACATCGTGATCGGAAACTTGCAATAAATTTTACTTTATGTCTTTGTAAACCTTTTCTCCCACCAATATAATCAGTTCAGTTCAGTTAAAAGGATCTAGTAGTCCATCGAAAGACGTTGCTATAGTCTTAGATATTCCACGGTTTCTTATCACTAGCATATCCGATCTTTCTTGTTGTCATGCACATGTACCTTGCTATATCTTGGCAACCAGACTCTCAACCGCTTTCATATTTTGTCGTTCAATCTGGCCAAATGGTCCGCCCACCTCTGATTCTTATATTTACTAAAAAAAAATAACCTAAAGGTAGTTTTAGAAGGCAATGGTTCTGTATCGCTGGAATAGGCACACAGCAAAACAAGATGGTCACATTTTGCCCGTGAAATTGACCAACAAATGCCGAAATGAAGTTGCCCAGCTTCATTTACACCTTTTTTTTTTTGCAGCGCATTGGTAATCCTTTTGTGAATTCATCATTAAAAGTAACAAAGAACAGCCTGCTGGTCTATTTTAGTTAGCAAGTTCTTTGATTTTGCTCTCGTCTCTGTACACGTGTTCGGTTAAAGCCTACTTGAACCGAAGCATGTTATTAGTGGTATAATGTACAACATTCTCCCTGTTTGTCTTCAGACGTGTTTCAGTTCACAAAGGACCCGGTTCAGTACAAATTCCGGTGCATCGAAGGCAACCAGGACTGGGAGATTTTAATCATACAAGGTACAAGCTGGGCCCAATTTCACGGCGCTGCTAAGCACAAAAAAAATTGCTTAGCACAACAAATTCTGGCTTAGTAAAAGCAGGTTTTCAGCCAAAACTCAATGTGATTTTCAACTCCATGTGCTAAGTAAACAACAGCTGAATACTAATCACGTGCAATATATCACATGGAGTTTTGGCTGGTATTACAAACCTGCTTTTATAAGCCGTAAAATTGGCCCCTGGTCACGAGAAATTGCCATGTTTTTTCCAAACGTGGGTGGGGGGGGGGGGGACAGCCCCCCCCCCATGAAACCTTGTCGCCCCCAGTCGCCCCCCACTGAGATTTTGAGTTTCTAAAAAAATTATCATTGATCTACATGACGCCCCCCCCCCCCATGAAATGTTCCAGCCCCCCAGCGCCCCCCCCCCCCCCCCCTCCACTGAAAAAGTCCTGGCTACGCCACTGGCTTTAGGTATCTGTAGGTTAATAAACAGGGTGTCTTGTTCAATAAAAACAAGTGTTATGAGAATCATAATGTCATGTACAAAAATCCCATCAAGCCACCTTCAATTGAATTATTTTCCCTTTTTTTTCGGGGGGGGGGGGGGGGCGGGGGCACACAGCGGACCTGGATGAACCGTATCGTATCTGCGCTGCTTGGGGTAACTACACGATGGACGCACAGCTTGCTAGGATCAACGTGTGCGTGGACAACACCTTCGAGGGGGTGGAAGTGCCGCCTGAATGCCCTAGACCCATCTTCGTAGTCAGCCTGGATTACCACGTGGCCGATAAGACGGTCCGTGGCGAACAGAATCTGCTCTGTGTCACTCCGTAGAATTAAGCGAAGTCCGGAAATTGGGCCAATTCATGGGGCTGCTTAAGTGCTGGAATTTGCTTAGCAGAGAAAATATTTGCTGAGCATTAACAGGGTTACCAGGCAAAATGCCATGTCATGTACATTGCGTGTGACTGGTAATCTGCTGATTTCTCTTAGAATGTACATTTGTTAAGCACAATTTTCTGGTAAGCAGCTGTGTGAGATTTGGCCCTGCAATGCATAGAGGTATCAAATAGGTATTGAAAAAAATTGAAATAAAAACCCAATCTCGTAACCCAAAATCTTGGGGGCGACAGACTCATTTTATTTTTCAAGATTAGCTGAATGCTGCCACCAAGAGTCGGAAATTCCATAAATGCAACGTACTTGCCATTTATGAATCCAGGATTTTTCGTTCGCCAATACCAAGCAGAAATCGATCAAACGGTTCATTTTACTAACAAATGAGAAACTATTAATCTTTATGAATATTTCATAGGGAATACAAGTATTTTGGAAGGACAAAAAAGTATTAACGGATAACGACAAAGATGTACTGAGCCTGACCGACGATGATTGTATCTTGTTCGAATTTAGAACGGTTTTTGCAGATTGATTTTCGGAATTTTATTAGATAAGATATTTATTCGGGACATCAATTACTCGGGTAATAGTAAAAAATAAAGAAAATGCTTGCACACTGTTTGAAGGAGACTTGTCTTTAATGTAGACGCATGAATGCAAAAATAATTTTCATGTATGAAAATTGCTTTATTGTTGGAAGACAGACCGACGCATTTGTTAGATAAGATTTTTGCTCATGTGCTTCAATATTTGTTGCCAATTTTGATTCATTGACTTTTATTAAGTGGTTTGCAGATTTGTTGTTAAAATGATTATAGGGCCTATGCTGTGTATCATACCATATTAGTTTATGTTTCCATTTCATGTTTCGATAGTTTGGGGAAAAAAAGGTCATTTATTGTGGTAAAATTAAAATATTAATTTTGGTTCATATTCAAACAAATGTCGAATTATTTGTTTTGTGTACTACACACACCCAGAAGAACGTTCCCAGCAGTGGTGCAAGGGCAAAACAGTTCGGCTTTGGTGATTAGTACCAGGAAAACTAGGGAAAAAGCTCGTGCACTGAAGTAATCACAAACTTCAGGCAAACAGTGCGATTGCACGATTTTCGTGGTTGTGTGCTCCGACTTTACGCGAATTGTATCGATACAATTCGCATAAAAGATCTCAACCTTCTTGATTGAAGATTCGGTAACCGCTTCGACTTCAGTGTAAAATACATTGACCCGCCTGACCACCCCTTCCCCTTTTTAAACAATAGTACTTGATTTATACTTGTATAGTTTCAGTTGCCATTTATTTTGGTTTCTCCGCCGTGTGGTGTGTACAAAGCTACATGCTACAAGCCTATAGTTGAACCTGTATACACTTTGTTTATAATCATCTTCTAAAATGCATGCATAAGAGTTGATGAAAATTCATCATTCATACCGGCGCACGGACCGTGTCCAGGTTTTTAGGGGGAACAAATATTTTATTACGGCCGTGCATTCTCATTACATGCGGTCAATTCCTGAGGATATTCATGGGTTCTTCAAATCATGATGTACCAGCTTGGACTTAGCCTAGACCCGAGCAGCACTGCAAGTTGGAAATATTCCGGAAAGTACAAACAGAGACAGCGCTGGAGAGTTAGTCAATTACTGGTTTTACCCGCGATTGCATCCAATTGGTATCGTATCTGTTTGTTCTGGTGAAGAGAATCGACGTGTTATCATGAAGTGGCCAGCGATTACTTGTTTGTTGGTCATCAGTGTCACCGTGGCAAATGGCTACTGGGGTAGTCACTCCAGCGACGACCCCACCTATTCTCACTTGGTAAGTACACAGGCCGGGGGTCAGGTTAGCTTGCCAAAATCGTTGTAAAATTATTCGTAGTCTAGTTCCCTTCTCATAAAGGGAGTTCTTTGAAATTTGCTGCAAATAACGATTATTAACAGTGAGAAAATTTGAGTTACAGAATCGTTTGATGTGCAAAATATACATCAAGATCTCTGTTGGCATCTGATACGGTTTTAGTCTAGACAAATAACCAGAAGTCTTGTGTTTGGCGAGTTTTGACCATGCTATAAAACTTGCTTCCATTCGTTGTTGTAAGATCTGTCTCAGAATGACTTGCGCAGTCCAAAACTATAACCCATTTCCGAATCGTTGCATTCTGCAGGGTTTTTACATCTATGATTTGAAGTGCAATGATGCCGGAACGTACTGCCAGAAGTGCTACATAGCGCATTCCGAATGGAACGTCGCACACATGCGTACGTAAAAAGAGCACAACCATAACGATTTAATGTGTATACTATATTTTAAGCCTGTAACTATAGCATCATATACCAGGACATTTATGTTTGAGATCATCGTAATGATAACAATCGTATATAGTTACAATTATTATAACGTTAAATGAAAATGCCTTTTCACAACGTTGTACACGCCCGACTTCGAAATAGTTAGGGGTGGGGATATAGTTAGGAGAATACCCCTTTTTTAACTGCACGGTGTATGCAACCTTAAAAAGAGGTGCAATTTTCCCCTTTGTTTCTTTAGACGTGCATGAGGTCACAGAAGACCCGGCTCAGTACAAATTCCGGGTGATCGAAGGCAACCAGGATTGGGAGATATCTATCATCCAAGGTACGAGCTCGTAGAGTGTTAGTCCCAGAACTTGGGAGACCCCGACCTTTGTCAAATTGTCCAGCACCTCACCCCCCCCCCCCTTGCATGATATGTAAGCCTGGTATGCAAATTGGTAAAAAGTCGTGAAACTTTGCACAGTGGCTGTCGTTGTTACATGAAGACCAATTAACCAAATATTGGAACACTTAATTTGTAGTAAAGGTATATGCTTTGAAGACACCTATTACAAATGGGCGCATAATATATGCCTATACATGTATATTTTTTAAGTTCATAACAATTTTGGGTAATAGAATTCAAATTCAAAATTAATTAACAGTCACCATACGGACATTGAATGCGACAGTGCCTTCATGTTTATTTAACATGCCAACTTCGATATTCAACCGAATTAATGGATGGAGTTAATGGATTCAAATCAATGGATCTTTCCGGAATCGAGCATTTTAAGCCCCGCCCACATTTGGTTTGTCAGCATCTCTCACGGTGCTTGTGCGTGCGTTTGACCTAACTAGTGTGGTCACCTGAACAAAAGTTGTGATCTGATTGGCCAATTAGAAGATCAGAAGAGTGCATTTTGATTCAAGTTTATTGCTCACTATAAGTATCTCTTTGTATATAAACGACCTTTCATATGTACTCCTTGTTCATGGGTGCATACCTATATGTTCCCCAATACCTATGTTCCCAAATACCGATGTTCCTCAACCCTAGCTCTAACCATAACCATAGTCCTTAGGATTTCGGGGGAAATCGGTATTTTGGAACATAGGTATTGGGGAACATCGGGTAGAGCCCCTTGTTCATCATGTACCTTTACCACTTTGCGTAACAAACAAAGTTTTCTTTCCTTGTTGATTTTGCAAATTTGTACTTCAGACCACTTTCAAAGCAATTTCAAAGACACATCTTTAGTTACGTTTAGGTAAATAAACAGTGGTTTTTTACAGTCAATAAAAAAAGAGTTTACTATAGTCGAGTCTTAAACAAAAAACGGCGATTTTATAATGTCATACAAAAAGCCGATGAAACAAACCACACTTATGAAATGTTCTCTCTTTTTATTGCACACAGCGGACCTAGCTGAACCTCATCGTATCTGCGCTGCTTGGAGTAACTACACGATGGACGCACAGCTTGCTAGGATCAACGTGTGCGTGGACAACACCTTCGAGGGGGTGGAAGTGCCGCCTGAATGCCCTAGACCCGTCATCGTGCTCAGCTTGGATTACCACGTGGCCGATAAGACGATCCGTGGCCAACAGAGTCTGCTCTGTGCGACTGCGTAGAATTGCGTTCAGTCCAGAAATTGAAGTTGGGCCAATTCCATGGACCTTTTCAGTCCTGGAATTTGCTAAGCAGAGAAAATAATTGCTCAGCCAAAACAGGTTACCGGGCAAAATGTCATGTACTGTCTATTGCGTTGGACTGGTACTCTGCTGGTCCTTGCTTAGCATCTAAATTTGCTTAACAATATTTCCTGGTAATTATAAGCACTGCTGTGTGATTGAGCCCTGCTAAAATAGAGGAATCATATTTGCATAGAAAAAAATTAAACACGTGCCCTTAATGCGTGTTCAATGAAACTAAAAGCCCATTTCTCAACCCAGACTCTTGGGGGCGGCAGACTTTTTTCAAGAATGGCTGAATGCTGCCTCCAAGAGTCGGAAACGCCACGAGTGCAACGCACTTTCCTTTTATGAGAATTATCCGTTTTCTAATCCCATTTAGAAATCAATCACACGGTTCATTTTACTATTAGAGAAATGAGAAATTATTAAAGGTATGATTCATATTTCATAAGGAGTAAAACAATATTGGAATGCCAAACCGTTTTATTCAAATTTAGAAACGTTTTTAGAGTGTTTAGTAATTCTTCATTCGATATAAAGTAATCCCTCAGGATATAATTTTTTTGATAAAAATGGCACAAAGAAAATGCTTGCACACTGATTCAGAAGGAGACATCACGGTGTTGACGCAAAAAAGAAACCCATCATGTTCGCATCCGCGGCGTGCTGAAAGATCCTAGTTCATGAAACCATGAAAAATCAAACATGTTCGCAGTTGCTGAATTGAGATTTTTGCCAGTTTGCTGCGATCATACCCGTTTCAATATTGATTCGTTGGTTTATCATTAAAAAGAGTGGTTTGCGGATTTGTTTAAGCGATAAATTCGGCCTATACTGTGCTGGGAAAAAAAGTGGGAATTGCGCGGTTCAGTTTAATGTTCCATTTTGCATAAAAGTTGTCAAGGGATAATGCCTTTTCGATTACATTTCCACTTGTTTCAAATCGATATCGTAGGTATTTGTCGGATTCATTGAGTTAAATAAATCACATTGCTTTAAAGTGCACTCTTCCCGTTTTAAAAATGACGAAAACAAACGCCACCCCCCCCCAAAAAAAAAAATCCCAGTCATTATTTGTCCTTACCATGCATACCCTCAGCTTGATACACAGAAACAGTAGTTTAAATTTAGTGCCTTAATTGGCACTTACTTGTTTGTATTCAATGTATGACGATGACAATGCATGATGGTGGCACGTATGATGGTGCAACGTTTGCTGTTTATTACATACTGAAAACAATCTGGTTACTTATTGATGACCTTTAACCAACCTCGTCCCCAGTGCTTACTTTATTTCCAACCGCGTTTCCAATAGTAAACCCTGGATAGGAAACTTTCTTCCTGTATCCTGATTGGATACCGCAATTGGCTAGTAATGGATTTTTATCGTGTACTTGGTGCTATATATTCACAACGTGCAGTACGTGTTTTCGCGATCATTCGTCCACGCCTTCTCGAAAATACTAATTTCCTTTCCAATTTACTCATATTAATATGAAATATGATACTGCATATTGTCTCGATAAGATCGTAACAGTTTGATTTCAAAAATCGTGTTTTCGTTACTCACGCCGTGCTCGCGCTGCTACGAATTGACTCTGTTTTTACCCCAGACACCGCATACAAAATCAAACGCTAATGTGTAACGCATATCCAAGCACCAGACTGTTCCTCATTTGCATACGTGTGCAAAAATCTTGCACATGCAAATGATCCAATACCAGGGTGAGAGAGCAGGTAGTGGTGGGCGCGTACTGCTCGACACCCTGGGGACGAGGTTGACCTTTAACTAATTTTATTCAGAAGTATTGCAATGCAAGGGGAATTCCCTATATCACGCAATAACTGCAGCTTTGTGGAAATGAACAATAACAGTTTTGCAATAATAGCGCTTTGTTAAAGGCTTTAATGCCCCTTTTACAGTTGAGCAGGGCTGGGTATACAGCAAAAACGCACGGCCATTAACCTCAACCATGTCCTGAAGCTCGAAACAGCTTACGCCCACTGTAAAATACCACCTTGTATGCCAGATCGCATGGGTTGGATGGTTGCGGATGTCCACATAGAGTCTTTAGTGGTCTTCTTAGCATTTGCACACCGGAGGTTTGTGGTGTAGAAGATAATGCTCCATATGCCGGAGGAGTTGTAGTCGTGTTGTGAATGCGTTAATGGACGAATGCATTACTTCCTCTACGACGCTGTTCCATTGCTAGCCGTACTTTCTGGTAAGCCTGGGTTTGATTCGGACTTTCATTAAATTTCTTCGCCCATAACATACCGTGTCAGTATTATATATTTCACTTTAACACCGGCACTCACTTCAAAAGTAAGGATCAGAAAAAAAACCTGTAAAAACAACCCTCCATTCGATCGTGCTGGCGTGGCACAACCTTTTTTTATAAGGCTTGGAACTGCACATATGGACTAAAAACGTATGTTTTAGATTTCCTGCATATGAGGGTAAGAATGATCTGGACCCAAATTAAAGAAAATATTAAAAACATGCAGCAACTATCAAAATCAAGTGCAAATGAAATATGTTGGTTGGTGTTTTGGATATATTTGGTGATATAGTTTCATGCAAGGAACACATACTAAACAAATATCAGACCACGGTTCCATGGTTCAACAAATTTATTGAAATCGCGTTCTGATGTGAAGCTGTGTAGTAACAAAATAATAGAAACCTAGTCATGATGACTGACTCACTTGAAGCTATTGACACATTTTTAAAAAGGCAAAACCAATTCCATGTGCACACTGGAAAATGAGCGTACTTCAGTGACAATGACAGAACTCCTCACCACAGCCACTAATCTGAAAAATCAAAACTCATGTGGAAGACATGGTAATAACCATTCATATGAAACACTCAGTTATTTTTCTCAACATATTTGCCACTACAAAAAAATTGGAGAACTTTGGTCCAGGTCGTTCTGACTCGCCCTGTAGTGAGTGTAGGCGCACAGCACGCGAAGGCCTACCGTAGTAATTTTCTGACTCATTTTTTCATGTTTGTCACAACATTTCACTAGCTTTTGATTTCAGCTTTTGCATGTGTTAACATAGCTCTGATAAGTTTGTTTTAATATTTCTCCATTCCTGACCATGGTTGGTGTGAAACGAATGGTCTCATTGAACATGTACTGGCCGCGTCCTTTGCCGATTTGTTCTCATGAGCATCGTTATTTCAAACCAGCCAGTTGTTTTGCCAACCGTTTTCCCCCCGCAGGTCAGACAGTTCACTTGGCTTGCGTATGATGGCAGAGGGGGGAAGGTATCGTTCCAGTCTGAGGGAATTTGGTGAGAAACATTTACAGTGTTCCATATGCCATGATTGGTACAAGAACCCCAAGACCTTGACTTGCCTGCACAGTTTCTGCAAAGAATGCTTTATGGGGTGTCACGGCAGTTCCAGTGTTACCTCTTGTGTCAAGTGTCCAGTTTGCCGGAAGGTAACTTATATTGGGGAAGATAACATAAGTGACCTTCTGACTGATTTCAAACTGGCAGGCATGGTAGAGGCGGTCACTAAGGAGCCTGTTGATGAGGAGCAAACATGCTCGGATCACGTGGGAAAGGTATGTTGCGGCTTCTGTTTTACGTGCGACCAAGTGATCTGCTTCCTTTGTCTAAAGGATTCTCACAATGCTCACGAGGTAGGTGAAGTTGGTGAGGTAGTGGAAATTCGCAAAGAGTATGTGAAAGAACGGCCGATGAAATGCGAGAAATCGCTGGAAGACGTTGCTAAGGCTCGCAAAATGGTCTCGAAAATGGAAAAAGACTGTCGATCGACGATTGGAGTAATCAGGCAAAGCGTGGAATCCCGTGCTGTTGAGGAGATTGCAAGAGTTACTGCTGCTAAGCAACGCATTATGGACGAACTCAACAAGATCCAAAACGACAGGATGAAGCTTCTGTCCAAATCCGCTCGAAAGCTCGACTCGGAGGAAGAAGATTTGCGTAAAATCATCAAGAACTCCAAAGTGGTAATTGCGGTAAGAAACGACTACAACTTCCTGAAGAAGTATACAAAGTGGGAGGGCGACTTCGCCCATTACCCCAATCCTGACGTCAAACACATTGCGCCGTTATCAGTGGGGTTCTACCCATCGTCAAAAAGTCGCGGTAGGGTCGACCTAGGTACACTCCGCAATCCTGACATCGGACGCGACGAGGACGATTCTTGTGTTGGTACCGTGATTCCGAATCATGACGATGACGACAAGTATTCTAGCGAAATATACAAAAATGTTAAAAAGTGGCGAGGAAATTGGCCGCGGGACAATGTCTAATTCCCTCCACTGTGTTTTGAATAACTCTATCATAGTTAACAAGTTAATGTACCCGATCATGATCTGCTATCGCGCACCTGTATTTGTGTTGGGGTTTGTATAATGTGGGGAGGAGTAATGTCATTGAAAACACAAGTGCAAGGGCACGAAATAAGAAATATAAGGCCGGATAAACTGGTGGATTTTCCTGTAACAGTAAAATTGAAAGTTTGTCGAGAAACTATAATCATCTGTGGGAAAATTGTTGTTGGAAGAGTAACTGCATTACAAATGAAATCCCCAAAAAATGCAATGTAGTCCCAGGAATGAGTCCAAGCCTTGCACCCCTGCCCCCAGGCTCGAAAACGAAACTGGAACCACTGTGAATAATCATGGATTTTCTTATACATGTAGATATAGATAGAGAAACGTGTTGCCACCGCTGTATATTGAACACTTTTACGAGTATTATAATTTCATCCCCCCAGTTTCCCTCGCCTATTTGTTTTTATTAAGTTTCTCAATGTTACATAGACATGTTCAGTTTTGTATAGTGGAAAAATAATAGATTTTTGTATTATTTGTTTTTGACAATATTTACCGTTAGTAATCAGAATGTGTACACGACGCACGAATTCTGTAAATATTTCACCAAAATTGACTAATGCTCCAATCAAACTGGTGACTGGATAACGCCTGTGAAATTCTAAGTAAAGTATACATGTACATTGTTTGGGTAAAGAAAAGTATGTTACGCCCCCTTTACACAGGGCTGCAACCTTTTGGGCCTCCTCTGTGCGACCATACAACTGACCAGGTTGCCCTTGGAGGCTCAAAAGAGGCCGAAATGGTTGCCTAGGTCGTTCAAAGGTGGTACACAGGATGTTCAGACATCGCCATGGACACCATGGTCGTCGTAAATTTTTGAACATGTTCAAAACAGTCGCACAAAGGTCGCCGAGGAGGAATTGGTTGCTCAAAGGTGGCTCAAATGAGGCAGAAGGGAGGCACAAGCATTGCCGTGGTTGCAAAATGGATGCACAATGGTCGGCCAATGGTCGGCACGTAATAGATCCGTTCTGTTGCAAATTTTACCGTCAATCTTGGCGATGCTTCTGCCTCCCTTGTGCCTCCTTTGGCCGACCAATAGCGTGCATTGAACGATGACTTGTGGCGACCATTGTGCCTCCATTCGGCGTTGGTTGCCCGGTTCCATGCACAGGGGTGGCAGACAAGTGGCTCAGTGGACGCACGTGTCGCTCATAGCTCGTGGTTCAAGGGAGGCAACAAGGATCGCTGCACATAGAAACATGATTACATGTACATAGAAACATGATTTTCTGGTTTAGGCGACCATGCCATTTTTTGGTCGCTCATAGTTGGTACAAAGGTCGCAGCCCTGTCTAAAGGGGGCCTTTTTTAAGGATGAAACTACAAAACTGATTTTATGCAACTAGGATGTGCTGTCTGAGCTATAAACGTCTTGCTTTTGGTATATTGTTAAATCTTACTTAAAACTTTATAATAAAGGTAATTATCATTATAACGAAAACTGTCATGATTGGATCGTCTTCAACAAAATATTGGTTACAAAATTTGAAAGATGGGGTACCAACTGCAAATTTCACGGACTGTAAAAAGTATTGGTATAAATGTGGAGACTTAGCCTGCTTTCGAAAGATAAAGTAATATGTATATAGAATATGGAACGGAAGTAATTAACGTACATTGTATTATTTGTCCTGATTTGCACATTTCGAACCTGATTTGCACATCTGGCGCCCTTCCCGAACCGTTGAATAGGAAAATAAATAGCAGAAATAATTTTTTTTTGCAATTCCGAGTGTATTGATTTCTTCTAAAAATCACCATCGCAAAAGGTCGTTTATATTACCAGCATGTCCATTTTTTTTTCAGGTTTGAAACAATTTTATTTTCGCTCAAAATTTAATTTGAGATTTGGGCAAATATCACCAACTTATTGAGACAAACTTAAACGAATATTTTTCACTAATTTTGCACCCAATTTTCGACGCAATCTGTCCAAAGTTCAAATGTGCTCTGGGGGACCTGTAGGCATCTTCCCAGCAGATATTCGCATCTCTTGAATTGAGGTTTGCTGCAAATTGGCCATGACATAGGCGGGGAAACGGGGGGGGGGGGGCTGTTCAGGGACATTCACGGAAAAAAAACCCAGAAAAGGGCGCATCCCCCAGAACTACTAGTATTCGGCCGCGTTCCCGTGCGAAAAGGTTCTAAAATTCCCTAATTATGAAGATTCGAGGTAAACATTTATTGTCAATGTTTTCTTACAAATTTATCAAACCGTATGATGATTGAAGCAACTAAACGTGATTTTTTTTTTTTTGTATTTTGAATGATAAAGCAAAACTGGAAACGAAGCCGATCGAGCTTCGCCAAAAGGGCCGTTACAATTTCGTGCATGTTTATATATAGCTGTGGCGGTTCCCTTACCTACAGGTTTACATCTGGGCGTGGGGTAGGTCAGGTCAGGGAACCAGACTATAGCCGCTGTTAAGCTTCTGGGTGCACACCTGTAAAACTTCCTAAACCCATCCGCCGAGGTCATGAATAAAAGTTATACCCGCAGAATATTCTATATTAGAGAATTCTGAGAGCCATACAATTGGGGAATTGAAGAAATATGGCAATGAACCTCTAGCCCAGACTTGGGCCTTCCAATTCTGAGCATTCAGGATCCAATTGAGCTGGCGTTATTTTTTCATGTTGTGGAGGGATCGTTTTTCAAGACGGCTACTTTTCTGCTTAGGGGTCGTCAAGCTTCTTTGGGTGACGGAGAATTTCTCGAAGAGTCAATGGTCAACCCACCAAAAATTTGAACGAAAATAAAAGATGGCATATTGATCATCATTTTTCTGAGAGTAAAAAAAAATGGATAAAACATTGATTTCTAAACATCTCCCTGGCAAACTAATACCGCGTGATTCCAACAGCCTCCGTACAATCATGGAGGAAGAAAATAGAGGGCATGTGCTGCCGAATGACCTTTAACCTTTAATTACAATGCAAGGGGAATTCCCTGGCACGCAACAATTGAGTGCATGGGAATGAACGCTTGCACTGTACGTAATGTACGCCTATGCACGAGTATTACATTCTCCCACTGTAACTAGTGGAAGTTAAGGCCTGTATTTTGTACGCCATTGCCAGTTGTTGTACAGCGGGCACGGTTGAACAGTTGGACCATAGAGCTAGGACCCATTGGACAGTGCACTGCAGAAGGTAAGAGATGTTGAATAATGTCGCCTATGATCGACTGATGACGGAGGATTTAGTCGTGAAGGTGTTAACGAATGCAATAGTCCTCTATAATAAGTTCCACACTAGTGCTAGTGAGTATTGTATAGCATTGGGCGCCGGGGGGGGGGGGGGGGGCACAGGGGGAGGGCATCAGAATATTATGGGGGGCATATATTTCAAACGTCCTAATCCTATTGCAGTTTTTTTCAGTTGGGCCCCCAACTGAAAAAAACTGCAATAGTAAGCATGTGGATTTGTGATCCTGGTAAGCATGTGGATCTTCGTCCCAGGATTTTGAACATGTTGAAAGTCCAGAAAAATGAACGGAGCGTGTCTATAGCGACGTTTTTGGGATATTACAAGGTGTGTGTCAGTAGCGTATCCAGCTATGGATGTCAGCTGGGGGCAACCGCACATCCCCGCCAAAATGTAGACATGTTTTTTTTGTCTCTGGACAGGCGGACACTTGGCCTCCGTAAAATAAAAAAGCGGAGAAGGGAAGGGGGGGGGGGGGCTGGTACCCACTTTCCAAATGGGGGCGCTCTTCAAAACTGACCGTTCTTATGCACACTGCAATTATATATCCATTTTTACAGCGCATTGCAATGGTTTTTGAGTCGGTTTTGTTTTTGGGAATGATGTCAGAACTCTCTAACCGTTATTGAAATAATTGCGGAACAAAAAAATGGTTGTGACAAAAATGCCAGGGGAAGGGATACACCACTGTGTGTATGCGTGTGTGTATGAGGGGTGGGGGGTGGGGTTGCACGTGCTGTTCTCAAAATGCCCCAGCTATGAATATGCAGTGTGGTCATCTCCTTTGCTGGATAGTATCCATAATTCAATTTTTACACTAATTACAAACTGTTTTCTTTCTGCAGGTTGGAGGATTCACTTGGCTCACATATTTCATAATGGCAGAGTGGGGAACTTTTTGCTCCAGAATGAAGAAATTTGGTCAGGAGCATCTGCAGTGCTCCATATGCCATGATTGGTACAAGAACCCTAAGATCTTGACTTGCCTGCACAGTTTCTGCAAGGAATGCCTTGTGAGATATAAGGGCGCTGTCTGTAGTAACCTCAAATGTCCAGTTTGCCGTAGGGTAACTGCTATTCCATTAGGCTTCATTAGTTACCTTCCAACTGATTTCAAACTGAAAGGCATGGTAAGAGCAGTCACTAAAGAACTCGACGAAGGGGTGCCAACATGCCTGGAGCATGTGGGAAAGTTATGTTGTGGCTACTGTTACACGTGCAACCAAGTGATCTGCTTCCTTTGTCTAAAGGATTCTCACAACACTCACGCAGTAGGTGAAGTTGGTGAGGTGGTGGAAAGTCTTAAACAATTTGTGATAGAACTGACAATTACAAATGAGAACTCGCTGGACGATGTTGCCCAGACTCTGGAAACGGTTTCGAAAATGGAAGAAGACTGTTGTGCGACGCTTGATGAGATCAGGAAAAGCGTGGAAGAGCGTGCTGATGAGGAGATTGCGAGAGTTACCGCTGCTAAGCAACGCATCCTGGACAGACTCGACAAGATCCAAAGTGACAGGGAGAAGCTACTGACTGAAGCCACGCAACAGCTCAACTCAGCCGGGGAAGATTTGCGTAAAATCATCAAGGACTCCGAAGCGACAGTTGAGATAAGTAACGACTACAACTTCCTGAAAAAGTATATCGAACAGAAGGATGAATTCTCTGCCTGTTACAGCAGTCCCAGCATCGAGCACATAGAGCAGTTATCAGTGGAGTTCTGTCCATCGGCAAGTGCTCCCGGAAAAGTCGACCTAGGTATGCTTCGCGGCGATACCGTGATTCCGAGTGATGATGAAGACGATGATGACGAAGACGAAACAAGCTATGACGACAACTATTCTAGCGAACTATACAGAAATGTGAAAAAGTGGCGAGGAAATTGGCTATGTGACGAGGCCCAATTCCCTTCACTAGGTTCCAGATACTTCTATAGATAGACCGCTTATACTCATCTTATAATTTTATAATCTTCCCTTCCCCTTTTTGTTTCTATTGATTTTCTCAATGTCACATACACATACTTATGTTCGGTTTCGTATACTGGAAATATTGTTTTTTAATTGATTTTTCATTATTTGTTTTAGACAAAAGTATGCAGAAAATGTATGCGGTGCATGAACTTTGTAAATAATACCAAAATTGACTGATGCTCTGAACAAACTAGTGACTGGTTCACACCATCGAAATTGTATGTAAAGTATGTACATTGTTTGGGTAAAGCATATATTATATTCAATCTATTTTAAGGATGAAACTGCAAAATTGATTTTATGCAACTATATACGTCTTGCTTTTGGTATATTGTTCAACCTTACTTAAAGTGTATTTCTTTAAAGGAATTATGAGTATAACCGAGACTGTCATGATTGTATTGTCTTCTACAAAATATTGGTTACAAGATTTGTAAGTTGGGACATCAACTGCAAGTCTTATAGGCTGTAAAAAGTAATGGTTCAAATGTGCAGACTTAGCCTGGTTTCGTCAGATAAAGAAATGTAAATAGAATATGGAAAGGAAGCAATTAACGTACGTGTATTAATCTGTCCTGATTTGCATATCTAGAATCATATCTGAAATAGAACCTGGAAGTTCACCCCTGGTGGTGCCCTTTTGGAACCCTTGAAAACGAAAATAACTAACAGCAGAAATAAAAAATGTGCAATTCTTTTGGTACATTCATTTTTTTTTTAATAATTATCACCGTCAGAAAAGGCAGTTTTTATCAATGTAACTAGCATCTCCATTTAAGTTTCAAACTATTTCATTTTTCACTCAAAATTGAAAAATGAGGTTAACTTTTAAATGTTTATCAAAATGTGCAACGTATCATGAAGAATTTGGCAAAAATCACCGAATTATTGAGACAAAAATGAATAATTTTCACTAATTTTGACGGAAATTAAAGGCACAATCTTTCTATAAAATGCCCAATCTGTCCCAAATTCCAGTTCCAATGTGCTCTAAGGACCTTCAGGCATCTTCGCTGCAAGTTTCAAGCAATTTCATTTTTCGACCAAAATTAAAAAAAAAATTGCAAGGGGTTGGCCTTACATTTTTGATCAAATTTGGCCAAAAATTGACTTTTCTCCAAACAACTCAGCAATGTCTTTGGATGCAAAAGGAACATCAATCGACCTTCAGACGCTAAAAATATTCAAGATTTGGGCAAAAAGCACCGATTTATGGAGACAAATATGAATAATTTTCACTAATTTTGACACAAATTAATCACACCATCTTTCTTTTAAATGCCCAATCTGCCCCAAATTCCAGTTCGAATGTGCTCTAAGGACCTTAAGGCATCTTCCCTGCAAGTTTCAAGCAATTTCATTTTTCGGCCAAAATTGAAAAAAAATGCAAGGGGTAAGCCTTACATTTTGATCAAATTTGGCCAAAAATTGACTTTTCTCCAAACAACTCAGAAATGTCTTTGGATGCAAGAGGAACATGAATCGACCTTCAGACGCTTAAAATATTGAAGATTTGGGCAAAAATCACCAAATTATGGAGACAAAAATGAATAATTTTCACTAATTTTGACACAAATTAATCACACCATCTTTCTTTTAAATGCCCAATCTGCCCCAAATTCCACTTCCAATGTGCTCTAAGGACCTTAAGGCATCTTTCCTGCAAGTTTCAAGCAATTTCATTTTTCGGCCAAAATTGAAAAAAATATGAGGCTTACATTTTTGATCAAATTTGGCCAAAAATTGACTTTTCTCCAAACAACTCAGCAATGTCTTTGGATGCAAGAGGAACATCAATCGACCTTCAGACGCTAAAAATATTGAAGATTTGGGCAAAAATCACCGAATTATTGAGACAAAAATGAATAATTTTCACTAATTTTGACACAAATTAATCACACCATCTTTCTTTTAAATGCCCAATCTGCCCCAAATTTTAGTTCGAATGTGCTCTAAGGACCTTACGCATATTCCCTGCAAGTTTCAAGCAGTTTCATTTTTCGGCCAAAATTGAAAAAAATGCAAGGGGTTAGCCTTACAGTTTTGATCAAATTTGGCCAAAAATGGACTTTTCTCGAAACAACTCAGAAATGTCTTTGGATGCAACAGGAACATCAATAGACCTTCAGACGCTAAACATATTGAAGATTTGGGCAAAAATCACCGATTTATGGAGACAAAAATGAATAATTTTCACTAATTTTGACACAAATTAATCACACCATCTTTCTTTTAAATGCCCAATCTGCTTCAAATTTTAGTTCGAATGTGCTCTAAGGACCTTCAGGCATCTTCCCTGCAAGTTTCAAGCAATATCATTTTTCGGCCAAAATTGAAAAAAATGCAAGGGGTTAGCCTTACATTTTTGATCAAATTTGGCCAATAATTGACTTTTCTCCAAACAACTCAGAAATGTCTTTGGATGCAAGAGGAACATGAATCGACCTTCAGACGCTTAAAATATTGAAGATTTGGGCAAAAATCACCGATTTATGAAGACAAAAATGAATAATTTTCACTAATTTTGACCCAAATTAATCGCGCCATCTTTCTTTTCAATGCCCAATCTGCCCCAAATTCCAGTTCGAATGTGCTCTAAGGACCTTCAGGCATCTTCGCTGCAAGTTTGTAGCAATTTCATTTTTCGGCCAAAATTGAAAAAAAATGCAAGGGGTTAGCCTTACATTTTTGATCAAATTTGGCCAATAATTGACTTTTCTCCAAACAACTCAGAAATGTCTTTGGATGCAAGAGGAACATCAATCGACCTTCAGACGCTAAAAATATTGAAGATTTGGGCAAAAATCACCGATTTATGGAGACAAATATGAATAATTTTCACTAATTTTCATGCAAAATAATCGCGCCATCTTTCTTTTAAATGCCCAATCTGTCCCAAATTCCAGTTCGAATGTATTCTAGGGACCTTCAGGCATCTTCTCTGCCAGTTTCAATCAATATCTTTTTTCGGCCAAAATTTAAAAAAAATTCAAGGGGTTAGCCTTACATTTTTGATCAAATTTGGCCAAAAATTGACTTTTCTCCAAACAACTCAGAAATGTCTTTGGATGCAAGAGGAACATGAATCGACCTTCAGACGCTAAATATTCAAGATTTGGGCAAAAATCACCGATTTATGGAGACAAATATGAATAATTTTCACTAATTTTGACAGAAATTAATCGCGCCATCTTTCTTTTCAATGCCCAATCTGCCCCAAATTCCAGTTCGAATGTGCTATAGGGACCTTTAGGCATCTTCCCTGCAAGTTTCAAGCAATTTCATTTTTCGGCCAAAATTGAAAAAAATGCAAGGGGTTAGCCTTACATTTTTGATCAAATTTGGCCAAAAATTGACTTTTCTCCAAACAACTCAGAAATGTCTTTGGATGCAACAGGAACATCAATCGACCTTCAGACGCTAAAAATATTGAAGATTTGGGCAAAAATCACCGATTTATGGAGACAAATATGAATAATTTTCACTAATTTTGACACAAATTAATCACACCATCTTTCTTTTAAATGCCCAATCTGCCCCAAATTCCAGTTCGAATGTGCTCTAAGGACCTTAAGACATCTTTCCTGCAAGTTTCAAGCAATTTCATTTTTCGGCCAAAATTGAAAAAAAATCAAGGGGTTAGCCTTATATTTTTGATCAAATTTGGCCAAAAATTGACTTTTCTCCAAACAACTCAGAAATGTCTTTGGATGCAAGAGGAACATGAATCGACCTTCAGACGCTGAAAATATTGAAGATTTAGGCAAAAATCACCGACTTATGGAGACAAATATGAATTATTTTCACTAATTTTGACACAAATTAATCGCGCCATCTTTCTTTTAAATGCCCAATCTGCCCCAAATTCCAGTTCGAATGTGCTCTAAGTACCTTAAGACATCTTCCCTGCAAGTTTCAAGCAATTTCATTTTTCGGCCAAAATTGAAAAAACATCAAGGGGTTAGCCTTACATTTTTGATCAAATTTGGCCAAAAATTGACTTTTCTCCAAACAACTCAGAAATGTCTTTGGATGCAAGAGGAACATGAATCGACCTTCAGACGCTGAAAATATTGAAGATTTGGGCAAAAATTACCGATTTATGGAGACAAATATGAATAATTTTCACTAATTTTGACACAAATTAATCACACCATCTTTCTTTTAAATGCCCAATCTGCCCCAAATTTCAGTTCGAATGTGCTCTAAGGACCTTAAGACATCTTCCCTGCAAGTTTCAAGCAATTTCATTTTTCGGCCAAAATTGAAAAAAAATCAAGGGGTTAGCCTTACATTTTTGATCAAATTTGGCCAAAAATTGACTTTTCTCCAAACAACTCAGAAATGTCTCTGGATGCAAGAGGAACATGAATCGACCTTCAGACGCTGAAAATATTGAAGATTTAGGCAAAAATCACCGATTTATGGAGACAAATATGAATTATTTTCACTAATTTTGACACAAATTAATCGCGCCATCTTTCTTTTAAATGCCCAATCTGCCCCAAATTTCAGTTCGAATGTGCTCTAAGGACCTTAAGGCATCTTTCCTGCAAGTTTCAAGCAATTTCATTTTTCGGCCAAAATTGAAAAAAAATCAAGGGGTTAGCCTTACATTTTTGATCAAATTTGGCCAAAAATTGACTTTTCTCCAAACAACTCAGAAATGTCTTTGGATGCAAGAGGAACATGAATCGACCTTCAGACGCTGAAAATATTGAAGATTTAGGCAAAAATCACCGATTTATGGAGACAAATATGAATTATTTTCACTAATTTTGACACAAATTAATCACACCATCTTTCTTTTCAATGCCCAATCTGCCCCAAATTCCAGTTCGAATGTGCTCTAAGTACCTTAAGACATCTTCCCTGCAAGTTTCAAGCAATTTCATTTTTCGGCCAAAATTGAAAAAAAATCAAGGGGTTAGCCTTACATTTTTGATCAAATTTGGCCAAAAATTGACTTTTCTCCAAACAACTCAGAAATGTCTTTGGATGCAAGAGGAACATGAATCGACCTTCAGACGCTGAAAATATTGAAGATTTGGGCAAAAATCACCGATTTATGGAGACAAATATGAATTATTTTCACTAATTTTGACACAAATTAATCGCGCCATCTTTCTTTTAAATGCCCAATCTGCCCCAAATTCCAGTTCGAATGTGCTCTAAGTACCTTAAGACATCTTCCCTGCAAGTTTCAAGCAATTTCATTTTTCGGCCAAAATTGAAAAAAAATCAAGGGGTTAGCCTTACATTTTTGATCAAATTTGGCCAAAAATTGACTTTTCTCCAAACAACTCAGAATTGTCTTTGGATGCAAGAGGAACATGAATCGACCTTCAGACGCTGAAAATATTGAAGATTTGGGCAAAAATTACCGATTTATGGAGACAAATATGAATAATTTTCACTAATTTTGACACAAATTAATCACACCATCTTTCTTTTAAATGCCCAATCTGCCCCAAATTCCAGTTCGAATGTGCTCTAAGGACCTTAAGACATCTTCCCTGCAAGTTTCAAGCAATTTCATTTTTCGGCCAAAATTG